GTGAGTGTCGTCCCAGTCATACCTGCTCTCCCTCCACTCCAAGAGATCACTGAACCGGGCTTTTGTAGGGCTCCCAAACTCAGGCTCTGAAAAAGCCTCCCATAACAAGCCAGGACCATCAAACTCCTCTCCCTCTGGCTTGACATGCTCGGCTGTCCAGGGCAGGTACTGTGCCCCTTACCACCAGAGCGCCTGGTAGGCATCTTCCAGCCAAATCTCCTGCCATACCCGGTGCTCCAATTCCTTCACCCATTCATCCAGGGGCTGCTCTCCCAGGAAGGGCATCAGCAGGGCCACTTGCTTCTGCAACCACTGCTCTTCACTGGGGAGACTCTCGCCCCGCTGGTATTGTACATTATCCAGTGCCTGGTACCAGATGCCTTTCCTTAATGCATCCTGGCCATCCAGGTCCTCCTCCTCATATGACACTGCTGGTTCCATTCTGTTGCTTTTAGGGTCGCTGTACTGGGACATGCGTTGCCCTCAAATTGTAAAAATCCATGGAATGGTGTCGCCTGTAGCTGTCCTGTAGTCTGTGGGAACGATCCCGCCGCTTGCCACCAATTGTAACGGACCGTTTTGCACACAAGGGGTAAAAAACATTTAGGCGATCGTCCCCCTTTCCAGAGATGCAGGCACAGCTATTGTAGAACACCAAACACACGAACCGCCAATAAGTGAATGCTCCAAACTCCCGAACGGCATCCAATATAGCACTCCAAATACACGAACAGGAACCATACGAATCGCTGCTAGCAGACGAATAGGAAAAGCATCCAAGCGGCTTACACTCCTAGCAATCAGTCTCTATCAGCATTCAGTAAATCCCCCCAAAGACGAGACAAGGCTCCGTGTTGAGGGTCAAGCAGTGGTCTGTTTAATGAGGGCTACCTGCCCAGTATTTATGCAGGTCTCCGACCTGGTGGACACTCCCCTAGGGGACCAAATGGGAGACAGTGACAAAAGACAGACAAGTAGACAAATAGGACACACAGTCACATTATATTCCCACAATGCATCCTGGCTTCCTCCCCTGTGCCTTGGAGATAATTGAGAAGTAATTCAATTATCTCCCAAGACAAAGGCAAATCGCCATTATGCACGTGGGGATACTAACACACAAATTACTATTAAAATACACTATGTGAGACACATTACAATAAAACTATACATTTAACATATCCCCAGATAGCTCAGGTCTGAGCGCACATTATTAAGCGAATGGCGCTCAGACCACACGAATACAGTTTAATCGCCATGGAGCTAAAGTCTTTACACAGTCAGTTTCATGCAAATGGGCTCCATGGGATTCCTATCTGGGGTATAACATATTCCAGTAAAACTACCGAACGCCGGGCCGTTCGTGCACTTTCACCGACCAAGAAGGGAGGTCGGCGGCTTCAGCGGTGTTCGCGCAAAACTGTGTCCGATTTCAGTTCCATGAATTAAGCGTCGAACACCGCTGTGCATTCGCATGTTTAAAATGGCCGCGACCTCGTGTTCGTGATACGAATAGCGGCCACCCAGCATTCGTCAATTAAGCTGCGGTTAACCGCAGCTTCAGGGAGGCTAATTGCCGGCACACTCCAGCTCCCAGGTGGTCCAGTCATTCGTGCGGTTGTTTGGTAGATGGAATCTACCGAACACCAGGCAGAAAAGCACGAGTAAAGCTTTTCTGCAGGCGAAACAAAGTCTTTTAACATGGGGGCCATAGTCCAAAGGCAGCAGGCGAGCAACCAGGCTTCTCCAATGCAATGTGGCGAGATTGCTCTCGTCACACCAAGTTTTTCAAGATATTTTCCAGGAGAACTTAAGGCCATCTGTCTACCATCTGAAGCTCAACAGAAGATGGGTGTTGCAACAGGACAATGACCCAAAGCATAGAAGTAAATCAACAACAGAATGGCTTAAACAGAAGAAAATACGCCTTCTGAAGTGGCCCTGTCGGAGTCCTGACCTCAACCCGATTGAGATGCTGTCGCATGACCTCAAGAAAGCGATTCACACCAGACATCCAAAGAATATTGCTGAACTGAAACCGTTCTGTAAAGAGGAATGGTCAAGAATTACTCCTGACCGTTGTGCATGTCTGATCTGCAACTACAGGATACGTTTGGTTGAAGTTATTGCTGCCAAAGGAGGTTCAACCAGTTATTTTTCCACTTGCACTGTGAATATTTACATGGTGTGTTCAATAAAAACATGGCAACATTTCATTCTTTGTGTGTTATTAGTTTAAGCAGACTGTGATTGTCTATTGTTGTGACTTAGATGATGATCAGATCACATTTTCTGACCAATTTGTGCAGAAATCCATATCATTCCAAAGGGTTCACATACTTTTTCTTGCAACTGTATATAGTAATAAGACAACTGCAGTTGAACCACGTCCCCGTTGTTTTATGCCCCCAAGCTAAACACCAGAGAGGCCACTGAAATAAATGAGACAGGTGCATAACAATTCGTTATGTATGCTTGCAGCTGACAAGTACATCAGTGATAAAATAAAAGGTCATAAAAAATGCAGAGTATAAGAGAAAAAGAACAAAATAGCAATGAACTGTTGGCTGTGCAGTGGCTCATGCAGAGAACATAGTAAGGAGCTACACCTTAGTAGTGCAAGTCTCTGTTCAGCCGACTCCCCCCATGGGGCAAGCGAAAGTCCCACAGTGCAACACTGGTTGACAGGCCTGAGAGACCAATTGTCACCTGAGGCAGCATCTAAAGAAAACGCTGAGACAGACCTGCCGCGCTTCTTTTCCTCCTCTCCCAGTTTCTTGTTCCTGTGGGAAGCATAAACTGTGCAGCCGAAGGTGACTTCTGCAGATCTTCGGTAAGCGGTTGCTTTCCTCTCATCTCTCCGTCCCTGTGTGTTTTCCTCCTGGCACTGGAGTTACGCAGCTTTGGAGTTGGCAGACGGGCTGCTTTTGTCGCCGTGTGCCGATTAGGCCGCCTCCGCCACTGCCGCCTCAAGTATGTTGGGCTCTTGGTGTTTGCTGGAGGGCGCCTTGGGGAGCAGTGGGATGGTTCAGGAGGTGCCTCGAAGGTCTCAGTGGTTGTTAATCTGCTCTCCAGCCACCTCCAAAAGGCATTGAAGATAGCTACTAGACAGTGAGTCACGGGCATCTCCCCCTCAGGAGGAGTCTGGCTACACGTGGCGTCCGCCATCTTAGAGGGTATTCCACCTTGCTCACTGACATTTGCGTTTCCGCCATGGCTCCTCAGCTGTGCTTGGGAGCTGTCAGGGTGGGGACCGAGATCACCCCCACCGGTCCGGGGGGGTAGCAGGGCACCGGGACCATGCTCAGCACTTTGCCTGCACCGGTCCGGGAGATGGGCCGCCTCCCCCTTCCTCAGCACTGGCTAGGCCTAACTGCAGCTCGGCGTCTGGGGTGCCTTAAAAGCCAGCTGGAAGCGTTCCAAGGTCGGTTCTTCGTTTAGCTTAGCATCTCAGCCAGAAAAGTAGTTTTGCTCCCTAGGAACTAACAAAGGACATAACCAGTCGCCATGATTGTCAGGCTCCGCCCCCCAGGAAATTACTTTTTTTTTTTTTAATTTCTTAAAAGATCCCAGAATAACTCTTTAATCCTGTATCATTCAATAAAATAAAATTATTTTCCGTAACTCTTTAATCCCATATAATTAAAGTGACACTATAGTCACCTAAATTACTTTAGCTAAATAAAGCAGTTTTAGTGTATAGATCATTCCCCTACAATTTCACTGCTCAATTCACTGTCATTTAGGAGTTAAATCACTTTGTTTCTGTTTATGCAGCCCTAGCCACACCTCCCCTGGATTTGATTGGCAGAGCCTGCATGAAAAAAACCTCTCTAAATTGAACTTTAATCACATACAGGAGGCTCTTGCAGGGTCTAGCAAGCTATTAACATAGCAGGGGATAAGAAAATCTTAATTAAACAGAACTTGCAATAATGAAAAGCCTAAATAGAGCTCTGTTTACAGGAAGTGTTTATGGAAGGCTGTGCAAGTCACATGCAGGGAGGTGTGACTAGGGTTCATAAACAAAGGGATTTAACTCATAAATGGCAGAGGGTTGAGCAGTGAGGCTGCAGGGGCATGTTCTATACACCAAAACTGCTTCATTAAGCTAAAGTTGTTCAGGTGACTATAGTGTCCCTTTAAACTAGATAAAATTGTTCACAGGTCATTGTGATTTTACAGAAACCTTATAAAAAGGAACTGCCCATCCAAAATTTTGAAATGTTACAGGATTATTTGCTATACTGTGAAATGAAAATCAAAAGCTCAAATTTAGGTAAAAACTGATGAAATGTAAAAATTCTCCAAAGTGGACCTAGTTACAACTGTATTTTGCAGATTTCTTTTCACCTCACAGTTCATTACTTATAATGCCCCAGAGTGTTACACCACTTTTAACATCTGGGGAACTCCTGTAAGTGTCAGTCAGTGATTTATCAACATAATGCATGTAAATAACTCTGTGTATTTAAGATAACACTGTTTTCAAATCTCCTGTAAAATCTGATAATCTCCTAAATCCATTTACAGTGATTTTAAAAGAAGTGTTGGTGCTCATTTGCAGTGAGAACCCCAGAAAAAAAAAAATATCCTTAAGTATTGTTTATGCTAAAAATGGAATTAGAGACACTAAAAGGAGATGTGTAAATAAAAATTAAAAAAAAGTGTCTTTATTGTATACAATTTACCATAGCTACACAGTTTTTCTTGCAAACTATAACAAAACAAACAGTGGGAACTCTAATGTCACGTTCTGTAGGCGGTGGAACGCCTTTTAAAAGCGCACCTAGTGAGGGCGGAAGCGAGTTCAATATGGAGAGTAATATGAACGGAAGTACATTCGAATAGCTCGGTCAATTGAGGGTGAAAATGTATGCGATACTGTATCTAATGAGGGCGGAAATACGTTTTTATATTGCTGCAAGCGAGGGCGGAAGTACGTTTTCAAATTGCTGCAAGTGAGGGCGGAAGTACGTTTTCAAATTGCTGTGAGTGAGGGCGGAAGTACGTTTTCAAATTGCTGTGAGTGAGGGCGGAAGTGAAGTATCTGGAAGCTCTTGTTTTGGTTTGGATTGTATTGCTTGTGATCCAGAAGCCGGTGGAGTACTCTAGTATGGCTGTCAATATAGTGGTGGAGTATTGGTGAGGACTGCTGCTCAGGGCTAATCATCATATATACATGAATTGCTGGTTACTTACTGATCTGTCTGTACAGATACCATATTGGGTATTTATCTGGCTACTAACTTGACATTGAAACCTTATCCCATTTTTATATATGTTTGTTTTCCTACTGTAATACAGGGGGTGTATTTTTTGCGAAGAGCCCACAATGTGAAATGGCCACTTCTGTGGAGGTGGTCAATGAGGCAACCTATAGGGAGATATAGCTACTCTAAGTTCTTATTCCTCATTACTGCCATTATTCTTTGGCTCTTGGTGATTTTCACCACTAGTGTGCTCTCATACATGCGTAAGAATACAAAATGAGGTCCTGAAAGAGCCTGGGTTCTTCATCTTCGATAATCTGTGCATGCGCTAGAACAGGGATAGGCAACCTTCGGCACTCCAGATGTTTTAGACTACATTCCCCATAATGCTCTTACACCCATAATGCTGATATAGCATTATGGGCGGTGTAGTTCAAAACATCTGGAGTGCCGAAGGTTGCCTATGCCTGCGCTAGAAGGTGCCATTGTGCACTGCGCAAGATAATGTCGCTTCCCATCAGGTGTTGCAACTGTCTGCTGACCTGAAATAGAGGCTATTTTGACCTTAAATGGTTATTCGAAGCACCATGACCACTTCAGTGATTTGGAGTGATCATGGTGCCTGGAGTCGGTATGTGCAGTGTTTTGATGTAAAACACTGCACATGCTGAGTTTAACCCCATTGGCTGCCAGAGTTGTAACTTCACTTCCATCAGTGTCATAGGGTGCAATTAGCCTGCCAGAAACTAGACACCCTGGCTGTTTAATGTCAATTCTGTGCAGATTTGTTTTGCACAGTGTAACTTTCATCGACTGAGCTCGCAATCAATAAATGGGGACTACATCAGTTACTGCAGATGCCAGAAGCTTGTCCCCAATGAGGAGAGACAACCAGGAACCTGGCAAGGACCCAAGTAAGGAGACAAACCGTTAATAAACTATTTGCCCCGTTACCAGAGAACCAAGCCTGGGTACTTCTAGTATCATAACCACTACAGCAGGCGGTATTGGTTATGATACTGTAAGTAAGCTTTTAAATTCACTTTAGTAAATAAACCCTTTGGGCTTTAATTTCCTAAATATGGACAAGTAAAATCTGAAGTAAAACAGTGCTTAGTGTTTCTCTAAATTATCACTTGTGACATGCCACAGGTCATAATAAACGCTTATTCTTATAGCATTGTCATCTAATCAAGGTTGTCCGGGTTGGGCGAAATTGAGATTAATAATGTTGAAGTGTTAAAGTAAAACTATAGTTTTCCTGCTACTATAGCTTTTCCCTCCCTCGCGCCACCTCTTCTGCCACTTACCTGGGTCTATTGCCGATGTCCATCGGCACTGGCTTTGTTCCTTTATCGCTCCTCTGACATCGGTGAGGGAGACCTAATGCACATTAGGATTTCCCCTGGGGTTTTGGGTGTCGCTGGACGTCCCCATGCATAGCGTAAGCATGTCAAGCATCAGTTAGGCGACCAAAAGTCGCCTAACTGCCCGGAAGTCTCTCTAGTGGCTGTCTGGTAGACATCAATTATTGGTGGAGTTAAAGGGATCCTATAGTGCCAGGAAAACAAAGCTGTTTTCCTGGCACTATAGGTTTAATAGGTCCCCCCTTCCTCGCACCCTCCCACGTAGCTGAATGAGTTAAAACCCCTTCAGCCACTTACTTGAATCTGCCCACACTCCAAGCGCATTAGACCTCCCCATTGGAAAGCATTATTCAATGCTTTTGTATGGGGAAAATCTGACGCTGGAGGTCCGTGAGGTCTGGCTCCGACACGCTCCTTGCCTGCTGGCTGATGTCCTAAATGCACATGTGCAGCAATGGCCATGCGTGCTTTAGACCTCCCTATAGGAAAGCAGTGTTCAATGCTTTCCTATGGGAAAAATCTGACACTGGAGGTCCTCATGCAGAGCTTGAGGACAGACTTAGAGCTGCAATGTAAACATTGCAGCACTAAGTGCAAAAGAGTCACAGCACCTAGACAATTTCAATTAACTGAAGTGGTCTGGGTGCTTACAGTGTCCCTTTACCCCGAAAGGTAATTATTAAAAACTGCAATAATTACCTTTGCAGGGTTAAGGAACCTGGGACAGTGCACCCAGATCACTTCAATGAGCTGAAGTGTTCTTGGTGCCTATAGTGTCCCTTTAATTCCACTTTATTAGGCACCAATATACTCAGGCAACCTAATACCAAGGCAGGCCTAATTACTACAGTAAGCTATTAAATAAACACAATTCTGACACTTTGAGAATGAGCTATTCATGATTATTTTGTGACCCTTCATAGTGAGCCATGTGGGTTTAAGTCCCACTATGAAGAATTGGCGAGTGCGGTGCGGGAGGAGTTTCCTGATGTTGCCATTGACTCTCGTCCTGGGGGAACCGGTAAGCATCCATTGATTATGATGTGACTTTCCTATTCTGCTTTATTGATTATCTTTTCATTTCCAGGAGCCTTTGAGATAGAGATAAATGGACAACTGGTTTTCTCCAAACTGGAGCTTGGTGGATTTCCCCACGAGAAAGATGTAAGTTTTTCTTGGCCCTTCACACTCTGCTTGGGAATACCAGATGAAGAAAAAAGTAATATTAATAGTTGAAAATAAATATTCATATTGTTTTTATTTGTTAAAGGACCCCTGCTTTTTAGAAGGATATCATTTTTATGGATCCTATAAATAATGCATTTAAAATACCATATTTAAAACATAACTCTGAAAGCCTCTGGCAGATGGTCCTTGGATTCTTATCCTTCTGCAGTCATGTTTGTGTTACCTAGAAGTTAGCTGATCTGTCTCAGCCAGTTTCAGGACTTCCAAAATATATTCGTGTAGATGGAGAATTTGTGAATGTGTGTTGTGTGCATGTGATATCAAACAATACCTCATGCTCAATAAATTACAGTTGTTTTGCAACTTTTCATCCACTTTAAATAAAATAAGAACGTCTAGCTCCAAGTATTTGGAATCTTCCAGGTACTTTCAAGTGAGTGAGACGTCATGAGTAGTGACATTGTATATGCACAGGCACCACGTTTACTTAGGAAAACTCTGCGTGTTTTAGAGGCTGTGTACAGCTGTACACTTCTGGAGGGTATCATAACAAGATACTAGTGTAAGTCATAAATGTGGGGGGTAATACCTTGCTTATATTTATTTATTGCAAAAAAAACCCACAAAAATTTCATTTTAGTGCCTTTTAGATATTTTTTGTCTTCTCCATTGTGTTTGTTGGAATGTTGCAGGTGAGACTGTTCCATTGACCAGTTGACAACTCTATTGCCATTAGCCAGAACATCTTGTTCCAGGACTTAGAAATGAGGAGACACAAGTTTTTTTTTTTGGTTTTTTTTTTTGTTTTTTGGGGGGAGAGGGGACAATTCTTTGCTGGAAATGTGGATGTTTTTCCCTTCACTCTTTTCCCTTTTTTTGTTTGTTCAACTGTTCTCATATCCTTTCCCCTCATATCTTATCCCTTTAATAGGCCACTGAGTCTCTGTACACAAAACGTGATTGACAGTACATTAATGTTCGTTGGGGTTCTAGTTCTGTACATTTTATCGGGGTCTTCGTAGTAACTATTACTATTTTTCCTCTACAGATGATGGAAGCTATTCGAAAAGCCAAATCTGGCGAACCATTAGAGAAAATCACCAACAGTCAGGCGCCATGTGTTATTCTGTAACTCTTCCTGCCTTATCAAGCCAAAATTATTATTCCCTCACCTTGCTACTGAACCATCACCATAGTGGCCTAAGAATGTCCTGTAGTTCCACCTTTTACAATGTTTCAGCCAAGGATATACTTCTCTTTAAAATGTTATCCATGAGCTGTGGATAAGCTAACAAATATGTCCATATTGGGAAGTACCATGTGGAATTAGTCTAAGATGGTGGCAGGAAGTAGAGAGCATTGGATTATGGGATGCACCATCGTAAAGTTTACACAAAGTCCAAGTCGTTGGCAGGTAGAGGAAAGTAGTGCACATTTTCTCATACAATGCCTGTATCTGTGATGGATGAATAAGTGTCATGAATAATTCCAGAAGGCACTGGTATCTAACTGTGCTATCCTTATCGTCCCAATGTAAGCAATCAATGTTTAATAAAAGGAAAATCATATTATGAGTGCTGTTTACATTTTCTTTCCTTTGAGTTTTTCCACAAGAATGCCAAGCCACCCTGATTTTATTTTTTCACACTCCGTTCTTGTTAATCCCCAAAATCTAGAATGTTACGGATTCCTTAAGGATAGGATTGGGGGCTGCTGTTGCATATCACTAAATGGATGTATCAGAGTATGGCAGTGTTGTTTTTTTGTAGGGCAATGGCAGGAATTGGGGAGTCAGATTCAGCATACAATGGGAAGGGGATTAGGTTTTGCCTATCCAGAGAGCAGATTCTGGATATATTTCAAAAGTCTATTAAAATGAAGTAGGAGAAGGCAGTTTGGTGTCGTGGTGGGTATGCTGTGTATGCATGGCAGAAGATGGGCCAGTGTAGTGGGGGTGTAAATGGACAGTGACAAGAATTATGTATGTACTCTGCAGCTACATAATTGAAAAGCATATTGACGGACACAGGGAAGGATTGGTGCAGCAAATAACTCATGTTAAACTACACTTAGCATTGAGCATTCCTGCACTGTTACCAGTGTAAACACAAAACATAAACGACAAATTCTTAATAGACAAAAATACTCCTTTATTATTCGTTAGATGTTGATTAAAGTAAAAACAGGACAAATAAGGCTTTATATTTCTAACCCTTTTAGCTTTATCAACAGTTAGTCGCTTTTGTGTTTGAATTCCATTTTTTTGTATTTTAACAGAGCTTTAAATAGAGCTGTCTCAGAATTTCCACTCACACGATTCAGTCCTGGGGAGTGTGCCATGGAATCCACACTTCTGACCCTTGGTGCTGTATTCAGCAGTCTGTGTATTCAGCAGACTGTGTGTGTGTGTGTGTGTGTGTGTGTATTCAGCGAACTGTGTGTGTATATGTATGTATTCAGCAGTCTGCGTGTGTTTGTATTCAGCAGACTGTGTATGCATGTATGGATACCTGGATGTACCCATCCAGAGTCCATACCTCTGTGATGGTTGTGTGCGAGTGGCTTCTCTGGAAGCTCAGATTGGAGATCTCGAGAAACAAATCGCAACTTTGAGGGAGATTGACAATCTTGAGAGAAGTCTTCTGCTCACTGAGCAGAGTTTAGTGGGGACAGGTAGTGGAGAGGGAGGAGATAAGACAGATGGGTAACAGGCACGTAGCTTGGTGTCAGTGGGGCGAGGAAGCGGGGGGGAGGGAAGAGGAAAGGGCTAGCTAGTCCTGATTTGGTGCAACCTAGCAGATTTGCCCGTTTGAGGGAAGATGTTGGGAGCATCAGCTCAGGAGTAGCTGTATTGGAGGAAGCTGTTACTTCTAACAGCCGAGCTAACAGCCCCCCTAGTACGGGTGGGGATCAAAATGTAAGGAAGGCAAGACAGGTTGTGGTGGTAGAGGACTCTATCATTAGGAGAGCAGATAGGGCAATCTGCCGCTCTGATCGGCTAAACCGGACAGTTTGCTGTCTCCCGGGTGCTCGGGTCTGGCATGTTGCTGACAGAGTGGATGGATTATTGGGAGGGGCTGGGGATGACCCAGCGGTCATGGTCCATGTTGGTACCAATGACAAAGTAAGAGGAAGATGGAAGGTCCTAAAGAATGATTTCAGGAATTAGGTAGCAAACTTAAGAAAAGGACCTCCAAGGTGGTATTCTCTGAGATATTACCTGTGCCACGCGCTACAGTGGAAAGGCAGCGGGAGATTAGAGAGGTCAATGCGTGGCTTAAGTCTTGGTGCAGGAAGGAGGGTTTGGGGTTTTTAGAGCACTGGGCTGACTTTGTGATTGGGTACAACCTTTATAGTATTGTAAATTATTTTCCAGCGCTGGGCGGAGAGCTCTCCTCCTCCGATCCTCCTCTTCTCCTCCCCGTCGGCTGAATGCGCACGCGCGGCAAGAGCTGCGCGCGCATTCAGCCGGTCACATAGGAAAGCATTCATAATGCTTTCCTATGGACGCTGGCGTGCTCTCACTGTGAAAATCACAGTGAGAAGCACGCAAGCGCCTCTAGCGGCTGTCAATGAGACAGCCGCTAGAGGAAATAGGGGAAGGCTTAACCCATTCATAAACATAGCAGTTTCTCTGAAACTGCTATGTTTATGAAAAAATGGGTTAACCCTAGAGACCAGGCACCCAGACCACCTCATTAAGCTGAAGTGGTCTGGGTGCCTAGAGTGGTCCTTTAAGGAACTAAGTGTAGAAATAAGTGAACCTCTGTTTTTAATCTTTCAAGATTCTTTTCTTTCAGGAAGTGTTCCGGAGGATTGGAGGAAGGCAGATGTGGTTCCTATATTCAAAAAGTGTTCAAAATCCTTGCCTGGAAATTATAGACCTGTGAGCTTAACCTCTGTGGCTGGTAAAATATTTGAAATGCTATTAAGGGATAATATTCAAGAATTCCTTCAGAAGAACATTATCAGCAAAAATCAGCACGGTTTTATGAAGCACACGTCATGTCAAACTAACTTGGTTGCGTTCTACGAAGAAGTAAGTAGAAGTATAGATCAGGGTGTTGCAGTGGATGTGATCTATTTGGAATTTGCCAAGGCATTTGATACAGTTCCACACAATAGATTAGTGTTCAAACTCAAGGAAATCGGTCTAGATGAAAATGCTTGTTCTTGGGTAGAACATTGGCTTAAAACAGAGTACAAAGAGTTGTCATTAATGGTAAATTTTCAAGCTGGACAGAGGTGGCAAGTGGTGTCCCTCAGGGGTCTGTTCTGGGACCCCTTCTATTTGACATGTTTATAAATGATCTTGAAGAGAGCATTTAAAGTCATGTTTCAGTGTTTGCAGATGACACAAAACTCTGTAAAACAATACAATGCGAGCAAGATATTACTTTGCTGCAGAGGGATTTAGATAGACTGGGGGACTGGGCACTCAAATGGCAGATGAAATTTAATGCAAAGTTATGCACTTCGGCGTAAAGAATGCACAAGCAACGTATACCCTTAATGGAAGCGAATTAGGGTTAACAATACATGAAAAGGACTTGGGAATTGTTATAGACAACAAACTATGCAACAATGTGCAATGTCAATCAGCAGTGGCCAAGGCCAGTAAGGTATTATCATGCATGAAAAAGGGCTTTCATTCTCGGGACGAGAATATAATTTTGCCTCTTTATAAATCACTGGTAAAACCCCATATTGAATATGCTGTGCAATTTTGGGCACCTGTTCTAAAGAAGGATATTATGGCACTAGAAAAAGTGCAGAGGCGGGCTACAAAATTAATAAAAGGAATGGAACATATCAGCTACGAAGAAAGGTTAACAAATTTAAACCTATTTAGTTTAGAAAAACATCGCCTGAGAGGGGATATGATAACATATATTATACAAATATAATTATATAAAATATAATATAATATACAAATATATTCGGGGCCAATACAACCCATTGTGTGGAAATCTATTCACAAACCGGACTTTACACGAGGCCATGCGTTTAGACTGGAAGAAAGAAGATTTAGTCTAAGGCAAAGGAAAGGTTTTTTTTACTGTAAGAACAATCAGGATGTGGAATTCTCTGCCTGAAGAAGTGGTTTTATCAGAGTCCATACAGATGTTCAAACAGCTACTAGATGCATACTTGCAAAAACAGAATATTCAAGGATATAATCTTTCAATGTAAGGTCAGATCCAAGGATAAATCTGACTGACATTCTGGGGTCAAGAAGGAATTTTTTTCCTAGCTTGTTGCAAAATTGTGCTTCAAACTGGTATTTTTTGCCTTCTTTTGGATCAACGGCAAAAAACAAATGTGAGGAAGGCTGAACTTGATGGACGCAATCTCTTTTCAGCTATATAACTATGTAACTATGTATTCAGCGGACTGTGTGTATGTATTTAGCAGTCTGTGTGTATGTATTGCATTTGTTGGAGATACTAATAAATATAAGCTTAATTTTATCTATTTATATCATTATTTAAAATTTGTATCATTGAACTCTCTGTTGTGTTCTTCTTTTAAAAAAAAAGTTGTTAATTAGTTCGGACAGCTGTACGAGTTGTTTTCTAAACTTAAACCTCAGTATTCAGGTTTAATTGCCGTGTTGGCACCTTGAGGAAAAAAAGTTGGCATGTATTGCGGTTTGGGCACTCAGGCTCAAAAAAGTTCGCCATCACTGCCTTAGATGGCTGCTAAAGCTGCTTCCTTGGGCAGTGCTTCAGAGTAAACAGCACTGCCATTCAGTGTCTCCACCCTCTGCATGGAGACACTGAACTTTCCTCATAGAAATACATTGATTCAATTAATCTCTATGAGGACATGCTGATTGCCCAGGGCTCTGTTTTGCTTGTGCTGGCTCTGCCCCTAATCTGCCTCCTTGACAGTCTCCACCAATCCTAAGGGGAAGCATTGTGATTGGCTCAGACTACCACTTCTGATGATGTCAGCAGAAACAGGCAGTTTCAGAGACAGACAGGGGCAGAGCCAGCAGCTTCAGATGTGAATTCAAGTAAGATTTTACTTTATTTAGGAAGGCATACCGACATTTGTTGTAACCTTTTAGCAGGGGGGGCTAGATGGTGCTTTTGTAACACTATAGGGTCAGGAATACATGTTTGTGTTTGTAACGGCACCCACAAGTATAAAAGGGGTTAAACCGCCGTTTAGAAGATCTTCCCCTTCCAGATACACAGGCAGCTACCAAAGACACCAATCCGCCGAACAGGAAACCATTTGAATGCCGTAAACAGCCGAACCGGAACCATACGAATGCTGTAAACAGCTGAATAGGAAAAAACAGACGAATAGGTTTACACTCCTACCAGTCAAACTGGAACAGCATACAATAAATCCCCCCCAAGAACGAGACAAGGCTCCGTGTTGTGGGTCAAGCAGGAACAGACAGAGCTGTTGGTTTATTGTTCTTATATACACATTCTTACACATTAGTACCACCCACAGGGTTTTGGAAAACAACCAATACACACAAAAAATACACTCAGACACTCCCACACAAAATCCTCCCCTCTGCCTGTGATACAATTACCTTACACAATGGGTAATGTAATTATCACAGGCAGAGAAATACAGTTTTTCCACATTATTCATAATTTTAAAAGTATGCATCACATTCACATAAAACATTTTCAGAATCAGCATACTCCAAATACAAACATACGTTAAAATCATACAATTTGGTCCAGTGGTTCAAAAGATAGATCATAGTCCTTTGTGACCAAATGAAGCATGGCTTTTCTGACCAAAACCAATTCCACAGTGTCTTCTATCCTGGAGATAATTGGGAAGTAATCCAATTATCTCCAAGGACAGAGGCAAAACTCCATTAAGCACATGGCAGTAAAAAGACAGTAAAATACAATAAAATACAGAAGGTTGCATTTATTACATAAAATACAGACATGCAACATATCCCCAGATAGCTTAGGTCTGAGCGCACATTATTACTGAATGGCACTCAGACCACACACATTTAGTTCAATTGCCATGGAGCCAAAGTTTTTTATTACACGAATAGGCTCCATGGCATAGCTATCTGGGTTAAATGAGTTCATTCAGTAAATCCGAGAATCTACCGAACGCCAGGGCAGAAATGCATGAATAGACCTTTCTGCATAGGAAAATAAAGTATTTAAATGCCGGTCCATAGTCAAAAGGCAGCAGGCAGGCAACCAGGCTCCTCCAATGCACAGTGGCGAGATTGGTCTTGTCACATCTCTCCCCTTTTCCAAACAGACTAACAGGGTATCTAACCTCCTGCCGGTCAGCGCCCTGGTTAGTCCAGCAGCCCACCCACAAAACACAATCAGCAGTACAGCCCACCCACAATAACTGGTTACTACACCTGGGTAGAGGAGAAACTTGTCCATGTCCAGGTGCCTCACCACAGCTGTGTGGGGTACTGGTAGGCTGCCTTGGTGGGTTGCTGAGTGGGCAGAGACCAGCGGTACTCTGCCCTGATGCCAGCGCTACCACGGAAGTAGCCTGGTTGGAGCCTGGTTGTTGGAGGTGGAGACCGACTGTCTCCCCTTTGGATACACAACTCTGCTGCTGGAGGGGGAGACCGACTGTCTCTCCTTTAGATACACAGCTCTGCTGCTGGAGGGGGAGACCGACTCTCTCCCCTTTGGATACACAGCTCTGCTGCTGGAGGTGGAGACCGACTCCAGGGTTGCTAGGTGAGCCAGGTCTTGTTCTACCTCATGGGGGTCATCCCAGTCATGCCTAGCCTCCCTCTCGTAGAAAATGTCCTGAAGTCTGGTCTGCGCAGGGCTCCCGAAGTCAGGCTCTGCAAAGGACTCCCATAACAAGCCTGGACCATCAAACTCCTCTCCCTCTGGCTTGTCATGCTCGGCTGTCCAGGGTATATACTGTGCACATGGCAGTAAAAAGACAGTAAAATACAATAAAATACAGAAGGTTACATTTATTACATAAAATACAAACATGCAACATATCCCCAGATAGCTTAGGTCTGAGCGCACATTATTACTGAATGGCACTCAGACCACACACATACAGTTCAATTGCCATGGAGCCAAAGTCTTTTATTACACGAATAGGCTCCATGGCATAGCTATCTGGGTTAAATGAGTTCATTCAGTAAATCCGAGAATCTACCGAACGCCAGGGCAGAAATACACGAATAGACCTTTCTGCATAGGAAAATAAAGTATTTAAATGCCGGTCCATAGTCAAAAGGCAGCAGGCAGGCAACCAGGCTCCTCCAATGCACTGTGGCGAGATTGGTCTCGTCACAGTGTTCCTGACCCTATAGTGTTCTTTAAACATTTGGAGAAATGTACCCAGTTTGTTTGCTCACAGCAGAATAGTTTAACTTGTTTTCAAGAAAATCTAAGAAATATATAAACACACAAATATATATCCAAAAGGATATATGCAAGGGTGGTATCAGATAAACACATGCAATATATATACATATATATATATATATCTATTATATAAAAAAGAAAAAAAGACCTTGCACTCCAACTTACATTATAAAACACCCGGTGCTCAATTGCAGTAAATAGATACAGCCAAGAGGAATCAGCACTCCCAGGATTTATTCAAAAAACAACAACTTTTCTTTATTCCAAAGGTCAACGTTTCAGTTCCGCTAGGGAACTTTTATCAAGACAGAATACAAACATGTTTAAAAATCAACATTGCTTAAATAAGGAAAGTAATCAAGTAAACTCACAGTTCAGATGTGCAGGGGGCCGGCCGTCCTCACTTCCGAACGAGTGGGCGGATACCTCAAGGAGCATATGTCCCTCTAATTAAGCCAATATGTTCAAACTTTGGACCGGTTGTCATAGCGATTAATACACAAATCGCCAAATTTTGCTCGCTCAGGTTACTTCCTGAATGCCTGCGACCTCCATCTCCATGGAGACGTCGGGCGCATGCGTATTGGACAAACTGCTACCTCTCTGCATCCGCCCCTCGTACGGGAGCTGGATCTCACACGCCGTGCTAAAGGAATACATTGTATCAATGTATAAAGCCTGTTACATTGCCATACACTTCTCTATGCGATCGTACACAGGCTTCAAGTATATCTGCTAGCCACTGTCACTACATACACAAAACCAGGCCCGGACTGGCCATCGGGCACACCGGGCAAATGCCCGGTGGGCCGCGGTGGCCGTGGGGCCGATGCCGGCAGGGGAGGTCCCAGGATCTCCCCTGCCGGTCTATGCAGGGCCGGCGCTATCCGAGCGCCGGCCCCGCTGTCTTCCATGGAGGGCCGATGGGGAGATCAAAGAGCTCCCTCACCGGCCCATTTAAATAGACCTGCGGCTGGGGAGGGAGGGAGAGGACCCGGCGGAGCTCTGTCTTGCAGCTCCGCCGGGTTTCTCTCGCGAGATCCGGAGCGTTGCCATGGCAACGCCCCGATCTCGCGAGACAGTTCACTCACCACTGGACCACCAGGGATGGTGTGTGAGTGCCGGTGCCCCCCCTCCCAGCTACCACGTGCCTGTCCCCCCCTCCCAGGCTAAAGGTAAGAAGGGAGGGGGGGGGTTTAGTTTTTTTTTTTGCTTAGTTTTTATTTATTTTTTTTATATATTTACCCCCACTTAATTTTTTATTTGTTTATTTACCCCCCAACACACAACATTTATACACAGCACTATCACACTCAGCATTCTCAGCACTCACACAGCACTCTCACACACATCACACCCAGCACTCTCACACCCAGCACTCTCACACTCAGCACTCTCACACACATCACACGCAGCACTCTCACACACATCATAGCACTCTCACCCACATCATAGCACTTTCACACACATCATAGCACTTTCACACACAGCACTCTCACACACATCATAGCACTCTCACACACAGCACTTTCACACTCAGCACTCTCACACACATCACACACAGCACTATCACACCCAGCACTCTCACACACATCACACACAGCACTATCACACCCAGCACTCACAACACACAACACTCTCACACACAGCACTCTCACACACAGCGCAGCACTCTCACACATCATAGCACTCTCACACACATCACACGCAGCACTCTCACACACATCACAGCACTCTCACACACAGCACTCTCACACACATCATAGACAGCAATCTCACACATCGCAGCACTCTCACACACATCATAGCACTCTCACACACATCATAGCACTCTCACACACAGCACTCTCACACACATCATACACAGCAATCTCACACATCGAAGCACTCTCACACACATCATAGCACTTTCACACACAGCACTTTCACACACAGCACTTTCACACTCAGCACTCTCACACACATCACACAACACTCTCACACACAGCACTCAGCACTCAGGCACATCACTCTCACACACATCACACTCAGCACTCACACACATCATACACAGCACTATCACACTCAACACTCATACACAGCACTATCACACTCAGCACTCACACACATCACACACACAACACTCTCACACACATCATACACAGCACCCTCACACACACAGCACCCTCACACACATCACACCTCACACACACATACTGCACCCCTCACATACACACACAACCCCCCAATACACTGCATCACACACATACACAATACTTCCAAACATATTTATATAAACTATATATATATATATATATATATATATACACATACACACAACACCCCTCACACACACACTGCACCCCTAAACACATTACATTCCAGACACACACTAGATCCTTTAGCCAACTCTGGATCATATACACACACACACTCTGGATCCCCTATATGCACACTAGATTCCTTGTAAGCAAACACATACTACATTCCCTGAACACACACTCTCTACAAACACTAAATCACCTATACACACACACACTATAGCCTGTATGCACACACTTGCTACATCCCCTATACACACATTCTCTACAGCCCCTAGACACATATGCATTACATTACACCACAAACACAACACGACTAAAACAGACCTTATTACACAATACCACACCATGACCAGCTCACTCTGCACAAACGTAATACCACAAACAGGCTCCAAACACATGCACAATACTCTTTCCTGGCCCTTTTGTCTCCTGGTATCCATTTATAGAGACACCAGAGACAAGTTGCAAGGAAACACAGTGCAAGCATGTTATTAAATTTGCTTGCACTGTGCAGAACAAATACAGGGCTTTTTTCTCATGCTAGAGCTCTTCAGCAGAGCTCTGCGCATGGTCTGCCCTGGAAGAGCATTGAACCAACATGCTCACTTTGAGAGGGAGGCGTGTTTGTCATGAGTGATGACAAAACACACCCTCTCTGCCCCGCCCCCTTCTTAGTGGGCCGCTGTGATAAAAAAATGCCCGGGCTGAATTTTTTTCCCAGTCCGGCCCTGCACAAAACTAAAGGTATAAAAAACCTAATTAGCAAATCGTTCTAACTCATATATAGGTCATCTAGTTTGATACATCCCTGTGATTAATCCCAGTGAACACATTACTTTATGTCCCAAAACCAAGTGCTCAGTGTATATTCTATTGTTATAGAAACTAATAAAGCCTAATAAGATACAAACTAGTATGTAATCTGCAACCTCTCCTCTCAAGGACATCTCAAAGTTCATATTACACTATGTCAAAAAAAATAAAGTGCTCATAATGTTCTATAGTATCAAAGGCTATTCAAGGCTAATCATCAAAATATTCATAAATTCTATGTGTGCAAAAAAGCCATTCTTTAAACAACAAAGTGCCAAGTGCATAATGCTAAAGTGAAACTAATGCTGCTTTGTAGTCCACCTAAGCGATCCTATGTAAAATTCTAAAGTCTCCCATGAGATAAATGACTATGTGTATAACTTTATATCTGCCAAACCTTCCTATTCATATAGAGACCTAAATCATGATACTTCCTAGGCTCATATAGAAAAATAGGAATAAACCATACTTTTGTATCTAGAAAACAAGAAACACATATGAGGCATAGCATGCAGAGGATCCTTAACCCATCCAACATTATATCCAGAACCGTGGTTAAATGATTACTATAATAGTGTATATTTGATACAACTTCAATATAACCTAATCAACAACATAAAAAAATTAAAATTAAAATAGGCCTGATGACACAACTATAGACAAAATAATATATTCTTATTGCTATACTGAGCTACATTCCAACAAACTATGTCCCTCACTGCCATATAGTGCAACATAACCTGTTAGAGGAAGGAAGTGCATGTTAATTTCTCATTAAGTCCATAAGGGGCCAACGTCCCCAACTTCTGAATCCACCATGTCTCCTTCTGCAGCAACTGCTCCTGTCTGTTGCCACCTCTCCTCGAGATTGGGATATGGTCTATCGCCACACACTTCAATGAGGCTAAAGGATGGCCTTTCTCCAGGAAGTGTCGTTCCACCGGTTTGTCGAACTTATTGTCCCTATAGGCCAATCTAATACTGGACCTGTGTCCTCTTATTCTTTCGCAAAGTGCCGTTTCCGTCTTGCCGACGTAGTTTAAGCCACAAGGGCATGACAGTTTGTAAATTACGTAATCTGTACGGCAACTTATCCTGTGTTGAATCTTAAACAGTTGACCCGTATGTGGGTGGTTGAAACTCTTGCATGGTATGAGGTGTCCACAGGTCACGCAGCCTAAACATCTCACACAACCGTTGTTTGCTACATTTTTATTGGCTGGCATGTAACTTTGAACCGGGTCAGTATGGACCAGAAGGTCCCTTAGATTCTTGTTGTTCCTGTAGGAAAACATCGGTTTATTATGGAGACTATCCGGAAGGCTCTTGTCGTTCTCCATAATGTGCCAATTTCTATCCACTGTCTGGCAGATTTTAGTAGTGGCCGTTTCATCCAGACCGACTTTCTTAGACACATCTGATACCACCCTTGAATGTATCCTTTTTGGTATATATTTGTGTGTTTAGTTTATAAGGTGTCCGTGAGTTGTATAGTGACTTTAGTCAGGAATGCCCAATATGGATCAGCTGATATTAATTTTCATATGCCGATACCGATTATGTGTGGATCTTTTGAACTGATAATCAGTACAGATATTCTTCCTCCCTCCCTGCCTTTTACCTGTGGTTAGAGAGGGGCACTTTACACTCCTTTGTGATCCAGTGGCTGTGTGTACTCTGACTGTGTAGCACTCACATTGTAGAAGTGGCAGTCGGGACCCAGCACTCGCTCTCTTCTGTTTCCGAAATATTCTCTCTCCAGCTGTTGTGAGCCTGGTATGCCGTGCGGAGCATTGTGGCAGTAACGCACGGCAATGCTTTGAAGTACCAGGGCTCATTAGAGTTGGAAAGAGGACCTGCCAGAAATGTGAGTGGCACCCAGTCAACCTATTATTCAGCCTCAATACATACCTGCTTCACTAGCTGATTCCTCAGTAGCAACTCAAAATGGCTTCCAACTGTCACACTGAGACCTAGAAATTCCAGTTGGCTTGTCCTGCTGTTCTTAAAGCTGCAATCATCTCAACACCCCTCTCCTATCCATAAATAAATGAACAAGTAAATAACTAAAATTACAATTATGAAATACTTTATATAAGAATATAATATTCAACATAAATTTACATAAATCACTAATCTTGGGCACGGTTCAGATTCACATGGGCTTCTGCAGGCTGGCCATCTTTGCCTTGAGGGTTGTAGAGAATTTGGCCAATGAAATGTTGTCTCTGGAGGAGTTACCGAGAATTGTAGATCACCAGTAAGACTTTGTAGCTGGAACAGGAACATTCTGATTATTTTTAGGCATGCTATAGTCATCCTCAGGACACCCAGGTGGACACCACACTCCATGTCAGATAACATCAGAATTTGAATCTTTTGATTTCTATTTGTATAGGGGAGATCTATATCCCACCTGTGCTGTATGACAGAAAACTGTTCCGCTAGTAGTTGAACTTTGAACAATCTCTTGCCAAGGCCTTGAATTATGATGAATGGAATCCATTTACCCTGCCAATGGTAGCCACTAATCCATACTCTTTCATGAATATCAAACTCTGGAACATTAGAAATCCTCAACTCCTGATTAGAATGTTCTTGCCAAATTTGATCAAGAAGATTTCTCAGGCGTCTTCCAATCATTACCATAACAGGTGATAGGCCAGTTGTGGAATGCAGTGTGTTCCAGTAGTTAAATAAGAAAATTAGAAAGTATTTTCTGATTACATTTTTTTATGTGTGAGACCACTAAATGACTTTTCAAAGTTTGTACACATTGTTCAGCCTGTCCATTAGAGGCTGGAAAATATTAAATGGTCGTACAGTGCTGGATATTATTTGAAGCCAGGAAAGTCTCAAAGTTCAGTGATACAAACTGTGGCTCAATGACTAACAAATGTTTTACAAATGTTTTATGCGGTCCAAATCTTGCAAACAAACTGCAAAGTACGACAATGGTTTGTTCTGCTGTAGTACTTGAAATTAGAACCCTTTCTGGCCACTTAGAATGAACATTCACAGTTACTAAATACATTCTTCCATCCACTTGTCCTGCAAAATCAATATGGGTTCTTGTCCAAGGTTCAGTCGGCCATGGCCATGTCTTGGAGGAATCCTGGGAGTCTGTGCAAAGGCATTTGAATGCTCCAAGCAGCTACATAAGAGGAGTTATCTGTATCCTACACATTTAGGCGACCACATATATTATTGTGCTCATTGCTTAATTTTTACTACACCCTGATGTGTGCTGTGTTAATGTTTGCTGCAAAATTACTTCTGAACCCCAGAAAAGAGAGTCTGAGTCTTGAAAAATCAAATTTACCCATGTAAAATATGGTTGAAGGCCACCAACTTTAAACAAAATACTTAATGTCCTGTAACCTAGAATCCGAGCATGTATACTTATCAGTAATCACCTTGAAAGTTTAGGTTCAAGGGCTGAGGAGGAGTTTTTATTATTTGAGAAGATGGTGACAAATCAAGAAAAGATATCCACATTAGTGTGATCACTGTGGTTTCTATATTTCATTAAGTAGTTGTATGCTGTAAGCTGGAGTGCATAACAAAGAAGTGTTAGAGATACCCTTCTGAGGGTGTAAAAAGAACAATAGTGGTTTATGATCCATAGTCAGAGTAAAAGTTCTGCCATGAATATAAATGTGGAATTTCTTCATGGACCAAATTATTTCTTGATCTACCCGAACAATCTGGGAACACATGTTTTCAGCTAGAGTTAGATATCTGGATGCAAAAGACACAGGACATTCAGAACCATCAGGCATATTGTGTGAGAGTACTGTGCCCAAACCATATACCAAGGCATCACAGGCTAGTACCAAAGGCTTCTTATAGTCACAGTGGACAAGAAGCCATTGCTTGGAGCATTCAAATGCCTTTGCACACCACTCAATCCAGGCCTACTGGTTTACACTATACAAAAGATGGTTTATTGGATATAGTAAATGAGTCAAATGCAGTAAGAATCTATGATAATTGAACAAACCCAAATAAGAACATAGCTGGGATACATTAACATGAGTGGGAGCATGAACTTGCGATGTCACGTTTTCCTCAGGCGCATGAAGACCAGTCTTGTCCACTATTTGTGGACAATACTCCAAACTATCACGTAAGAACTCACACTTTGGTATGTTTACTTTCAGTCCCAGTTCCTGTAGGCTTTGTAAAACAGATTCAACATTCGCTTTATGAGCAGCATCATTTTCACCAGTGATAAGATGTCATCTAACCGGCAATAGGTGTGTGGATTACCTGCCAGGATCTCATGGATTATCCATTGCCACACTGCAGGAACTAAAGCCATTTCAAACTCCATCCGTGTTTCCTGGAAAAAGCCTTCGTGAGCGTTGATGGTTAATTGGTGCCTGAAGCCTGCATGTACCTCCAACTCTAAATATGCTTGATGTGTATACATTTTTGACCACCCATAAGGGAAATAAAAAGGTTTGTCTATCCGTGGTAAAGGTCATTGATCATCAACTCATTTAGAAAAAAATTGCCAATCGGAAATCTTCACAAATGCACATAAATGGTGGTTTTAGAACTATAGTGTCAGGAATACACGTTTGTGTTCCTGACATTGTAGTGCCTCTTTAACTCCCTAAACATTCAAGCTCTATGCCATGTGAATTCTGTGTATACATATATATATTTTATATTTGTATTCAGTTCCCAAAGATTGGAGTAAACGATAAATAGAAGAAAATGTGTAATTCACATGAATTCTATGAGAGTGACTTAATAATTTGAACCTGACAAGAAATCCCATGCCACGTATAAATTATACATATATCTTAAAGGTTTTTAATGACGTTAAAAGTAAAGTAAAAAGAATTCGATCATTTCAAAGCCACCCAATGTGATATTTGGATTAGAAAGTGCAGTTACAATAAAAAATAAAGTTTTCCGGGCAAGAAAAAAAAAAAAATATAAAAACACACAAAATATTCTAAGTACAAAACCAAAAATATACATATGTCATAAAAAAAGGAAACTTACAATGCAAACTGTCAGACCCACAGAAAGCACGGTACCGATTTAACAATTTTTTTTAGCCGTATGTGCACTTTAATCTAATTTGTTTGTTCATTTACATGGTTTGATGTAACTGTTTATTGCAGAGAAACAGATAACAAACCAGTGTAAAAAAACAGATACGGGATACAGGAAAATGTCATGATTGTATTCAGTATGTGCCTTTGGCGAAAAAAATGGCATTGCATTTGCATTTAACAAATGTTATGGCTATACAGTTGTAGCAGGGGCAGGCTTTGTAGTGGTTCAACCAATAATAAAAGGCAACAGAGAAAACATTTTTGATCAAGTGTGAAATTGACAGAGGGTTTCCTCAACACAAAGCGGGGATTTATTAAGGCAAACCGGTGCTACTCTGGGTGCAAAGTGCTAAATGTTTAGAAACATTCTGCTGGTTTCTGTGGCAACTGCTCATTATGTAGCACTTTGCCCCAATTATCATCTGTTTTTGCCTTGATTTCTCCCCTTTCTCCCCATAGTCTATGTGAGTGGTGCCCAAACCAGCCCTTACGGCCAAGAAACAGTCCAGGTTTTGCCAGTATTTCCTTTGAAATAAAAATAGGAAATACACACGTACTGCACAGTTGCTGGGCCATAAGGACTGGATTGGGAACCAATAGTCCATATACTACAGGCAGTGTCTTACACTTTATATTATAGTGAGCATATCCTGGGGGAAATGGTTGTGAAACCCTTGTGTCTTTGTTTGTTCAATCAAGTTTCTGTTTTTGAGAACATTGAAGTATCATTCTACTGACTGAACAATGATAAAACTCGGTTCTCTTTTTATCTGTTGAACTCCTCTGACTGTGGTACTGGGAAAATGGTCGTTGCCAATACTTTGAATATGATGTTGAATTGTGATGATACCGTTTTTACATGGTTAAAGATGACCACCCAGCTATAGTTATATTACCACTCCTCTTATCCCAACCAGTAAGTGATAAACCTAGAACAGGGGTAGGAAACCTTCGGCACTCCAGATGTTGTGGACTACATCTCCCATCTCTCTTACAGCCATTATGCTGGCAAAGCATAAGGGGAGATATAGACCACAACATATGGAGAGCCAAAGGTTGCCCATCTCTGACCTAGAATGGTGACAGATGTAGCCAAGGACCTCCATTCTAGGGCCACGTCTTGGTTGTTCTCAATAACCTTCTGAAGAATTAGTGGGATATTGTAAAGACACACATGAGTGTATACACTTTTAAAATTGAAAACTAAATGGCAAAATGTAGAAAAAATAGCTTCCTTGGAAATATAATCTCCAACTCACTAAACAGTGATTTGCCAAATAATTACACATTTAAGGCTAACATAACTATGGTTAGAACATAGTCCACTGGGTGAATTATTCCAGTTTGTCTATTTTGCAATTTCATGATTATTTACCAGAATTAGAGAATAATCCTGCCTCTAGCTCAGGTGTGGGCAATCTTCAGGAATCCAGATGTTTTGGACTACATCTCCCCTGATGCTGTGCCAGCATTACGGCTGCAAAAGCATTGCATTATGGGAGATGTAGTACATCTGGAGTGCCAAATGTTGCCTACCCCTGCTCTAGCTGATGGTGAACTGCAATGTCCCACCAGCAGGGTACATGTAAAAAGAGATCTACAGTTTCACTTTTAGTTTTTCATTGCCTAACTAGTGTGATGCTGTTTTCAGGTTCGTGAGATGAGTCATTGCCGAAACTACAATTGCAGACAGAATACCCACATCGCTATACACAGTTTGGCCTCAAAATATGAGGCCAGATTGAGGATTTAAGTAAATAGTCATTATGAGATTGTACCATCCACATGAGGTTACACATTGACCATCATGTTTAATCCAATAGTGGTGCTATGTAATAAAAGCAGATTATTACATGAGGCTTTCATTCATGATGACCACACAATGAGTCTAATTACACAACAACCAACCTTAGTTGGGTAGTCTTTGTACCAGTCCAAGTATTAACAATAAGAGCCATTTAGTCTCAACCAGGAAGTTAACCAGCAGCCATGCTTGTAGAGTCCACAACAGGTGGAAAACCATATTGCCTTAATTTATGACTTAATCTGAACAGCTGCCAATATCTTCTTTTTAACCTGCATACTGTCATTACCCCCTTTAAGCTGTAACATCCCGAGGCCTGCTAGTTGCCTCCTCTAGCCCCAAGTATTCTGGATTCTCCGCAGTTGGAGTAGTAAACCCATTGGGTCCATTTGGAATCTGTCCTTCATCCCTTGCTGTGTTGAGTTCATGATTCCAGTAATAAGGGTTGTCAAAAGCTTGAGGGTAACAGTCTGGTAGGTGAAGCCCAGGAGGGGGTAGGTAATCAGGATTGTCCAGAGCCGACAATGCTACAGGGCTCCTTGGTTCTCTGATCAAACCGTTTCTGTAAAGCTGACCTTTCTGTCGTTCCAAGGTGGACACCGAGGTTCTAGGTGTCTTGATTGGTGAGCGGCTTCTCTCTGCATCTCTTTGGTTCACATATTCTAAAAAACAACAAATTTTAAATCCGTAAGATTTTCTATAATTTGTATAGGAGATATTCCAAAATTATGACTTGATAGTCATAATAGGATGGCCAAGCCCCATTAAATTTGTGTACATTTGGCCAAAATACAAAGTTCGTAACTGGATTTTCTAAATGGCATAGACATAACATGTAAAAATATAATCCCAAATGGTCTTCCATTAAGGTTTGTTTTATAATACTTAATGTGGAAAACATTTATAATGTGGGTTAAAATAAAGCACACCCAGTAACTTTTGGTGCAGAGAAGAATAAGATGATCTAATACTAATTTACCATTAAAGATATAAAAGATAACATTTAGGCCACAATTTAATATTGTTGGATAATCTTTTCAAATGACTTGAGAGTTTTAAATAAACTTTTAAAACTAGTTAACACTATGAAAATATTTGTAATATTTATTTTTATGATATATTTTTAAAATTTTAATATTTTGATATTTTTTTTTTTTTAAATGGATCCAAAATTATTAAATACCTTGAAAAGCTTATCCAACAATATAACTTTTATAGTCTAAGATGGCAATTTGGTGTTTCAACATACACAGTGTAATGTGATTTGATTCTTGTTACATAACACACTATATAGACATAACATTTTAGTTTCAGTTACAAAGTAAAGTAACAAACGAAAAGTAAGTCATAGCAATTTAATATGAATTGCCTTTTATTTAAAAACTGGTAGGTTAAGATGATATTTGAAAAAAGTGGAACCATAAGAACTGAATTTATCTGGCATGGGATGGGCCTACATTAGGTAGTGAGCTATCTAAAAACCAGAGGTCCCAGATCCTTTAAACCAGTGTTGTGTCATTAAAGGGACACTATAGTCACCAGAACCACTACAGCTTAATGTAGTTTGTTTCTGGTGTCTATAGACTGTCCATGTGTGCTTTTTGTACAGTAAACACTGCCTTTTCAGAGAAAAGGAAATAAAGTGAGTTTTCTACCTATTTAAGGGGGGCAGTGGGGATAAACAGTATTTTTAACACTATAGGTTTAGAAACACACTGTTGTATTTCTGACTGTTTATTGTCCCTTTACGCTGTCAATCAATGTCCATAGCATTTTTATTCAGAACCTTGATTGTGGAAGAATAACGCCAAGGTGGATGATAACCTGCCTGGCTAGAGTCATTGGGTTCTAATTTATTTTTGATTCATAAGTAGTGATGTCCCGAACTGTTCGCCGAACGGTTCGCCGCGGACTCATCATTGAGTAAACTTTGACCCTGTACCACACAGTCAGCAGACACATTCCAGCCAATCAGCAGCAGACCCTCCCTCCCTCCCAGACCCTCCCACCTCCTGGACAGCATCCATTGTGAAGCTGCATTCTTAGTGAGCTGTCCAGGAGGTGGGAGGGTCTGGGAGGGAGGGTCTGCTGCTGATTGGCTGGAATGTGTCTGCTTACTGTGAGGTACAGGGTCAAAGTTTACTCAATGATGAGTCCGCGGCGAACCATTCGCGGCGAACCATTCGCGAACAGTTCGGGACATCACTATTCATAAGGAATCAAAGTAAGAACAAGCACAGGTCCCTTGGTATAGAATTTGCCATGATCATAGTGACCAGCTCTGCCTTCGTGCTTCAAAATGGACAATCACATAATTGGTATCATCTCATGACTGCTACGTATGAGAAACACACAAGGACAGTGTGCCAGTAGATTCTTAAATAGGAAATCCTTAACGAGGAGCAAAAAAACCCAACTCATTATTAAGCATTTTATAATCTATGCAATATGAAATGTTTAGTTTTTTTTTTTTTTTTGTGTGTCTAGTTTTATATATTTTAGGCAGGCAGATGTTCAAGGGACACTATAGTCACCAAAACAACTTTAGCTTAATGAAGCAGTTTTGGTGTATAGATCCCTTTGTTTATGAACCCTAGTCACACCTCCCTGCATGTGACTTGCACAGCCTTCCATAAACACTTCCTGTAAAGAGAGCCCTATTTAGGCTTTCTTTATTGCAAGTTCTGTTTAATTAAGATTTTCTTATCCCCTGCTATGTTCATAGCTTGCTAGACCCTGCAAGAGCCTCCTGTATGTGATTAAAGTTCAATTTAGAGATTGAGATACAACAATTATTTAAGGTAAATTACATATGTTTGAAAGTGAAACCAGTTTTTTTTTCATGCAGGCTCTGTCAATCATAGCCAGGGGAGGTGTGGCTAGGGCTGCATAAACAGAAACAAAGTGATTTAACTCCTAAATAACAGTGATTTGAGCAGTGAAATTACAGGGGGATGATCTATACACTAAAACTGCTTTATTTAGCTAAAGCAATTTAGGTGACTATAATGTTCCTTTCATGTATGGATTTCCTGTTTAAATTGTAATGCACGTCCAGCTATCAACTGCTGGTGAAGCATTATTAGAGATTAAATTTAGCAGCTGGGGTACTGTCTACAGATCACCTTGATCTATATATTTTGTGGCAAACACTTTTTTTTTACAGATGTAGAAATTAACATAATTAACAATAGGACAGATCCACACATTCTAGCTAGAGAGGCGACATTTGTGTAAAAATCACGATGATGTACGTCTTTACCTGGTGCTTGTATGAAGGGTCCGGGAGACATACAGCCACCTGTCTCCAGTCCTCCTCCATCTACCTCATCCTCTTCTAAGTTTGTGGGGTCCTCGCTATATCGTTGTAGAAGGCTGTTCTCTCTCGGGAGGGACGGCTCAAAAACATAATCCCCCTCACTCAGCGCATCGGTAATACTACCCCCTGATCCTTGTGACAAGGTGCGGGCCGACATGGGTCCTGTGTTGGCTGCCACTTCTAGCAATGCCTGGTTTATCTGTGTCTCAGCGGTACTCTATGGAAAATAAAAAAGGAGAATACAGGAAATGGTCATCTTTACCCCGGAGGATGCTAGGTTGGCACTAGCAATGATAGCAATAGAATGATTGTATAGTTAAAAATGTGAAAATAAGTACATAAAAAACTTTAATGAAAACACAAGTGGCTATATTTAATTTTACCATGAACATGGGTGCATGCAAAAAACGTGTATTGGAGCCCTTTAAAGACAAGCTTATTTCCATCATTGGGGAATCTGGCCAAACTGAGTTGAGATTCAGGATCTCTCAAGTATTTTGAGATTAATACCTTTCAATTTTTGCAACATTCTGTTATCAAAATTTTATATTTTTTTCTCTATTCTGCCGGATCACTGTAACACCAGGACTCCTTGGATCTCATACCCCTTGTGTACACAACCTCAGCAGGACCGAAAGAGTGATTGATGGGGATCCGTGGGCTGCTTTTGTGAATTGTATTTTTTTTTTTAAATGCGCCTTTGTACTAGTGTCAGGGTGAAGACACTACATCTTTGAGTACCATTCTTTCGGGAGTTTTGCCTATTGATGTTAATCTCTGTACAATGAATATAAAGGTTCTGTATTGTGCTTTATTCCAGATTTTTCAATTGGTTTTTTTTATATTGGAGTGAGAAGGATATTCCACTACAAAATAAGCTGCATAGACCCTGCAGAACAAAGAATGTAACATTTTAAGTTATCTGGCGAAGAAGGAATGTTAGCATGGCGTACATTCAGCTGATTAGCTGTGGACGTTTAGTGCACCTATGCTTTTGTATAGAGAAGCATAATGTTTTCATGATCAGATTATTGTAATATGGGGGGGGGGGGAATATTTGAAAATTAAATTACACTGTTTAGCAGTTTTTTGCAATTCGAGGGGTCTGTTTACTAAAGGACAAGTGGTGGAGACTTTAGAACCAAAAAGTTAAAATAGCACAACTCATTTCTTAATGAATATGCTCTATAATATTTTTGAATTTTCCATTGTGCTTATTATATTCAAACCACAATCTGCAAAGAGTAATTGATCATTTTATTAAAATGCAGTGATATGGTCTACACCACAATGTATACGGCAATCTAACACCAAAGATCTTCCAAATCTTGCCCCCGTCTGGATTTTTCAGCTTGTTCTGCTATTTTTCGTGTGAGATTTAAAATGAACTGCAATACCGGCGCCGGCCATGGAGAGAGACAGGGATAGGAAGCTGCATCTATCCCTGCTTCTCTCTGCTGATTGAAACCGCAGGGGAGCAACACATGCAGCCAGAGACAGCCCACAGATCAGGTAAGTGAGGGCATGGGGGGCAGCCTGTAGATTAGGCAAGTGAGGCATGGGGGGGGCAGCCTATAGATTAGGCAAGTGAGGCATGGGGGGTGAGGGGCAGCCTAAATGAAGAGTCAGCAAGGAGCAGGAAGGCTCTGCAAGGAGCAGGGGCAGCAAGGAGCAGGAAGGATCTGCAAGGAGCAGGGGCAGCAAGGAGCAGGAAGGGTCTGCAAGGAGCAGGTGCAGCAAGGGGCAGGAAGGCTCTGCAAGGAGCAGGGGCAGCAAGGAGCAGGAAGGATCTGCAAGGAGCAGGGGCAGCAAGGAGCAGGAAGGCTCTGCAAGGAGCAGGGGCAGCAAGGAGCAGGAAGGCTCTGCAAGGAGCAGGGGCAGCAAGGAGCAGGAAGGATCTGCAAGGAGCAGGGGCAGCAAGGAGCAGGAAGGGTCTGCAAGGAGCAGGTGCAGCAAGGGGCAGGAAGGGTCTGCAAGGAGCAGAAAGGGACAGAAGGAGCACAAAGGTAAAGGAGCAGAAAGAATCAGAAGGAGCACAAAGGTAAAGTAGAAGAAGGAGCAGAAAGGGACAGCAAGGAGCACAAAGCTAAAGTAGGAGAAGGAGCAGAAAGGGTCTGCAAGGAGCAGAAAGGAATCAGAATGAGAAAGGAGCAGAAGGGCGCAAAATAAGCAGAAAGGAGCAGAAGGAGACAAATATAGAAGGCAGTGTCAGAAGAAAAAGAAGACTGTCAAATGAAGGAGAAGAAAATGAGATTGGAGCAGGAAGGACAAATGAAGTGAACCCTCCACTTTATTCTGGACACCACATCATAAGGCTTTGGTACCTGGGCCTGGCAGGGAAACTCTGGACCTTCTCATCTCCCCAGGTAAAAAAAAATATCAGTGTTAATGTGTTCACTTTTATTTACTGAGTGTCAGGATGCACAGAGTGCCGCTGGGTAGGGGTGTTGCTGATTGGCTAGAGCGGTCAGCTGGCACTCTAAGCCAATCAGTAGCTCCCCAGTCATAAAAAAAGTAAAAAACTTTTATGAACCGGGAACTAGCGATTGGCTTAGATCGTCAACTGTCAACTCTAGCCAATCAGCGGCACCCATGCCTGACATCAATCTGCACTTCCTGACACTCCGTTTCAGATACCGAATACCACTGAGCGACCTGGAGCTGGAGGAAGCCTTTGGGGTTAAACTATCTGAGAGCGGTTTAACCTCTTAAAGGAAAGAGAGCACCCAGGGGCTTCCTGGCATCATGGCATTTTCATTTAGATGAAGTTGTTATGGTTACCAGAATGTTCCTTTAATTTGCTTAAAGGAACACTATACATGTTTGTATTCCTGACACCATAGTTGTGAAAACGCTATTCACCCTGGCTTTATGTGATAATGACTATACTCCACCACTTTATGACACTGTCAAAAAGAGGCCAAGCATAGATGTCATTACAATTATGCCCCCCCCCCCGGAAAAATTCCTGCGGACGCCCATGCAGGTCCATCTGGGGCCTTGTTTGAAAATACACTGTGCAAGATAAGTGACCTGCATTTTCTTCTAATAAAATGGTTTTAATTTACATTGAAACACTGGGGCTTTTGAAACTAAATTACTTTTCATTAATGATGATGTAAGTTAAAAAACAAATCAAAATGTAATTAAATAGTTTGTGAACAGTAATGTTTTAACCTAGGTTGGGAACCTGCATGACTGTTGTCCAGGAAAGTGTGCAAGGTCAAACATTTAAATGTCTCTTTCAACCAATTTGTCATGTAAATATGAACCTTAAACTATTTTATACTTGGAGTCAATATTTAGCATCTCGAAAGTGGTTCTGTGTACACACCTTGCAGAACTAAAAACCTGAAATGTGGTTTTCCTCTTATTTTTCTAAATATATATAGCTAGTGGTGAAAGTATAGCCATATATATATTAACAGGGCTAAACATTTGCATTCGTCACTAGCCACTGGTGAGCGAAAGTTTAATTTTGGTGAGTAGAAATGGTGAGTAACTTTTGAGACCTGACTAGCAATATAAGACTTGACATTTTAAAGTGTGTGTGGTGTGTGTATCTGGGTGTCAGTACGTATCTAGGTGTATGCATGTGTGTATCAGTGTGTTTCTATGTGTGTATCTGTGTGTTAATGTGTATGAATATCTTTGTAAGTATGTATGTGCATACATACCAGCGATCAAATTCAACATGTAAACACAAACATTACATACCAACACACCCCTGAATTCCAACTCCAAAATATTATGTGTGTGTGTATCTATATTTTCTCAAATTGTGATGAAACAAACCTACATATTTGTACCAGGTAATAATAAGGTAGGTGGTTAAATGTTTACTTTGATAATATATTTCTAAATAATTCTGTGATCAAGTAAAAGCTGGTAAAGTTGCTTTCATACCCTTGTGGATGATATACGGCTCCGGGTTCCTGCTGTTGTCTCCCCAGATCCAAAAAATCCTTGGTGGGGTACCAGATATTCCTCTGCATCCACCAGGTCATCCATACCAACTTCTTGCAAGAGAGCACTGTAAAACTGACTGGTCATTGGGCTTGCTTGAGCCATAAGTTCCTCGTCCTACAGAAGACAAGTAATTCAAATGTTAAAATGAGAGACTGCATGCATAATGAAGATTATCAGATAGCAACTAAGAGAAAAATTACATGTATAATATATTTATAATTTATCATTCGGGTTCTTTATTTTTTTGTTCAATACCTCTATGACCACAAAACGTGACGGATCACGAGCCATGCGGGAGAATTCACTGACCAACTCATGAAACTTGGGTCGGCACTCTGAATCAATCATCCAGCCTAAGAAAGGAAAAGTAATTAAATAAAACTGTGATTAATAATTGTGAGTGATGATGAGGTGCAGAGAATCATTTACGTATGGTTAAAGTTAGGGATGCTGAAAATCAGATTAATAAGGAAAGACTAACAGTGACAGGGAGAGGAAATTGTTACTTACTCCTCCCCCCCACCCCAAAAAAAGATATAGATCTACAAAATGTAAAAACGTTAAGAAATTATTTTCCCCAAAATCTCTTTCAACGTTATCTTCAGCCTACTTACATTTCACCATAATCATATAGACATCTATAGTACAGACTGGTGGCTGAGGGAGCCTTTCCCCTTTTTCAAGAAGGTCTGGAATGTCTCGGGCTGGGATGCCATCATAAGGTTTTGCGCCAAAGGTCATGAGCTCCCAAACTGTTACACCTGGTGGTTTAACAGCAGAGGTGGGGAAGTGTTATAATAGAGTGAAAAAATATTTTGAAAGGGTTTAAAAACCGCTTGATATTGCATGTATCTACTTACCATAGCTCCATACATCGCTCTGATGAGTGAACCTTCGATGGAGAATAGACTCTAAAGCCATCCATTTAATTGGAACCTGTCAGTGAGAACTGGGTTAGGCAGCTGGAACATAGAATTGCAAACTAGACTTCTGTTTCCCAAAATACCAATTTCAAAAGATTCCTAATAACTAGTAATCATAACTAACTTATTACCACTCTCTAGTAAAAAAGTATTTCATCATCACCTTCACCTTAGGGTATTGGTTTTCTATAGCATGCGTGAAGGACAGGTTTAACATCTACTTTTATTTTAATTTCCTTTTATAAAACTAAGGTACAACAATCAACAAAGATTACCATTTTCTCGTAGGTAATGTCCCAACTGCAGTACTAGCCCAATAAATAGCCAATGGCCCTCAACCTCCGTCAGCCTTATGCCTTGCATACCACATAATGCCATCCCCTTCAAGATATAAATGGAAAAAAGGCAGAAAAGTGTAACTTTAAGACCATAATCTTCCATTTTGGGATTGACATGGGTCGTCCAGGCTTGGGTTATAATGGTAGATAAAATGACTATGTAGGATTGGATAAATGACATGTGATTACCTCTCCTACATAATAAATATCGCTGGTATCTGTACAAAAGCAATGATTTTGGGTGCATAGTGTTAGCCAAACGCAAAGTATGGAGTTCTCTTACTTTCCCCCCATCCGCATGGTATTCAGTTTCATCCACATCTAGCAACCGAGCTAGGCCAAAATCCGTGATCTTCACATGGGTTGGGTTCTTCACCAACACATTTCGCGCTGCCAGATCTCTGTGCACTAGTCGTACCTCTTCTAGGTATTTCATTCCCTGGAAAAAAACAGAGATTGAGATAAATACTACTATGCAATCAAGACCCTTTTTAACACAATTTTATACTACAAGCCATAGTGCTGATTGCTCAGCAACCTGTTACACAAGGGCATTCTTATGCAGGCTAAGCCAACAATACATTTGTCATTCTCTTATACAGTCTGGTTCTTGGAGCACATCCCATCTGTAGATGTCTACACACTTATACGCAGTCCTTTCACATCTGCAATTGTCTCCATTCACCTCAATCATCTCTCACCAGTCTTGTCATATTTAGCCTCACATTACATTCACGTTTTAGCATCAGAGCCATTACTGATTACTTTCCACAACACTCACTGTCACCCACACACCAAACAAACTGCTACTGTCAGTCTGATCGTACACACTGTGAAGTACACTAAACATGCGAGGTCTATGCTATCAGCTCATTGTATACTCACTCTTAAAAGTTACTTATGGGTTTCAGTACATTCTAAATGTTCTATTTTGAAAGCATTTTAATTCTCGCACATTAAGCTTGTTTTGTTTGATATAGTGAAAGTCAGTACGGTACCTTGGCTATCTGCACACACCAGTTGAGCAGGTCTCTGGAAGCAATGCGGTCCTTGTTCTCGCGCACGTAATCCAGTAAGCATCCATACGGCATAAGCTGAGTGACCAGTTGAACAGTGGACGTTAGACAGATTCCCAAGAGACGGCAAACGTAAGGGCTGCCTACTCCTGCCATCACATATGCTTCCTACAGTAGAGACCAAGAAAAGAGCACTGAGCATCAGGAATTCAGGAAATTTGAATAACGGAGGCATTAGTAAAAGCTCCACCGGGTTACACTGTAATCTTAGGTTGTAGAAAAGTTCAAGTCCTCAGTTTCACAGATCTGTTCATGCTGGCAATCAAAAAGAAGTCTAGCACCCTGACCTGTCATTTAAGTAATTGAATAATATATAAAATGAAATGAAGGGGGTCCAGGCACTCATTGGTTCAATACAGGCACTTTATTGGAACCAAAGCAACGTTTCGACCATAAGCTTGACAAAGAGCAGTTCCTTACATTTTCAAAGGATTGAATAATATAAGATACCTTCATTTTTTACTTTTTCCCATACTCCGTACGATAATTTAAAAACTGAGAAGGTTGCAGCTATCAACCAGGCAGCCAGGAGGGTGTTCTTCCAGGTTGTTTTGTGCTGGGGCACAAATCAGGAGACTGTTTCTCATAGAAAAGTACTAGATTTCGCTAAAAAATTCGATTTTCCCTAAAATAATCAGACCTGATAAACTCCCAGTGGGCATAGTGGAGCTGCAGTCAGGGATTGTCTCACCACTGAATATAATATAAGTTAACTCTTTATTTACAGTTTTATTTGGGGGAAGGGGAATGTATTTATTTATAGCACTGCATGCACTGGTGTGCTCTCTTAATTCAGATTGGCACACATTAAACAGCTCCATTTTAAACATAGATCAAATTTAAAGGATGGTCAATGACTCTGGGATTTTTAAATACACCTACTATTCTGCAAAGATATCCTCCAAACCTGCACCCCATGTGACTAATACTGTGGCTACCAATCCAAGTAGGGTCTTACATCCAGAATTTCCTTGTTGGCTTTTGGTGATGTGTTTTCTCGCAAAACTTTGATGGCAACTGATATTTTAATGTTCTCCCCATCTGGGATCCAGATACCCTGAAAGTCAGAAAGATAACAATATATTTACACGATACTACAAAAAACTACGTGTAAGCCTGATGACCTGAGTAGCTTTTAGGCTAAATCAGTAAACTGGAAAAGCCCATAATGATTCATATTGAACTTTAAGGATTCAACCTGTTTTGTCCTAGTTGAAAAGCAAGACTACATTGACACAAATGGTTTCTTCCCCACATCTTTAATGGAGATTAGACAATGGTCATGACCATGTACCTTCTACTTGGAAAACAGAAGTAACTCAACATAGAATAAAAAAATATAAATACTTAAAATGGTCTTGTATTTTGCTAGAATGTGTTTGATGAGACATGGACTCATTCAGACATGGACCTCAAGCTCATTATGCCTAAGGTTGTCAACTACACCTCACTGATGAGGCCTAATTAAGGTTAAACAGTTGTCTGTGCTTGTTATATTTCTTGTGCAGAGGGTATTTTAAACCTAGACTGACATTTTGAGTAGGATTAGTCTGAAGTGCTAATGGCGTTGGTTGTCTCTGCATATGTAAGCTAAAACCTGTTTAAAGGAACAACAGCCTTCTCTAGAGGACATGGTGCCAGGGCACTCAGCGGAATTGGTCAAACTATTTTAGCACAGATTGACACTTACCTGGAACCTGAAAGTATCTCCTTCTATTTTCAATTAGCACCTGAATGTAAACCTGATCCTGCAAACATCTCCACCAACTGTATCAAATAACCAGGTACCCTACTTTTTCTTACCTTGTACACTGTGCCAAATGCTCCTGATCCCAAGACCTTCATCTTCTTAAGTTCTGTCTCCTTGAGTATCCTCATCTGTGCCTGGTTGGGAAGCGCCCCACTAGGAGTAAGTGGTTCAACCAACTGGAAAAGGAGCAGAAATGATGCTGAAAGCAGTTCCCAAGATGCTATTCACATTTCTGCTACCTATATCTTACATAACCTCATCCCTAAATATCTATATTCACCTCATTCTCCTGCAGTAGGCGCCGCATAGTGTGCTTCTTCTTCAGCTGTTTCCGACGTCTGAACACCATTACAATCACTATTGACATGGTGATAAGGAGGAAAATGCTGCCCACGATTGCCACAATCATATAGGTATGACTACAGAGAGAGAAAGAGAGAGAGAGAGAGATGTGTTGTGTAGCGTAAATATGGGCAACTAGTAAACTTCAACCACAGAACCGTCAATACCGCAATAAAAAAAAGTCCTTGCGGAGACACTTACCTGTTGTTTATATTTATGGGGCACCCTTTGTCATCCATTTGAGAGCACCTGCAGCAAAGGAAAAAGTTATATTGTAGCTACAGGTTGAGTAGACTACCATTAAATTGCTCAATAAGCTACTGAAAGAAAATCCTTTAGCACATGCCTCAAAATAAAATACAGTCATAGATAGAAGAGGAGATATCACTTTTAGCTCTACCTAATAACACAGAAGTTTTTTGTTTTTTGTTTTTGTTATCTTTGCTGCATTATTCGCCCCAGTAAACACCGCAATGGCATTTACTACATTAAAGTAAAATTACTTTAAATTAAAGAAAATGTCCCTTCTCTAGAATTGACAGCTCCTCTGTAAAGCAGCCTCTTTATTCCTGACTCCAAAATGGCAATGAGATCAGCAAGCTGTTACCTGACATATTAACTATTATATGTATGGTAGGCAATATTTGTATACATAAAACGAGACACGCAATAACCACAGACAACGTTTAATTACTTTTCATTGGGCTTGGCCGTGGTGTTTAATCAAAACTCAACGGGCATACAACCATAACTTTGTAACCATAACCATATAACATGTGGCTCAACACCTTTCAGCAAATAGCCAGTCAGTCATAACTAACCTGCTCTTGAGTCACGAAAACAGGTAGTTTTAAAGAAGGGGGTGCTTTGATTTGAGCTCAAAGCACCCCTTGTTCGTATCTACCCATTTTAGTTTGTTAAGTCAGGAAACACTAAAAAGTGTTCATTAGGGTATATTAGGGAAAACCCATATGCATGTGTGCTTTCATCACACGGATAGAGACTCCATGTTGTAGTGGACATATGATCTGTATCTAAACTGAAGATATCACCCTATTATCAAATCTGATCTACAGAGAAAATAATCTGTGTCTTCTAACTGTAATTAAAAATACGGTATACCAATTAAATAATGTACCTTTTACCATCATTAACTGCAGTACAAAGGAAAGATAGCATACGTGGTGCCAAGAAGGAACACTTACGAGTGGGAACAGTTAACAGGACACAACTGACAGTCCTTATTCTTGTCTGGGTACTTCCAGATGGGTACAAATGAATCTCCCTTCACCCCATTTGGGCATTGATCCACACAGGTCTCACCGTCCTTATAATTAGCACATTCTGTACACTGGTCTGCATTCTGTAACCAAATAATAAGAGTAAATATTAGCGCATAATCTGTAACAGTTGATTTTTGCTAACCCTCCACAAACTTTACAATTGTCAAGCTCTACCTACCAGGCCACTGCATGTTTCATTTCCGTTTAATGGGAGGCACTGCGGGTGACAGGATACACAACGATTCCCATTAATGTGTTCCCTTTGCTCCCTGTCGATACAAAACAGCAGTAACGTCAATAAAAGATCTGAGTAAAGGAGACAATGATGACATGTCTCCTATACCAGGCTACAAACAAGAAGAGCACCGACTTACCCTTCCAGGACATTGCAAGATTCCACACAGTCATCTCCACGAAGATATCTTGTGCAGTTGACACACTGAGAGGGCCCAGGACCCCAGCACTGTCCATCGGCACAAAGATGGTAGCAGACTAACCCTTCTTTGACTGTAGGGTATAGGACAACAAAGTTAGATGCTGCCCAAATGTACTACATCAAACTCATGTCAAAGCCAAGACCCTCACATACGTCTAAGTTAGGCAACTGCTCAATATATAAAGATATAGGGTGAATAGTTAAAACCGATGGACAAGCTTGTTAAGAAACGGCAGTTGTTTCGATCATAGCGGGTATATATTTCAACCAAACAGAACAAATAAACATAGTGGTTGAGAAGCCATCCATAATAAGTAGTATTTTATGAAATTAATATTGTCAGGTGTTTATCCTTTACCGCAGAGGTCCTGTGGTTTGTTGGATGTCTCCAGAAGAGCCTGACGTTGGTTCCTGAAGATGTTAGACCACGGAATACTGTCCAAGAAGCAGAGGTTGGAGTTCCCCTCGATAAGGACAAGACCACTGCTAATTTCCACCAGAGAGTGTAAGCCAAAAGATGAGATAGACAGGTTGCGGAGAGCCAGAGAATATGCTCCACTATAAGATATCAAGAAAGCTACAGTCAATGCAAGGCTAATCTTCTAATAATCTTACATTTTATCTGCAATCACTATGAGTTTGGTAGCTAATTTCTAAACTTCACTGAAACTACTGTAAATCGTGGATTCCTTTGTAGAATCTGAAGCCTCGTTTCCTCTAATCTTTCATGGTGCCAACATAACTTGCTGTGAATTTTTTTTTTTTTTTTAAGGGACACAACAAGTGGGGTTTACTTTTTTAATGTAATGAACAATAAGGCTCTCAGGCAACTGTAGTTTCGTTTTAGCTTTCTACACCTCTATCAGGACGGTACAAGCACATTTTTTGCCTGTGTTATATTTAATTGAGATGTGGATAGTTTTTAAAGTTTTTGCAAATTACTGCTATAGCTGTCCCAGAACACAAGATGCATCCAATAACTTATCTAACAGGGCTACTCACTAAAATGAGAAGTCAAAGTCAATTCAAAATGAAGTTGAAATTTAAGGCCAAAACAGCCAGGTTGGAAAAGTTCTCTAAGTTCAGTATTCTTCAAATTTGATGACTTTCACCTGAAATTTAAAATTCCATTTGCATACTCACTTTAGTGCTGTTCTGTTTGTAGTGTGTCCCTTTAAAGTTAAATCTTCTTTGATATAACCTAATCGTATTTCTTCTAACTTAAAATAATATCCTAGCTCCACCTATAAATGAAAATTAAACGGGAGCAGAAATTTACTCACTTTTGAAGCACGCGTCCCCGAATCACACGCAGCTTCTCAAAGACGCCGAGGCTGCTTAATTCTTCCAGCCAGGACTCAATGTATATATATCCTATAACACAAGAGAAGAGTCTCTTTTTTCTGCAGATACCAAACATTTGACGTTTTCACACAGAAACAATTCTCTGTACCTACTTACAAAATATATATATATATATTAATGTATGGTAAAAACCAAAGAAAAACATTATTCGCACACTATCCTAAATCCCTATGTACATTTAAATAACTGGACGTTTTTTAGTATCACTCCAATGGCCATTTAAGTGTAAGCTCACCTGCCAAGTCAAGGCAAAACCTCATAGGTGAGTCCTACATTGCCAATTCCTCTTGCAGTTTTCAGCTTCAGTTAAAAAATCTCTAATGAGACAGAGAGGGGTATTTTTCTAAACCCCTACACATTTATTAACACTTAATAGTGGGTGGCAGCATTGTAACATAGCTGTGTAACACAAAAGCAAATACAAGCATACAAAATTAAGCCCTGGAAGTTTGAGCGCAGAGCTTACGTTTGTATACTAATGTATAGTATTAACTGCCAACACCCTGCTACAATGTGAAAAATGTAGGAAAAAATTGTTGTCAGAGTTATAACTTATAAATTGTTAATCGATGCGGAATATGTTTGCAATATATAAATGATGCTAATAATAATAACATGCCATAAGAATAGTACCTGTTATTTCTTCTAGAGTCCTGAAGACTTGTAGATTCTCAAGGGTTAATGCCGAAATCCCGGAAGCTGGATCCCTGCAATATTATTAAATGCTTAATAGAGGAAAACATACGAGTCATAAAGAGCACAATGAAATGGTATAAAAATAGACAATGGTAGACAGAGTTTCAAATCTAAACAGAGGAATGCTGTGTCCACAGGAGGTGTGTAAGTGTGCATCTGCACTGTAATCAGAAACATCTCTGAGCTGAGAGTAAGGAGAGTTGCGTTCCAACAGTGATATCACCATTGTTTCATAAATAGAAACGGAGCAGTAAGCATAGCAAGAGAAATTTAAATTTTAAAGGAAAAAAATGTCACTTTGCGTGATTTTTCAGATTTATGTTTTTTTCCTATATTTAGCAAATATGTTTTTGTGATGTCTAAAAATTAAAATTGAATGTAGAAATCCACATGGCTGGATTTACCATTATCCTAGAACTGAGTGTCCTCACTTTGGCTCCCTGTCAGTCATTATCAATGTGTTTCTTTTCTGCAATAGACCATAGTTAGTGGAATAGGTGAAACCTGAAACAATGTTTCTGTACTCCTCCTCATTTGCATTGTGTGCCCTGGCTATGCCTGAGCTTTTTTTAGATGTGATGTTATTTGCTACATTTTTAATATACATGTTAAAAGAGAGTAAGGATGACATGAAAGAGGTTAACACAAATTATAGGCGATTTTCAGTTTTTTATTCAATCCTGTCATTTTCAGAGAAGTCGCAGTTCTTGTTTAATTTTAAATAAGGCCATTTTGGGGGTATTTGACATGTCAGAACCTGACTGATTTTAAGGACTGTTCACCCAAGTTGTAGAGAATTGGAATTCAAATGCCAGCTTCAAAGCTTAAAGGGACACTGTAGTCACCAAAACAACTTTAGCTTAATGAATCAGTTTTGGTGTATGGATCATGTCCCTGCAGTCTCTATGCTTAATTCACTGCCATTTAGGAATTAAATCACTTTGTTTATGTGCCCTAGTCACACATCCCTGCATGTGACTTGCACAGCCTTCCATAAACACTTCCTGTAAAAAGTGGTCTAATGTTTATACTTCCTTTATTGCAAATTCTGTTTAATTAAAACATTTGTATCTCCTGCATGGATAATAACTTGCTACACCTTGCAGGAGCATCCTGTGTGTGATGAAAGTTAAATTTACAGAGCAGGAGATAAAAACTTTAAAAGTAAGTTACATCTGATTGAAAATGAAACCATTTTTATTCATGCAGGCTGTGAGAATCACAGCCAGGGGAGGTGTGGCTAGGGCTGCATAAACAGAAACAAAAGTGATTTAACTCCAAAATGAAAGTGAATTGAGCAGTGAAACTTCAGAGGCATAATCAATACTCCAAAACTGCTTCATTAAGCTAAACTTGTTTTGGTGAATAAAGTGTCCCTTTAAATAGCTGATTTCTCCAACTCTGTTACAAACACTGATAATACCTTATTTGTTATTTCATAATATTTTCTACGTAAATTAATTTAGATTGTTACATGCATGGCGAAATGAATGAATGATACTGCACGTCTTTGCAATGTAGCAGAAGCGCTTTCCCATTTCAGATTTATGCTCCTATTACCTTAACTTTTATGATATCAGCCCACTCTCTCATCATTTCACGCATGCCGCAAATATTTTAACGAGAAAGGCTCCTGTCCAGATGATGGGTTCTCAGACTCAGCCCAGACCAGGGCAATCTGAACACTGTAATCTGACTGCTACGTGATTGAGTGCCATCTTTTGAGAGATGTTCAAGCTAAACGATTTGCATTTAATATATATTTGCATACCGCAGCCAATGCAGACCGAATGATCGGGGTTTCTTAATTGTCTATGTTCCCCTGACCACACACTGTTTGACGAAAAGACCTTAGAATGAAGAATAGCTGTACTGGTCCCTGGTACTCAAGGGTTGGACAAGATGTGTTTGTTCTCTTTTGCATCAAATTTGTTAAATTAAAATTATTGATCTGGTGTTCATGGCTGGAAAAGAACACTTTGAAGGGGTAGATAGGTAATGTTTAAATAAAATTATTAATAAGTATAGTGTAATGTAAAGTATAAAATTTGTTTAAAGGGTTATTCCAACCACCATGACCACTTTTGCTTTTTTAATGTGGTCATGGTAGTAGGAGTCTGGATGTGCAGTGTTTCTGCTTGACACACTACATATAAAGAGTTATTGGCACTTGTGTTCAGCACACATGACTCTGTTCCGGACTGCCTAATGTAAATTCTGTGCATAAAATACATATTTCGTCAGTGCGCACTGCACGCTGCCGACAAACGTACCTGCTTCTCCCTTTCAGGCAGAGCGCTAACATGGGGAAGATTGCGTGTCCCTCCCACACTGAGGAAAGCCCTCCCATTTCTATATCCCCAATCTGTATGCTCAAATTGAATAAAGATTTGTTTCAACCCAGATTCACCGGCTACAAAATATTATACTGTTACATGCAGTACATATATTATATTTTTGTAGCTGGCGAGTCCAGAGTAAGGCAAATCTTTATTCAATTTGTTTTTGTTATTACACAGGGATTCGTCCCTGGAGCGTACCGATTACCTCAACAACCAGTGTAACCAGGGCCAGATGGTGGCGGTCTTGTTGGGACACAAGCTACCCATACCCTCGGTTTGATCACACCTCTAAACAGCACTGATGATGAGCTTTGGTGGGGTGAGTACTTTGTTTTATGGTTTGTGTGTATATAGATGTGTGTTTTTTACTTTGTGGTTGTCCTGATAAAAGTTTATGATTCTAAACCAAAACGTTGATCTTGATAACATAAAACTTTGAGGTGAGAAGCCCCAGGAGTGCTTTTGGAATCCTTTTGTGGAATCTGCTAGTTACCAGCACCGGCCACTGGAAATAATTGACTCCCAATGTGAAATTAATATTCATTGATATTGTCCATGGATCATTACATACAGTAAACATGGCAAGATGGGTCCAAATCAAAACGTAACACCCCTTAACGTTTGAAGTGTTAAGTAGTAAATAGAACTGTTCATGGACTAATTTTAGGAGGTAAGAATCTATAGCGGAGGGAGGACATCTCACCCATGGAAGGATTCCGGAAGGAAAACCAGGTTCCCAAAGATCTTGGTGCATCCTTGAAAGTGATGGATGTTTTGAGAAGTGACAGCCTGGGCAGTTTTCAAAAAGTCCATTCCAAGTCCATAGCACACTGTTGGAGACAGACAGTTAGTAAAACCCCTTCATCACTTCAGAACCTATATAACATCACACATACATAGAAGAGCAGATAGGACCACCATATCAGAAGATAAAACTGGTTCATCGTGTCCTCCTTGTTCAATCCCAAAAAAAATTATAAGTTTTCATCCCCCTATGCATTTTACCCTCTCATAGTCCAAAGACTAGCTTTTACCTTTATTGCACTGTTTGTTGCACTTTTCACATTTTTGTACATTTCCCACCATCACCTCCTGGTTATCTTGAGGGCACACCAGTGTGCAGGAACCAACCTCCGTAGCAAGATAGTTATCTGGTTAGAAGAATACAAAGATTAAAAGCGTTTATGCATTAACCACATGCCATCACAAAATGCGTAGGCATTGACATTTACAAACAAATCAGAATGCTGACATTTAATAAAAGATACTCGAAAAATAACTGCAGACCAGAAAATAAAAACTATAATTTCTGTTTGTGCAAATGTTTTCTCTATTTCAGTTCAATCTGCACATAGGAAAAACTAGAGGATAAGTCTTGTTTGATCTCTGATATCTCTTCTAATTACCAGAGATGACTTGATGGTTCTTGTGTGGTTGGTGTTACCACCACACAAGTCACCCATCACAAATCTTGTACTAGTTTAGGATCAAAATATCACTTGCATGTTGTGTTACAAATACCAAGTGGTAGTGCATTAAGGCACCTAATCCCTTCTTGTTCCCAAGGAGAGTTTGTGCCACCATGGATATGGACATCAACTTATCCCACGAGACCAGTTGGGTCTTCTATGTCTCCCCACCACCAGAGAGTAAACACAGAAGGAGATGAATTTAATTAAGAGTGGGGCGGGGGAATGAGAAGGTCCCTGGCTAACACAATGTGTAGATGACATCTGTGGTGGACTTTTTTTTTCATTTACGGTCTTGTGGATAAGCGTGCAATTATATGTGATAGGTCAAAATTCTGTAAAAAGACTTTCTTTCACGTAATTGACAAAAGCGTCAATGGAAATTTACAGTAATACAGTGTTTGTGTGTGAAAAGTGTAAAATCTCTTACATGGACATGTAGTAACACAGCTTGTCCCAAAAATATAACGCCCATCCTTGTTGGGGACTGCTTCGTAGGTCTCTGAATTGTATATGATGAGAGAAGGACAGTGCAATTCACACACTCCCGTATGGTTAAAGTTACGGCAGGCCTGTGAGAAGAAAATAACTCAATGAAACAAACAATGTGATCTATACACAAAAAACAGCTTTATTAAGCTAAATATGTTTTAAGCAAAGTTACATAGATATGAATATCTTTACAGTTTTAATACTCATCTTACTTCTTTCATAGATTAAATAAATGACTTTGTAAGTCTTTACTCATTGCAATAACAGAAGATGACTATAAGACATTAAGTTCTTCCCATAAGTGGACTCAATGACCAACAGAAAATAATTACAAAATATCATGTTATTAAGAAAAGTTGGCTTTAAGTAAGGGTCCCTTGAACATATCATCCAAAGGTCCATACATTTTATTACTCTCTTAATCTACCAAAACATCTTGTCCAACTCTGATTTTCAAAACTTCTTGTTGGGCTCTCCCAGCAATTAGAATTTCCAACCCAGCTTGTTATGGCGATGTATCCAAATTCCCTTTAAGCCACACATAAGTAAATTTCTTTCCTAACTCCCACTGGAACGTATCAATCACAGCTCTTGCTACCGTTTATCCTACAAAATGTTAATCACATCTCAAACTGTTTTTAACTTTATGGTATTGTACAAAGCTGACAGTTTGCCATAGCTTTATAAATAAAAAAAACAGCCTGAAATTTGTAAAGTGACAGACAAGAGTCATTAGGGTCAGTGGCGCAAGTCAGATGGGGTAAAAGTCCACATCCACATTTTCTCACCAGACAGTCTGAGTTCTTAGGTCCAGTACAACCGGCTGCACATTGCTCGTGACAGCAATGGGTGGAGTGTTCTCCTTTGCACCTCTGGCATCCGCTGTCACATATAGTGCTGGTTACTGACAAAAAGCAGAGATTAAACGTTGTGATCACATTTTAGAGAGATACATTTTTATTCAAAATAGAAGATAATTCATCGTGCCTTTTCTCATCCCCACCATACTCCACCTCAAACCATGGTCTCAAAACAATATAACACAGATACTCACAGATCTGACAGTATTCCGGTCCCTCTCCCCAACAGGCCTCCGCATTCCCGGTTGATAATGAAGCACAAGCAGGAGAACAAGCAGGACCTTTAATGACACAAAAGACAGTAGCAGTCACCAGTCTATAGATTTTTTTTTTGGTTGTTTATTTTGCAGTGTTCACATAAAAAGATAAAATGGATCTGGAGACATTTTATAAACAAAATAAAACAAAATATTTCCCACCAAATGTGTTTGTAATATTTTTGTACCAAAAACAAAGATAAACACAGGGATATGATTGTGAGAGATAGCGCCACAGTGAACAATGTCTATACAAATATGCCCATAAGGTAGATCCACAGCTGTTGCAGAACTACAGGTCCCATGATGCTTTAAGGCTGGCAAAGTATTGTGGTAGTTGAAGTTCTGTTTCGTTTGCCTTTGAACAAATCGTACATACATAATTTCTTGGCTCATCTGCCCCCTCTATCTGAACACAGGTTTCGTATAATCAGTCACACACCAAATTGTCCCGAGTATTTGTTGGTGTGTAGCTACGTAACCATATAATTGTGACAATGTTCTATTAAAATTGTCTAATCTTTCCTTGAGGCAAATAATAAATGTGCTGATGGCTGGCTATGGGCCTGTTTCAACAAACAGGTTCTGTTCAAATAAAATGAATTGAACATCTCAGTGCAACCAGATTTATGGTTTCACGTTTATTTACAACAACCTATGGAATGTGTGTTAGAAAGAAATGTCATATATGACAATTTATGTCTTTAGTGCAACTACTGGCAAAGTTCTCCAATTTTATCTCTCTCAAGGTATTTACTAAAATGAGAATTCAAAGTGAATTTCAAATTAAAGTTAAAATACCCAAACGAGAAACATTATCAAAGCATCAGATATGATTCTAGCTTGGCTACTTTGGCTTTACATTTAAAATTCACTTTAAATTCTCACTTAAAGGGACACTATAGTCACCAGAACAACTACAGCTTATTGAATTTGTTCTGGTGAGTAGAATCATTACCTTCAGGCTTTTTGCAGTTAACACTGTCTTTTCAGAGAAAATGCAGTGTTTACATTACAGCCTAGTGATGACTTCACTGGCCACTCCTCAGATAGCTGTTTGAGATCGTTCCTGAGTCATGGCTGCCTAAAATGCATCCAAACATTCAGTGTCTCCACCCTCTGCATGCAGACACTGAACTTTCCTCAGAGAGATTAATTGATTCAATTAATCTCTATGAGGAGATGCTGATTGGCCAGGTCTGTGTTTGAATTGTGCTGGCTCTTTGTCAGTCTCAGCCAATCCTATGGGGAAGCATTGTGATTGGATCAGGCTACCACTTCTGATGATGTCAGCAGACAGCTTGTTTTTCTGAGTCTAACAGCATGCAGAGTTACAGCTTCAGGCTTGAATACAGTAAGATTTTGCAATATTTTTTTGGAGGCATGAGGGGCCCAGGGGGGCTAGATGGTGGTTTTAACACTAATACATGTTTCTGTTCCTGACCCTATAGTGATCCTTTAAGTAAATAACTCTGTCTATCACTTCTATGTGAAGAGACCCAAATCTCACAGAACTAACTCCAGAAATGGCTTTCTTACATTGCCGGCTCCCTGGTGTCAGGAAGATGTCTCCACGCATGGCGTTGTACTGGCTCAAGATGTCGTTCCATTTGATTGACTGTTGGAAGCACAGTTGGCTATTATTCGCTATCTTGACTCCTCCTTTTAGAATTTCTGCAGAGAAAAACAGACATTACCATCAATATTACAAAACGTAATAAATCGCACTCAGGACAAACTGTCACCAGACACAGCAGGACCTTCACTCAAGGGAACTGTGAATCGCGATCAGATACTAAGCTGTAGAAAAGCACAGCCAATACCGGCATTTATAAGAAGGTCATCGGTCTCAGTGATTTGCCGTGAGTCATTATTAGTTATAATTGTTTCTTACTAAATCAGAGTTATATCAATATAGTATTTGTAATCTGCTATCTTTATTGAAAAAATTATTTTTCTACATGACGGCTTACGTATTAAAATTGCGTTATTCCACTATGCTTTCTATGTTTGAGCGTGTCAATGTTTTTCCTACGAATTTCATTTTGCAACTAAGTTTGTGCTACGCATGTTGTACATTGCATGTTGATTTACATATTGGTTGAACACCGCTGGATATCTTTGCCTACTTATGTAATTATGTAAATTTAATAAAGTCACAAAACTGCATTGTAGTCATATAGCTCTGTTAGTATTTCTGTTTACAGTGACACTACAGGCACCCAGGTCACTTCATCTCATTGAAATGGTTTGGCTGCACTGTCCTTGTTCCCTTAAAGGGAAACTATAGGCATCCAGAACACTTCAGCTCATTGAAGCACTTAGTCTGTCTCCAGTGGCTGTCTACTAGACTAACCGACTTTTGGTCCAGTAACGGATGCTGGAGGTCCTTACAATCTGCATGAGAACATCTAGTGTCAGCTATTACCTCATAGGAAAGCATTGATTCACTGCTTTCCTATGGGGAGGACTAACGCACTGGCGACACTCGCTGCGCATGCACATCATCGCCACCTCGTGGAGTGATGTCGGAAGGAGGAGGAGCTGTGACCTAGCACCGAGGGACACCGGTGGTGGGATCAGGTAAGTAAAGGGTTTTTAACTCAAAAGTGTCTATTCCTATATTCTCTGTTAATTTTAGCCTGTTGTAAGCTTTTTATTTATTACTTATTTGTTTTTTAGTGGCACTAACTTCTCCCCTATTTGTTTGTACCATTTCTGTTGTAGGGCCTGTGAGGGAGCCCTATTTCTAGGTGTGCTGCCACTAGGCTTTCCTATGGGGAAGGCCTAATGCGCGGAGCACTCTCTGCACATGTGCATTATGTTCCCCATCGGCTGACATAAGATGAGAAGAAGTACGACCCAGCGCCGAGGTAAGTGTTTAACCCCTTAAGGACCAAACTTCTGGAATAAAAGGGAATCATGACATGTCACACATGTCATGTGTCCTTAAGTGTTTAAAGGGTTATTTAACCCCTTACATTGCCGGAGGGACTGTGTGGGCAGTGGGATACTATAGTATTCTATTAAATGTAGGCATTTTGTAAGACATAATTACACTACATTACATTACATTACCTCATATCTGAAATGCCACATTACTTGTAGTTGATGGCATTCTAATAAATTCCTCGCATTATATCAGCTGTGTTTCTCTGTTTTTTCTACAGTTTACTACAGAACTTAACCCAGTGCCAAGTCTAACAGCAGAACAGCTAAGTATGGCTGGCCAGAAATGGCTTCACGGAGGGACATATGACACATCTCTGCGTGGTATCTCTGCTTTTTCACAAAACTGAAATAGAATTCACAAACTAGTCTTAGGAGGATGTCTATGTTGCAGGTCACATTACATGTAATTTCTGCAACCCACTTTTTACATTATTTTTATTTAGGGTTTTCACATAAGTAAATGGTTGCCTAAAGGGTTGGTTTGATATATATCGACAAATATTAAAGGGACATTAGAGTAACCCAGACCACTTCATCTTAATACAGTTGTCTGGGTTACTGTAATGGTAATGGGTGAAGTGGTTTTATAATTTTAACCCAGCTGTAAAACATTGCAGTTTTTCAGAAACCAATGTTTACATTGCCTGGCTAAATCCACCTCAGCATTTGATTGGAGGAGCACGGCATTTGGCCTTGCATGTGCGCATCCAATCACAGAGAAGCAATGGATTTGGAGGAAGATCGCAAAGATGTTACTAGGCATGTTGACATCTAGGAAAGCCGAGCGGGAGGCTGCAGCAGAGGAGTCCCGACAATGCCAACGATGTGTCTTTATTTTAGTTCGTTTTAACATAGAAACATAGAATGTGACGGCAGATAAGAACCATTCGGCCCATCTAGTCTGCCCAATTTTCTAAATGCTTTCATTAGTCCCTAGCCTTATCTTATAGTTAGGATAGCCTTATGCCTATCCCACGCATGCTTAAACTCCTTTACTGTGTTAACCTCTACCACTTCAGCTGGAAGGCTATTTATGCATCCACTACTCTTTCAGTAAAGTAATACTTCCTGATATTATTTTTAAACCTTTGCCCCTCTAATTTAAGAGTATGTCCTCTTGTTGTGGTAGTTTTTCTTCTTTTAACCCCTTAAGGACTGGACTGTTTTTGCGATGTTGTACATTTGCGACCAGGCATATTTTTACACTTTTGTGGTGTTTGTGTTTGGCTGTAATTTTCCGCTTTCTCATTTACTGTTCCCATACAAATTATATATTGTTTTTTTCAGGACAAAAGGGGCTTTCTTTACATACCATTATTTATATAATCTCATGTATTTTAATTTAAAAAAAATACAAAAATCTGATGAAAAATTGAAAAAAATACATGTTTTTTGACTTTTACTTGAAAAATCTTTTACTCATCTACAAAAGCGAATGAAAAAAACTGCTAAATAGATTCAAAATTTTGTCCTGAGTTTAAAAATACCCAGTGTTTACGTGCTTTTTTGCTTTTTTTTGCATGTTATAGGGCTATAGGTACAAGTAGGATATTGCGGTTTCAAAACATACATTTTTAAAATTTATCAATAGTGACATTGTAACACTATTATCTGTCATAAATCTCTGAATAACACCCCACATGTACATATTTTTTTTAAAGTAGACAACCCAGGGTATTCAATATGGGGTATGTCCAGTCTTTTTTAGTAGCCACTTAGTCGAAAACACTGGCCAAAGTAAGCATTCATATTTGTTTGTGTGTGAAAAAAGTAAAAAAACTAAATTGAACGCTAATTTTGGCCAGTGTTTGTGACCAAGTGGTTACTAAAAAAGACTGGACATACCCCATTTGCAATACCTTGGGTTGTCTTCTTTTGCAAATGGTATGCCATCATGGGGGTAATTCTCATTCCTGGGCTACCATACGCTCTCAAAGGCAACGTAACCAACCTGGCCATTTTCAATGTAAAATATTTGACCCATATATTTGACCTTGTAACTTTCAAAAATGCTATAAAACCTGTACATGGGGGGTACTGTTTTACTCGGGAGACATCGCTGAACACAAATATTAGTGTTTAAAAACTGGAAAACGTATCACAACAATTATATCATCAGTAAAAGTGCTGTTTGTGTGTGAAAAATGCAAAAAAAGTAACTTTCACTGACAATATCATCGCTGTGATATGTTTTACTGTTTTGAATCACTAGTATTTGTGTTCAGCGAAGTCTCCCGAGTAAAACAGTACCCCCCATGTACAGGTTTTAGGGTGTCGTAGAACGTTACAGGGTAAAATATAGTGCTAGCAAATTAAATTCTCTGGAATTTCGGCCTGGGTTGGCAGGCAGGTCCCTCAAATTGCAATCAATAAAATTACTGAATTATGTAAAAATATTACATAAATACGCACGTAGAATTTAAATATATATGCATATTTATATATTTGAAGTCTACGTGTATATTTATATAATTATTTATGTAATTTTGTATATGGACGTATGTATATTTCTTATTATTTTTATTTATTTTTATATACATAGATATATATACAAATTCATTCTAAGTGTATTTTGATATAAATATATATATATTAATTTTAAAATACAGTTAGAATAAAATTTCATATAGCTATATAATTTTTTTTAAAATTTTTATTATTATTTAAAAATTTTTTATTTAATTTAAATTACTTATTATTTATATTTTATAATATATATATATACAATATATATAGTTATTATATATATTATATATATACGTGTGTAATTTAATTATAAGTGTATTTTTATATTAATATAAGTACATATTAATATAAAAATACACTTAGTATGACATTATATATATGATATATAGACATATATTATATAGATATAATATATGTCTATATATCATATATACACATATATAATTATTATTTTTTTTTTTAATTAACATTAACTTTATTTTTTTAAATGATTTTACACTAGCAGGGAGACTGCCTGTCAGCACAGGCAGTCCCCCTGCAGGCAGACACATGGACACCTATTGTGACCATGTGATCGCTGTGTTAAGCGATCACATGGCCACAGGGGTCCTAATCTGCCGTGGGGAGACTGTCTGGGCTGCAGACAGTCTCCCCACAACCGGAGCCACGCTGATCGCCGCCGGGGGAACGACGGCGATCAGGTAAGTAGCTCTGACCGTTAGGACGGTTCAGGACCGTCATCGGTCGGCAACGCAAAAATGCCGATGACGGTCCTGAACCGTCCTCGGTCCTTAAGGGGTTAAATATAGTCTCCTTTTGTTTCTATCATATCCCTGTGTCTCGTCTTTCCTCCAAGCTATACGTGTTTGGTTCCTTTAACCTTTCCTTGTAAGTTTTATCCTGCAATCCATGAACCAGTTTAGTAGCCCTTCTCTGAAGCACAAAGGGCGGGTTTGGACAGAAGTGAACCTATAATACCGGAATAAAAATGTTTATTTTTGGAACTATAGGATCCCTTTAAATGCCCTGGTAATGAAATTAGCTAACTGACTGTTTATCTCTCATAACAGTAATCAATAATAGGTTATGCATAACATTTAAAGCCTCCCTCCTTATTATCTGGCTCCAGTGGACCTAGAAATAAAATATATATATATATATATTCATCCATGTTTAACATCTGCTAAAATCTGATTCCACAATATAAATCTCGCAGTAGACAAAGTAAGTACATCTGTTATAAGCAATGTGACGTGACATTAAATTCCTTTATGTCAGCTGTTTTATACATAGAAATCTGACCTCATGCACACACTGTGGCCTTTATAAACCATGTAATGTATGCCCGCAACTTCATATAAAACACGTATATGTTAATCTTCCAGCTCATGATATCCCAAATAGCACATACAACTATAAACCTCTCAACTAAAGTACACATACCAACATGCATATACATACCAGCTAAGAAGTATACACTCATTCCTACCATCTAACACATTTACACACTCAACACCCAACAAATTTATACATACTCTGACGTAACAAATTATATATGCTGATGGATTTACCAACTTCATCAAACAAATATACACAATAAAACATAGATATACAAATATTCTAATTAATCCTTACACTCATATGCACACATTGTCTTTCTAATTAACACAAATACACATACTAACCTCCCAGTAAACCTGTATACGCACAAACCTCCCCCCAACACATGCACAATCACGTCCCAACTAATACGGCTACACACTACTATATACACTGATCTCACTGAAATGTTGCAGGATTTTTTGTATGTGCAATTGAACTGCATTATTTCAATACCCCTCATGAATGCTATTTACCTAGTATGTAGCTGAGACCCTGTTTGCATTATTTTTTTTTGTATATTTTTATTAAAAAATAATCTGGAACAGGAGGGGAATGCAGCTCCAAATCTGGGAAAAGCTCAATGGAGCCAAAATCATGGCAAAAAGTGTAAGTTTTTTTAATATTGTTGGATAAGCTTTCCAAATGATTTAGTATTTTTTGGATAGTTTTTTTTTTAAATTTTACATTATGAAAAATATTAAAATGTTTTATTATTTACATTTTTTTCTACATATTGATATTTTTATGATGTATTTTGTAGGAATTTTTTTTTCTAATTTCATCCAAAAATATTAAATCATTTTGAATGCGTGGCACTATTTCTTGCAGTTTCAAATCGCACATTATGCTAATTATGAGTCATTAGTTAAAGGAACACTTTAGTGTTAAAAATACAAAGTCCACGAAGTCAGACGGTGGGAAGACCTAATGCGCATGTGCGGCAAGCGCCGCACGAGCATTAGGCCTTTCCCATAAGAAAGAATGGAATCACGTTTTATTTATATGGATTTTGCTTGAGATCGAGCTGTCTGGATGCCTATAGTGTCCCATTAAGTTTTCCTTTAAGAGTAACATATTGAAGACCAATTTTAAGTAAAGGGGGGGAGCTGATATTATTTCTAAACACAGCAGCAACTGGATTGGAACAATAAAAATAAATCCCTTAATTATGGGCAAGTCATTCACAGACAAAGCCCTTTATTCTAATCCATAGGCACCAAAAGACTTTTAGCTTAATGGAGTGGTGTTGGTATATAGATCATGCCAATGGAGTCTCACTGTTCAATTCTCTGCCATTTAGGAGTGAAATCACTTTGTTTATACAGCCCTAGTCACACCTCTCTGTATGTGACTTGCACAGCCTTTCCAAAGACTTCCTGTAAAGAGAGATTTAATCTTTAAACTTTCTTTATTCACATTCTGTTTAATTTAGAATTTTGTATCTCTATTAATAGCCTCCTAGACCCTGCAGGAGCCTCCTGTGTTTGATTAAAGTTCATTTTACAGAGCAGGAGATAAATATCTAAAGCACGTTAACATCTGTTTGAAAGCGAAACCAGTTTTTTTTTTCATGCAGGCTTTGTCAGTCACAGCCAGGGGAGGTGTGGCTAGGGCTCCATAAACAGAAACAAAAGATATTTAACTCCTAAAAGGCAGAGAATTGAGCACTGAACCTGCAGGGGCATAATCTATACGCAATAACTTGTTAATCAAGCCAAAGTTGTTTGGATGCCTATAGTGTCCCTTTAAAAATGATTAATGGTTTCCACATCAGAGTGTCATTACACATCATGCCTTCTCCCAGACAAACAAACAATATTCTCACCCGTCAGACTCCTGAAACGCAGTTCTTGTAATCCAGATTTCCCTTCATCGTCCGAGTTGTAAATTACAACAAGTGCATAAAGGTCTTCATATAGCTGCGTGCCTCGAATAATACGCAGGTTCTCCAAAGGCAAGTAATTCAGCAAATTATAAGCTATTAAAACATAGCCTTGTACTTCTTTAATATCCTAATGAGAAAATAAATAAAGAAAACATTTTGAAAAGTGAATCTTTAAATATGGATCTGTAATAATTTACTAATAATAGATCAATGAACAATATATGTGCACCTAAATATGCGGTCAATAAATAGCAACTCCAATATTCAATCACTAAACACCTTTACAATGTAATTTATCATAACATATTGGATCTCAATCTAATATTGCTTGTTGCATTATGTTGATATTGGTTTTGCGTGCATACTCCATTTACTTAAAGGGATTCACTAGTGTCCTGAATCCAGCGCCGATGTCTCTCACCTCTAGGTCAGGCTCCGCCCAAACTCCTCCCCTTCCGACTGGGGAGACCTAATTCGCATGTGCAGACATTAGACCTCCCCATAGGAAAGCATTATTGGGGATTACGGAAGCGCTGCATAGCGGGAGGACGTCCAGCGTCGTTTAGATGACCAAAAGTTGTCTAAGAACCCGGAAATCCCTCTAGTGGCTGTCTGGTAGACAGAAACTAGAGGAGGACTTAACACTGCAAGGTAATTATTGCAGTTTATAAAAAGTGGTGTGGTGATCAGCTTCCAGCTTTTTTCACTCTAGTTCTGGGGTGGATGATGATACTCCAATAAATCTGCCATGGGGGGGGGGAGTTATGAGTGGTGTTAAAAAACCATCATGTTAAAACGCTCCACATACAGACTCCAGCCACTATGACCACGTCAAATCACTGGAGGTCATAATGCTGAGAGAACTGTCAATGCCTTGGCTCCCAAAAAGATACGCAATCAGGGATCTATTTACTTTTCCTCAGTATGTGAAGGATGGGGAACTGTTAAAGTGGGCCTTTACCATTTGCTCAATGTCATGGGACCCATTGTGTGCACCTACATGGCACACTCCTCTACAGGCCCGGACTGGCCATCAGGCACACCGGGCAAATGCCCGGTGGGCCACGGTGGCCATGGGCCGAGGCCAGCAGGGGAGGTCACAAGACATCCCCTGCCAGTCTATGCAGGGCCGGCACTATCCGAGCGCCGGCCCCGCTGTATTCCATGGAGGGCCAGTGGGGAGATCAAAGATCTCCCTCACCGGCCCATTTAAATAGAACTGCGGCTGGGGAGGGAGGGAGAGGACCCGGCGGAGCTCTATCTTGCAGCTCCGCCAGGTTCCTCTCGCGAGATCGGGAGCGTTGCCATGGCAACGCCCCGATCTCGCGAGAGTGAACTCTAGCCCCATTTGCCCGGTGTGCCCGATGGCCAGTCCGGGCCTGTAGAGGAGTGTGCCATGTAGGTGCACACAATGGGTCCCATGACATTGAGCAAATGGTAAAGGCCCACCAAACTAGTCAAGCTGGACCACCAGGGATGGTGTGCGAGTGCCGGTCCCTCCCCTCCCAGGCGCCACGTGCCTGTCCCACCCCTCCTAGGCTAAAGGTAAGAAGGGAGAGGGGGATTTAATGCCTGCTTAGTTTTTTTATTGTTTATTTACCCCCCCTTAGTTTTTTATTTGTTTATTTATCCCCCCAACACACAACATTTATACGGGATAAAAAGTTCTGGTACACCTATTGTGTGCACAGAGGAGAGGGAGTTCAACTGGCACTAAGTCGCTCAGACTGGAAATAATAGGGATTCACAAAAACCTATAACTAATAACAAGAAGAGCACTCTAGGGGATAGTGCATGGATACCAGGAGCTGACTTGTGAAAGTAACTTAAAATCTGATAAAGTGACTAATATATAAAATGAGTGATATGCAAAAATGTGTAAAAAAAGAATGTGTAAAATGTTGGGTACTGTGCCTTTAAGAGCTGCAAAACAAAACAGAAGTGAAGGTATAAATGCTAGGTGACACACCATATATATTATATAGATATATATATATTTTTTTCCTTCATCTTTTTGACACATACTGTCTCCATACATTTTTATGGGCACGTCTTTTCGTTTTTAGTTTGGCACATATTCACTGCAATTATATGTCACCTAGCATTTATACCTTCACTTCTGTTTTGTTTTGCAGCTCTTAAAGGCACAGTACCCAACATTTTACACATTCTTTTTTTACACATTTTTGCATATTACTCATTTTATATATTAGTCACTTTATCATATTTTAAGTTATTTTCACAAGTCAGCTCCAAATGAATGGAAGAGTAATAGCGACTCACAATATTAATCTTCCATGCGTTAGCATATTTCTTCGCTAGTTCTACCGCCCCACGCACTGTAAGCGGTTGTGTGTGAGAGTGCTGCGTGTGATGTGTGTGAGAGTGCTGAGTGTGAGAGTGCTGTGTGTGAGAGTGCTGAGTGTGATGTGTGTGAGAGTTCTGAGTGTGGTGTGTGTGTGTGAGATTGCTGTGTATGATGTGTGTGAGAGTGCTGTGTGTGAGAGTGCTGTACTACATTAAATAATATCACTACCTTACATTCCATGAATAAATACTGCCTCTACACCTGTCACAATGAAAACACATCTGTACTCCTGTAATAGTCTAAAAATAATTATATGTACACCTGTTCAATCAACAAAATAACATTGTTACCACTTTAACATTCTATCAATACATATTTTCAGTAGACTGTAGCATTCCTTTTACAATCTGTAATTAAATCTATCAATAAATGATTGCGCACCTGTAGCGTTCTATTAATAAATAATAACTGTACACCTGAGTCATTGTAACAATAAATTCCTGTACTCCTGTAGCATTTTACGAAAAAATTATATCTGTAGCCTATTAGGTAAATGAATAATAATTGTGCACCTGTAGCATTTTGATAACAAATAAAAGCTATTCTATGAATAAATAATATCCTCGCCCTGGTACAATCGATGACTAATAATTGTACACCTGAATTATTCCTGGCTAACGCAAGGGTTGTTGGCACAGAATGCCATTTCTCTTCTGCCTCCCTGTGTGCTGATGACGTGTGTGTTACCACGTGGCACAGTGTGCAGTTGGCAGAAGATCTCCATCACGTTGCTCTACTATAGACTACATACTGTCATATAAAAATACATATACTGTATATGAGTCGCAGATGAGAGGAATTACTCAATCCAAGCACCTCTTACAGATTGGCAGTTTAGGAAGCCTCTGTAGTGGTAAAAAATTATTCTGGGTAACTGGGATGACTAGTGTGGGCTTTGTGTAGGGTCTTTATTATAAAGGAGAGGGCCTTCTTCCTGGTAAGGAGATTCCCAACCCTGTAAATAGTATCTATAGAAAAGTGATGTCGTCATCATCAGATTCCGAAGAAGAACTTGTGAAATATGGTTATTTACGGAAAGCAAGCTCCAGTAAGATCAACTTAGCAATTCTGGCGGAACTCCCATTTTAATGTAACCGTAGAATTTCAAAGTTAAGACCAAACTAGTCAAGCTGGAAAAATGTGTACTATTTTTCCAGTTCAGTTTCTTTGGTTTAAAAGACGACCTTTACAATTCCTTACAGTGCTCGTTAAGTATTTATGTTCTTCAAATTCATCCTCTTTTACTTCAAATTTTGTAATCTTCGCCACAACATATCCTCATTCCCGGTGGCGTACATACAGGGGTCGCAGCTGCGACCGGGCCCGTCACTCCAGGGGGCTCAGCCGCCCTGCGGACCCCTGCGATCAGGTGCCATGTGTTGCGGCCCGGCTCATGCGGTGTAACCATGGACCAGTTTTCGCACTGGTGCCCATGGATCGTGTGTATGCCACTGCTCATCCCTAATTTGTCTAATTACTGGCAGCGACGTAATGTTGCTGCCCTCTCCTTCCCCAGAGATCTAATTTCCGCACATGGTCAATGGAGTCCAGCTGAAAAGAAATGCACGGTGATATCGCGAGACTACGGATGAAGGACTGGTGGAAATTAAAATGTAAAAAACAACACAAGCAATGGAGGTAGGGATTGCTCCGAAGAAGTAAAGAGGAAGGGAGGGAGAATCTCCTAATATCTGTCATAAGCGGGCACATAAGTAACATTAGACTGCGGCCTGGCTGCCTAAATCACGTGTGCCGGGGGTGTAACTCACATATCTCTGGAAGTACAGCTTTACCATCAGAAAAGCTGCATGTACAGACTTCTACCACCATGACTAGTTCTAAAAGCAGAAGTGTTCATGGTAGCTCTACCCTTTATCAAGATTGTCAAGTGTAGCTAATCTACATAAGACAAAGTAGTCGCAATCTTGTCTTATCGTTTTAAAGAGAAATAGATCAGAAAGGAAGAAAAGAAGAACAGATTCTGAAAGAGGAAGAGAAGAGGAAACCATGGGGAAAAGGGACGTTTGGGGTGACAGAGACACATTAATTCTGAAATTCGCTTTGCATTCCCAACAATACTCACTTTCCCGAATAACCGGGTTTGTGATCATTTTGAGAATTCTATATTGGATGATTTAGTCATGTTCCACTCTGATCTATCAAATGTTACATAGTTCTTTAAATCAAAGGGTTTGTTTATTGAACATCAATTTGTAATGGGTTGAAAATTAAATTACTAAATTTACGCCAACATAGCTGTTTTGCAAAAAACAAATGCTTCATCCCAGCAATTTTCAAACCTTTGATTTTGATGTAAATCTTGTTATTTATTTTTTAAAGAGAGACTGAAGGTGGTTCTATTGCCTGAAATTGGGCGGTCCTGCGTTATATTATTATTTTATTCTATGGTCAAGAAGGAATTTTTTTTCCTAGTTTGTTGCAAAATTGGAAGCGCTTCAGACTGGGTTTTTTGCCTGCTTTTGGATCAACAGCAAAAACATATGTGAGGAAGGCTGAACTTGATGGACGCAAGTCTCTTTTCAGCTATGTAACTAACTATGTTACTTACCGTTTAGTAGAGATGCTCTCTGCCTGGCAACTTGTAACCCAGCCTCCAGTGGCAAATTGGTAGAAGCTGACATCCAATCACTGGCCCAGTCCCTGGTATGATTGAATGTGGCATGATTAGGCTCGTAGCTCCCACCCTCCACCGTTCTGCCATATTGTCACTGGATGCTAGGCTGCCGAGGAACAAGCTAAGCAGCTCATGACGCAGGATCCACCGCCCACGGAATACAGGCACAGTAACCACTTCAGTTAATTTGCTTTAATCACTTTAATTAATTGGCATGAATATCTGACTGTAAGCTCATTGAAGTAGCACTGCAAGCATCATAATGACTACAGAGTGAACAGTTGTTGGATCAGCGCTTAGTGACCAGTAGACAGCTAGGATAAATGGATCACAACCATAATCACTACAGTCCGCTGTAGTAGTTAAGGTGCCTGAACTGTCTTGGCCTCATCCAATGATAAGTAGTCAAAGTACAGCACGACAACTTGGGTACTTCCAGACTCATGAAATTGCATTCATTGCTTTTCATTTTCTCCTGCTGACAAAGGAGGGCCATGTAGGGCCACACAAATTTGTCTGAGTGTCAGCTGTGCATGAGATTGTCAGCACTGGATTGACCGTAACTCATTTTACTAAAGGTGATGATGTCACCTTAAGCCTGGCTTTGAGCCTTTTTAACCACAGTGATCTATAAGTGAAGGGTTAAGTGTGTCCTTAGGCACTTAATATAACTTAATACACCTGTACGCCGCCTTCTACAATGGCTACATAAGGTAGAAGACCTGCTCTTTAGAACTGTTCATTGCTTCGTTTAAAAGGACACTCCAGTCATATTTCAGGATTAACTGCGTGTCCCCTCTGGCACATTTCATAAAATAGACACCTTTTTAAAATAGACCTTTTAATAAATAAGCTTAAAAAAAAAAAAATCAGATTGACAGCCAGAAGCATCCTAATGGATACACGATATCAGTAATGATGACTTAAAATGAGGCCGATTTGAGCTGCAATGAGAAGTAAGACTCTCCCGGTGCTGGAATATTTTTTAACCCTTTTAATGTTGAAATGAGAAGACTAGTAATCTGCAAACGAAAAGAAAGGATATTCTGACCCCTGATTTTTTTTCCTTTCTCTCTGCACCCAATCAATTTTTTTATTAGACAGATATATACATTTGCAGTGTCACTAGAAATTGCACAGTAATGCTCTTTTCTACTTATTTACAGTGATTCTTTTATTCTATATTTTGATGCAAATATACGTATTTTTATTGACTAAAAAAAGATTTCTTATAAAATATAATAACAATAATATCCTAGGTACACAAGTATGTACTTTGTACAAACTAAGAATACAATTTTGAAAAATCATTTCCAGGAGAGGTTAATCATTTAATAATAAAAAAAATAAAAAAATAAACCATTAACATAACTTCCCCACAACAAACGTTTCACAAACGGACTCTGAAAAACATACGAAATATGCTCAAAATCTAGATTGTTCAAGGTGTGCCCTTCAAGATAATGATTAGACAACAAAGTGGCTTTGCCATTATCGCTAAAGCACCCGTTATATCTGCATTGGTTTTCATCCGATTTGTCAAAACATATTATCCCATTATCCGAACACTAAAATGTTCTGTTTCAAATGGTGGCTAATTGTACGTATCAAGTGCATCTCACTTTGCCAATCTGATGAACTCAGAAAATATCAGTATACACCTCTAGCACTACAATTATAACAATCTAGGCAATAAACAATAAATGTGCATCTGCGCATTCATCCAATACTATTCATCACAAACTTGGCATTTAGTGAATAGATATAGATGCATTAAAATAATTCTTCTATTGTATTTATACACCCTATACAATCTGTCTAAAGAGAATGAGTATGTGCACACCTGTAACACTCGGTAGGAAAAAAAATGACACCTGTTACTAGAACGCCTTCAGGGCTTTATTTATTTCACGAAAGTGAGAATTATTTGGAATTTAACATGAATTTCAAATTTAAGACCAAAATAGCTTAACTATTAGGGCGTTAAATTTGAAATTCATGTTAAATTCTCCTTGAATTGATTTTGAATTTCCAAAACTTCTCACTTTAGTAAATAAACCCAAATATGTTATTATTATGATATTTATAGAGCCGTCAAATTCTGCAGCGCTTTACAATGGGTGGACAAACAGACATGTAGTTGGACACACAGGAACAGAGGGGTTGAGGGCCCTGCTCAATGAGCTTACATGCTAGAGGGAGTGGGGTAAAATGATACAAAAAGGTAAGGATAGTATTAGACTAATGACAGTTGCAGAAGAGGAATCAGTCAGGAGCTATTAGCAGTTTAATGGATACGCTTTTATGAAGTGGGTTTTTAACGATTTTTTGAGACTGGTTGAGCATCTAACAGAGGAGGGAAGCAAGTTCCACAGGAACGGTGCAGCCCTTGAGAAATCTTGAAGGCGAGCATCAGAGGTGGGAGTACGGACAGAAGATAGACGTAAGTCTTCAGCAGATCGTAAGGGCCTAGACGGGACATACTTGTGTATAAGGGAGGATTGATAGGTGGGAGCAGCATTATGTAGAGATTTGAAAGCTCTATATTTTATAGGAAGCCAATGTAGGGATTGACAGAAGGGTGAGGCATGGGAGGTGCGTGCAAACAGGAGCCTTGCCGCCGCATTCATTATGGACTGTAACGGCGCTAGTTGGGAGCACGTAAGACCACTGAGAAGCGGATTACAGTAGTCAGGGCGAGAAAGGACAGTGGAATGGACCAACACCTTAGTCGCATCTGGCGTTAAGTAGGGGCGAATGCGCGCAATGTTTTTTAGATGGAAATGACAGGATTTGGCGATAGATTGAACATGAGGCTTGAAGGAGAGGTCGGAGTAAAAGAGAACACCTAGGCAGCGAGCTTGCATGGTGGAGCTGATGGTAGCACCGTAGACTTGGAGGGAGACAGACACAGGAGTAACAACACTTGAGGGAGGAAAGACCAGAATTTCAGTTTTGGCCAAGTTTAGTTTAAGGAATTGGGCAGCCATCCAGTTAGAAACAGCAGAGAGGCAGTCACAGACATTAGTCAAGAGGGACGGGGAGAGATCAGGAGAGGACAGGTAGATTTGAGTGTCATCTGCATAGAAATGATATTGGAAGCAAAAGGAGCTAATGAGTTTACCAAGGGAGGCAGTATAGATGGAGAACAGGACCAAGGACTGAACCTTGGGGGGCACCAACAGAGAGGAGTTGGGGAGAAGAAGCAGAGCCAGAGAAAGAAACACTGAAAGAGCGCTGGGAGAGGTAGAAGAGAGCAGTATCTTGTAGACCGATATTGCGGAGGATGAGAAGCTGTTGATGATCAACAGTGTCAAAAGCCGCAGACAGGTCAAGGAGAATTAGGATAGAGTAGTGACCACGAGATTTTGCAGCGAGTAGATCATTGGATACTTTGGTCAGTGCCGTTTCCACAGAGTGCTTAGCGCGGAAACCAGACTGAAGCGGGTCTAGCAGAGAGTTGGACTCGAGAAAGTCTGTCAATCTCGCATACACAATTTTTTCAACGATCTTGGATGCAAAAGGCAGTAGCGAGATAGGACGATAGTTGGATGGGAAGTTAGGGTCAAATATATTGACTTATCCTCATCTGATTTATGAACATTAATTACTATATCAGCAAAGATCGCTATGTGCATCTGCAGAGAGACTGTAAATGGTATTCCTAATGTCAAACTACATGGCTGCACACACAGACATTATTTTTACATTCTGGCGGCATCCCCAAAACTGCTATCAAGGTATTCAACCATTTTTATTTATCTAATTTTGTAAAACTACTGAATGAGACAAAATGTTATTTCTGCTGTTTGCCAGATAATTTATACCATATAAGATCTAAAATGCTTCATTCCCAGATGGTTCCGTTAAGAATGAACAAACACAAGATAAATTAACATGCTTTATATTTACATAATTAGATTTTTATGTACCATCTAATTGCAAGCTATACAAAAAAATTGCTATATTGTCTAACATTCAGGGTTTGTCAAACATTTGGGGTTATTCACAAAATTCGGACTACGAAATCCAGATATTGTTATGGAATTGTCCATATTGTGTAAATCAGACCAGAAGCTGGCCTGAATTAAATCCAGATTTCAGCTCTAGCGTATGCAGCACGACTGCTGAAACCTGAAACAAAGAACTTGTCTGGGGCCGGAGGCTTCAAGAATTGCCAGGGGGCAAATAGTACTTCAAAGTATCATTCGCTTGCAAAAGGAAAGTGAATAATAATTTGCGAATGTGCATCTTACTGGATGCATTTAGCTTATCTTCGGCCGCCATGCGGTCATTGATAAATCTCCAATTCCTGTGCTTTATATTATTTTGAATGCAGTATTACTGATTTTCTGAATGCTTCTGAACGAATGTCACAGAATGGGTCTGACCGAATGAACCCTGACCACATTTGGCTTTAGTTAATCGCCAAATTGTCAATGCGGTCGCAATTAATGATTGTATCTGTATTGATACACCGGTAATGCCCTACCTTTGAAAATAACCTACAATGTATTACGTGTATCATTCTGTTCACCTGATACAATTAATGACTAATAACTGTACAGTGGAATTCTGGAATCCTTCCTGGCTAACACAAGGGTTCTTGGCACAGCATGCCATTTTCTCTTCTCCCTCCCCGCAGATGACGTGTGTTACTGTGTGGCACAGTCTGCAGTTATTAAGAACGTTCAATCACGGTGTTCTATTACAGACTGGATACTGTCACATAAATATACATATATGAGTAGCAGCTGGCAAAACTGGCCTCAAACCAGAATCCCTTGCAGCTTGACAGACTAAGCCTACATGTTGATAAAATATTAAAAAAGAATAAAGGAGTTCAGGTCACTGGGATGCACATGGCGTGTTTCATGTAGTGGCATTTATAGAAGGCAAATATTCAGAATCACACAACTGTAACTGTATTAATACAACATAATATTATTTCTGATCACCACAGCTGTAATATTTTACTTGTTTCCATATATCTGCAGTATTTTACCTGTATTAGTATGCCTGTCAGGGCCAGCCTTAGGAGTGTGCGAGCTGTGCGACCGCACAGGGCGCTATGGCAGCAGGAGGCGCCGACATAGCTCACGCATGGACGGAATTAAAATGTGTGCACCTGCTTCCCAGGTGGAGGATTTCATTTTTCTCCACCCGGTAGTATCCAAAAAACACATGGTAATGTGGGTGGGGCTTAGCAGGTGACAGGGAGGGGCTAAACAGCAGCAGGAGAGGGGCTAAATAGCGGCAGGGGCGGAGCTAAATGTGCCCTTGAGCCGGTGCTGCATAGGAAAGGGAAAGTGGAAGGAGTCACTGCTTCCCCAACAACTCCAGGAGCTGCAAAAGCCTCCTCTCCCCCCTTACAGCTCATTATGGAGAGAGGTAACTTTCCATTTGTGTGACTGCCTATCTGTGCATGCGACTGCCTGTCTGTGTGTGTGTGTGTATGAATGTAACTGACTGACTGTAACTGTGTGTGTGACTGCAACTGCGTGTGTCACTGTAAATGTGTGTGTTGCTGTGTGTATGCCTGTGCCCTATACAAACACTAAACCCCTATTCACACACACACTATACATGGATGAAGGGGAGGGGGCACTGTCAAGATTTTTCGCACAGGGCGCCTAAAGACCTAAGGTCCTGATGCCTGTAATAATCTATCAGAATAAAATAATCTGCAATACTATCTCAGTAACAAAACATTTGCAAACAGTCTCCAATTCATCGTCTTTTTGCTGTACTATTATACCTGTAGTAGTTTGCCTGTATGTGTACATCTGTAGTATTCTAACTATGCAAATAAATCTGAAATATAATATCTGTAACATAAATATACCGGCAAAAGTTTACCAGCATCAATTTTTATTGAATTGTGTATATGGACCTCTAATGTTCTAGCTGTGTCATCAGATACCTAGAACTCTCCTTGTATAAATACACATGTAATGGTCTAGCTGTATCAACAGATACCTAGCATTCTACCTGTATCAGCAGACGTGCAGCATTCTACTTGTATAGACACACATGTAACAGTCTATCTGTATTAAACAGGAACTCTATGCACCATAACTAGTTTACACTCACAGCCAATGATGCTCCCTGGGGGAAAGGCATGAGAGAACTCCTTGCCCCATAACCACTACACAAGTGGTTATGAAGCATAGAGGGCTCCTTTAACAGCCATGCAGCATTATACTTTTATAAATACACTTGTAATATTTTACCTACGTTAACAAACATACCAGGGCTCTATTTTTTATTTTTTTTTAAAACAGCTGTAATACACAGTCTGTATCAATCCACGTATATAATTTTCTTATATGAAAATTATATTATTATAATATATATTTTAAAATATAAAATATATATTTTATTATAAAATGTATTTTTTTATTTAAAATATATATTTTCTTATATGAAATTTCCATTTCTTGTATTAATTAATTTTAAATATTCTACCTAAACAAATAAACCTATATAATTATATACCTGTATAACTAGACGTGTATTATTCTGTTTGTATAACTACACTTATATATTTTAAACTACACTGATTGGCTTGCATAACTGTACATGTATAAAAATTCTGTAATTCTTTACATCAGAACTGTAACAGTACACCTACCACCCCGACTGGGTTTCTCCGTGATGGATGCTCCTAGCACTTCTTGAGGATTCCAAGCACTCTAGCCAACACCACAACCACCGCAGGCCAAACCTCTCTTCCTTCAGAGCAAAGCAGGAACAAGCTCTTAAAAGAGTTTAGGAGTGATTATAGCAAGGGAATATGCAGAGTATAGCAATCCCTTGTAGCAGATTCCCCCAATAAGAGACAGTACTCCAAATTGAGGGTGAAATAGATCTGTCTAAAACTTTATTTTACTTGAGACTAGCCCATATGGTCATTACATTAAAGGACCACTCTAGGCACCCAGACCATTTCAGCTTAATGAAATGGTCTGGGTGCCAGGTCCAGCTAGGGTTAACCCATTTTTTTTATAAACATAGCAGTTTCAGAGAACCTGCTATGTTTATAAATGGGTTAATCCAGCCCTCAAAGCCTCTAGTGGCTGTCTCATTGACAGCCGCTAGAGGCGTTTGCGTGCTTCCCACTGTGAAAATCACAGTGAGAGCACGCAAGCGTCCATAGGAAAGAATTGTAAATGCTTTCCTATGAGACCGACTGAATGCGCGCACAGCTATTTCCGCGCGTGCGCATTCAGCCGAATGGGAGGAGAGGAGGAGGATAGGAGCTCCCCGCCTAGCGCTGGATCAAGGTAAGTTTTAACCCCTTTCCTCTCCCCAGAGCCGGGCGGGATGAGGTCCCAGTCCCACCCCCCTCAGGGCACTATAGTGCCAGGAATACGAGTATGTTTTCCTGGCACTATAGTGGTCCTTTAACATTGCTGTGAAAACTCAATAAAATTACAAACAGTCAAATAATAGCAGGCAACATACAGTGACTTATTATAACATAATTACATATTTATAAATGGATGGAGAAGACCATAATTAACACAAAATGTCTCTCCTGCATGCAGAATTAGCGATATGCTAAACTACCTGAATATGCAAATTACCAGTCTTGCTATTTAGGTAGTGCATATTACTGTTGCTACCAACAGAGGGCACTACACAAGCTCCATAGCCAAATCCACCTAGTTGGTAGCAATCCTCAGCAGTACAGGAGAGCAGGCACTACATCCCAGGGGCCATAGTCCCATGGCAGGAGGCTGGCAATCAGTCTTCTCCAATGCCCAGTGGCGAGGCTGGCTCCGCCACAAGAATATCTACACTATTCCACTTTTATCTGTAAAACTGCAACAGTCTACCTGTATAAATACACCTGTATTGATCTATCTGCATCAAATAAGCTGAAACAGTAAAACTACATAAACATGTCTGTTATGGTCTACTTATACAAGTATGCCTACAATATTATGTTATAAATATAATATATGTTAATCTACTCACCTTTAAAAAGGAGACATCATCATCATTTTTCAAGTAGGTGATTTCTAAATTTCCATGAATAACCTGGCAGTCGTTATAGAGGGTCCGTATTGTATCATAATGTATTTTCTGGCTGGAAGGACGAAACAATTTCATATCCGTCCCTGTGCACACTGTAAAAAAGCAAAATAAAGTTACTACACTAACAGAAATATATTTCCCAAATTTTATGGTTAATGCAAATATTAAAAAAACTTTTTAAACTGCAAACTTTGCAGATACTTTGCATTTTTTGTTTGCGTTATTGATATATATATATATATATATATATATATATATATATATATTTATTTAAATTCTTTATTTTTGCAATGGCAGATCGCTTGGTAAATTAACATTGTTAGGCTTGTGCAAAAGCCATATCATAGTACATATGTCGACAATGTATCACAGAAAGAAAAAGAAAGTCGAGAGTTATTTTGTTAAGGCTTTTCTTCATGTTGTGGTGATCGACATGGTCGGAATCCGCCAGAGTTTCGTTTTTTTTATAGTTAACGAAGAATAATAAATAACCTTAAAAAGTAATGTATTTAACATACTATGTAGGAGCGGGGCTGTCTTTGTAGCAGTGTTATTCAATGACTTTGGTAGTGTATTGTTGTCATAGGATGTGATATGCACGTGAGATGTGATCAGCATCCATTTGCATAGAGTAGGTAAAGAACCGTGTAACAATGAAAGTAGTAACCATATAACCAGCGTTACATGTCATAATGCCGTTTTATACTGAATGTCTTGAGAATTTAACTACTTTACTACAATTAATACATTTGCTCTAGATATGCATTTCTAATAGTAGTATGCCCTTTATATCCACTTATTGATATTTTTTAACAGTGTACTTATTATAATAAGTACTTAGACACTTATTATCAACATCTTTACAGATAAATGTATCCTCTGTATAAACTACCGGTATGCGCTGGCCTTTTTAGAAGGGGTTAAACAAATCCCAGCTGCTCTATGATGTAGTCTCTCGCTAGTGTCTAACACACTCTCAGGAAATAATGACTTTCCCCGGAAATGACCCGTTAGACATCTGTTTGACTCTGTTTGTCCCCAACTACTTCCAAATGACTTCCTGTATTACTGCCAAGTCACCAATGAAATGTTTCCCCAGAGGCCCATTAATAAAAAAAAAAAACCCTGTAGATTTGGTTTTAAGCAAAATACTTAATGATGGAAAAACAATACTGGTTACTGCATGCCTAATGTTTGAGAAAATGAGATAAGTTGACTTCATAGCACTACAACTCATGTAATTATTCTCAGCCAGCCTATAGTGGTAGTATAAATCCACAGGAGGCAAAATGTCAGAGGCTATCTGGATACAAAAATGCCTGCCAACTTTGACATGTATAAAGCTGGGACTACACACCTTCATTTAGGGAGTCAACGGTGGTGCCCCCTCCAATGCCCCCTTCCCTAAAATAGATAGGGAAGGGGCAGGTAGGTAACTGGCAGGTCCAGTAAATATTTGCTGCCCAGTGCCCAGCTAGTGCCTGAAGATGGCCAGCGAACTGTGTAGACCTGGGGTGCCCAAAAGGTAGATTCTCAGATGTTTTAAAAGTAGAACTTCCATGATGCTTTGTCATGCTAAAGACATGCAAAGCATTATGCGAATTGTAGTTCTACATCTGGGGATCTACCTTTTAGTAACACCTGGTGTAGAGTATTGCCAGTGTCACAATTTCCATCATTGTAGAGGTACATGCCTGTGAATAGCGTCAGGATGATAGAGAGCATTTTAGGCCAGAAACCCAGGCTGCCTTTATGCATGAGTACTAGTAGCGATTTCACTGGCAGAATTGCCCTGGAATAGCCATGCACATCTTGAAGGACATTTACATGAAGGTCAAAGTGCATCTTGCCTGGTACAATTCTACTAGTCCACTAGACACATCCTTGTATACCTTCATTAGCTGTTGTTCTGTAAACGTCCCTTCAAATGATGGTCCAACAATTAACAACGGGGAAATTCCTCAAAAAGCACCTTAAAAGGATACCGTATGTACCATAATCACTACATCTTTTTATAGTGGTTATAGTGCAAATAGGCTTTGGGTACAGTCTATCAGGTTTTTTTGTCAAAAGTAGCTGTAGTAACTGGGATGTAGTGGTTATGATGCCCCTCTAACGACACACTGAAGTAGTTTCAGGGCATTTCTGCCCATGAATGGCACTTTCGCAGTAATTTATGTAGGCATACCGAGATAACTGACTGGTCTTATCAGTGATATAATCTGTATTGCAGGTTCACCCACTCTCTGGCCATGAGTCACCCATAGCCTGTTTTTACATCATTAAATCTGCACAAGTGTACAATAGTCCATCCAGGGGCCTGAAGACATAAATTATTAATAAGCGTTTATGTTGGGGTCTTGTTCAGTAGTTAGTTGCAAGGACTACAAATCATTCACAGGGATTTAGAGCAGATATTTCTATAATATCCATTTTCTGAACGGTCAAACGCTTTTCAATAGTTGTATCTTTAGCTATAGAGTAAGTGGCTCCTTTATCGTAGAAGAGAAAGGAGAAAGCATTGGTAAGACCAAAGCGCATGGGCTATTGAGACGCTATTATATATTATAAATAATCTCAGCCAAGGAACGGAGCAGAACTAGCCACAACAAGACCAGCGTGGTGCTGGAAAAAAGGTGAGTTTAAACACCTTTTTAATTGGGGTAAGAATCCTAAATAGCGGTATTAGAACTATAGTGTCAGGAATACGTTTGTAATCCTGAAAATATAGCGTTCTTTTAAAGTTAAAATTCACTTTGAATTCTTACTATAGTACATAAACCTGTATGCGCAAGAAAAGACATTTACACTCTTGTGCAAATTCATACAAGGCCCAATTAAACCTGATTCAATTTCTACAGCTGAAACAGTTTTTTGTTTGTTTTCTCACTGTGTTTAAAGAATGTCTTGACTGCATATTTCTTGGTGTCCTGTAATGTGATATTTTAATATTTGTTTAGATTTACTCACGCAATTAAATATATTAATAAACCATAGTCACATATTAAATGTCAAATGTATTTCTGCGTAAGAGAGGTACATTTAAGCAAATCAGGCAATGAAATGTTATGTGAGACAAATTTGGCATGTGAAATATGTTTAAAGAGAATTACTTCCTCCTGTACGGAACATTAGCGACTGCATTGTACATGTGTACACGTTACAATGGGCACTGCAATGTAACTGTGAAAAACGGTGTAAAGAAGGCTGTCTGTAAGACTGGTTCAACTGGAAATGAACAAATATATGGGAACTAACAAAAGAATAGTTTTTCTTTAAGCTACTGATAACCAGGTGCCCTAAGGCTAGGACCGGGCACAGCTAGAGGGCAACACTTATTTGACTTAGGGACAGGCTTAAATTATTTATGAACCCATACTATCCTCCAGGTATACTGCATTTTTCAATTTAGTGCAAGAATTCACCCCGTCTTTGTGTGTACTAAGTGTATATAGGGATCCCATGGACTGTCAGGAAGGGGAAGCATGACTGCTGCCCTACAATAAGGGTTGGGATAGAGAGATTGCAGAGATGGGATGGTATAAGAAGGGGTGCAGAGGGGAGGGCACTCACCACTTGCTATGAAAAGGTTTTTCCCTTCCTGCCCACCCTATGGTTATGAATGTTGGTGTATTTCTGTGGTGTTGTATGTTTTTTGTTCTCCTTTTGTCACAGCTAAGGCAGAGTTCCTGGCCAGCGCAAGTAATTCACGAAACAAGGCTCTTGGGAGTCGCAGCCTGCTTGGGCTGATGGCGGAAGGCAGGCTGTACGGAATCTGGAAATATACCGTTTTATCTATCTGTTGGGTAGTCACCCCAACAGCCGACAGGTGGTGATAATGCTGGCGGTGTTTAAAGTTAAATCAAATAAAGCTGTGGCCAATACTCAGGCGTCATGTCTTTATTGGGGGTAACGGGAATTTAATCTAGCCAGCAGTCCTTCTGTGTCATTAGCATGTATATTAGTCATGCCTCTACTGTCTGTGTTTTGTTTTTCATTACTCAGTAGTGTATTGTGTATGTAGCATATATGTAATATATTTGCAGCATGTATATGTGTTACTGTGTCAGGTGTGTCTGTTTTGATTTTCTTTGCCAAAGGACTGTGTGTATATTGTGTTTTTGTGTTACTACACAATACGTACATTTTGTTACTGGGCCAGTAGTGTGTGTGTGTGTGTGTGTGTGTGTGTATCCTGTTACTGAGACAGTATTAGTCGGGGTGCACTGTGTTACAATGACAGTAGTGTGTACATCAGGAGTGCCCAAAAGGTAGATCCCCAGATGTTTTAAAACTACAGCCCCCATGATGCTTTGTCATTCCAAAAGCATTCTAAAGGCATGCAAAGTTGTATGGAAGTTGTGTTCCAGCAATGGGTATGTGCTGTGTTACCGTGACAGTAGTGTGTATATCATGTGTGCAAGCAGTGGGTATGTACTGTGTTACTGTGACAGTAGTGTGTATATCATGTGTGCAAGCAGTGGGTATGTACTATGTTACCGTGACAGTAGTGTGTATATCATGTGTGCAAGTAGTGGGTATGTACTGTGTTACCGTGACAGTAGTGTGTATATCATGTGTGCAAGCAGTGGGTATGTAATGTGTTACCGTGACAGTAGAGTGTATATCATGTGTGCAAGCTGTGGGTATGTAATGTGTTACCGTGACAGTAGAGTGTATATCATGTGTGCAAGCAGTGGGTATGTAATGTGTTACCGTGACAGTAGAGTGTATATCATGTTACTGTACCAGTAATTTGTGTGAATATATTGTGTTAATGTGATAGGAATAAGTGACTTTACTGTACCAGCAGTGTGCCTCATGTCAAACATAAATTATATTGCTGTGTGTATAATGTGCAGACAGCCTGCAGTGTATGTATATTTTATTATCATTCCAGTTAGTATGTATATATCATGTTACTGTGCCAATAGTGGCTGTGTTTACCATGCTGCTGTGCCTGCTATTGTGTGTGAGTGTATGTGTGTATTATGTTCTCGTCACTGAATTCACTTTGCCTCGGGCTCATATTTAACCAAACTGCTTTTTCCACTTTCATCTGAGGAAGCAGAACATTCATCATTCACCCTGACTCACCCTCTACTGTGTGCGTTCTAATCTGCTAACCTTTCTCACCCTCTGCACTCAGTAGGAATTATTCACTAAACTGGGAGGTGTGCAGTATTGACAAGGGAATTGCAAATGTAAGGCCACAATAGAAAAATCAGAAAAACTGCCGATTTAGAGAATATTTCCAGCCCGACTGCTTTGGCCAAAAATGTGCAAATCTTTGCAATTTTTTCAGAATTCCCAATATGGTGAATTACCCTGTAAAACAGACTCTGAGCCAGCATGATTTAAATTAAACTAATGAAAATTATTTTAAAGATACAGGCTAAAGGAAGCCGACAAATATATATATATATATGTATCTGCCATTCACATCACAATTTAAAGATACAATATATTTTTAGGATAGAGAATGATAGTTGGTCTTCTGACCTCCAATTTACTATCTCCCACCGTGTTCTACAACCCTGAATCTTCCAACCCCCTCATATGCTCTCTGGGGGGGGGGGTTTAAATCCCTAAAGGGACTTAGGGGATTTTAATGATGGAGGGAGGAGAGAGGGGCTTAATGCAGCTGCTCCAGGCAGACGTTTTCTGCATGTCTATAGATGGGTATCCTGGAAACGGTCTACAGGACTCAGGCCTACACACAGAGGCTGAAAAGCCGAGCCAGGCTTGGATGCAATCTGCAGACCTTGCCAATACACTTCATCTGGCTTTGTGTTCCAGACATAAGTTTGAAAGAGCCTTGGGGAGGAAGTAAGAACAGGGGAAATCAGTATGTGGATTGCAGCCTTCTCTGAAAGGAAATCTATTAGCAGCATTTGTTTAATCATATTTACGTTTACACAGAGCCTCAAGTAATGTAGCTTAATTTCCATTAGAGAACATACTCATAAGCACATTAAGAGGAGACTTTTGCTGCTGTATAATAAATATATATGTTTTACATATCACCCAAGTGTCCCTGTTTTGGAGAGACAGTCCCTATTTTGGGTCCAAATCCCCCTTCTCTTCTCTTCTTTTCTATGCTAAAGGCCCTCTTTCTAGAAGCTCCATACTGCTGGTGTGCCTGAGTGTGTAACAGAGGTCCACATGCACACATGTATTCGTAACAATATAGTGTTGGACTAGATATTTAGATCTTGGCATCTCACAAAATGAAGTAAAAAATATATTTAAATGTACATTTTCTCCATCACCATGCAGGTCTCACCATGGCTAGCCCTGCCTCCATGGCTGAGATCAATCTTGACAATTTCAGCCAATCCAATGCTTTCCCATAGGAAGCATTGGGAGGCTATTGTGCATGCATGGCAAAACATTCAGCATCTCCATGCAGAGAGTGGGGATGCTGAATGTAGGTGCTGCATGAGTGCAGCACCTCTAGTGGCCGTCTGAGCAACTGTTACTAGAGGTGTTTCTAAGCAGCCATTTAAACACTGCCGTTTCTCTGAAAAGACAGTGTTTGCATTGAAATGCCTGCAGGGACATGCTGTAGACACCAGAGCCACTACATTAAGCCTTAGTGGTTCTGGTGACTATAGTGTCCCTTTAAACTACAATAATTGTGTTGAGGAAATCAGTCTGTGTAAATAAGATATATTGTTCGTTTTATAAATTATATTTTAGTTACATACATTTTTATTAGTAAGTCACCTAAATTATCTGAGAACAGCCCTGCTCCTGGCCACACTCCCACTCACACCCCTAAAATTAAAATGTCCCTCTATGACTATTTGAAAAGTTGGGAGAAATGTTATTATAATACATTTGTTCTTGTGAGCAAGTATGCATAGTGCATTAAATATTTATATGCTTTATTAAAATTGTACCTATCTGGTGTTACTTTGCTGTGCAGCAAAACCATAGGTATCACAAATCCAAGCAGGCAGTACCTGGGTATAGTGCCATTTTCTCAGCCATAAATTTGTGCAAATCCAAGGTTTTGGGGCCAGTAGTTAGCCTACATGTCACATTATTAAATTATCTTCATTGCTTCATCACTTGAATTCCAAAATGAAGCATCTATTAAAATTCTTCACATTTAAATTAACATAACCGTCCGTGTCCCCATTTTTTTTTTTTTGAGAAATCCCTTTTTGCTGCCATCTGTTCAGGACCCCATGACTTCTTATTAATTTTGGAGTAATATTTAATTCCTGTTTCTATTTAGCAGCCATTTTCAGTATGTACGTTTTCTCCAAGTTCCAAGTTCTCTTATGACTTCGGTGAGAACCTTGTTTTTTGCTATTACTTCCTTAATGAGTTTCTCTACCTAGTGATTTCTGGGAAAAATGTTCTCTTGTGAGAACTAAATCATAAAAAGAATCTAGATAAACACAATTGAATCAATTTGTCCTTGAAATGTAATCTTACCACAATGTATACATTTGTTATCAACTGAACACGCTGTAGTGGTTATGGTGCACAGAGTACTCCTGGCACCCCACCCGATGCAAATAGTCAAACTGTTTGCTAATAGTTTGACAACTTACTTGGGGTCAGTTGCTCTGCCTGACTTAGCTCAATGCAGAGAGCTTATAGCTGTCATGTAGGCTAAAATTGGCACCCAGGTAAGTTGTCAAACAGCAAATGGTGTGACTACTTACATGTAGGGGATCGCCAGGACACGCCTGGCACCATAACCACTACAGCGTGATGGAGTGTTCCTGTTATAGAAGCTGCAGACTAATCTGACTGCCTTTGAATACACTGAAGCATTCTCACCACCTAACCACTCAACTTCCCAACATCACCAAAGTATCACTGTCAAAAGCATTACTTTTATGTGACTTAGCGTAGTATATTGGAGTTTTTAACCTACCAGGTTTACGTTTTTTCACAATCTTGTTACGTTGTTTCACTAATGTAATTACAGCGACACAGCAGGATTACTCGATGGTCAGTTGTAAATCTTGCTCAATACTAGGCCATGATTGTAAAGAAGAATCAATCACTGATACATAATATATTCATCCGTCAGCAGCATTATCAATCAGAAAGTAGTCCGAATCACTACAAATCAGTTACCCATTACTTGTTAAATGACTCTGTGCAGTCACAGTTGGGAAATCGAAATCATGAGGCTAAAAACAGGAGTCAATTACAATAAGCCAGGTTTTAAAGGGCGCAGTCCACTCATTGTGTAACCTCAGTGTCCATCCAATGTTTCACTTTTTATCATCCTATATAATCCACTCACCCAACATTAAATGCCATCAGCTCTCTGACATTCTATTTAATCCACTGCCCAATAAACCACTCTATGCCCATCCAATAAAAACCTCACTATATCGCTATAAAAGAATAAACCTATTGCATTATATACAGTATAAACAAGCTCTGTCTCCAGCGAAGTATGAACCATTCTCTCTCCGTACAGTATAAACACTATTTTACATCCAGAAACTATAAATGCCAGTCTATCCCCGTAAAATTATAATCCACTCTATCCTATGCCGTATAAACCCTTTATACACAGCGTCCAGTGCCATTTATACTCTATGCATCATGCAAAACACATTATTATTAATCACCCAGTATCCACTCTTCCCTAATCCAGCGTAAACACACTGAATAATCCTCTATATGTTCTGTGCAGTATAATATACCCACTTCCTAAAACATTATCCCCATACAGCATGGAGCAAACTCTCTCCAATCTGTTTTTTCTCCACCCTATATCACCCACTCCATCCCCAAGCCATATTATTATTTATAAAGCGCTAACAGATTCCGCAGCGCTGTACGATGTATTATCCAACCTCTCCCTATCTTTCATTGTCTCCTATCATGTATCAGCTTGTCTCCCCAATTTATATTATCCATCCTCTCCGGTCCTGTATCGTCCACTCTTTCCCATCCTGTATCATTCTCTCTCTACCTAGTTCTATCCAATCTATGTCCATCATGTATCACTGTCTCTTACATAATATCACTATCACATCTCTCTCTCTCCTTTCTAGTCCTCTCAGACCCTCTATCGTGTATTATATACCTTCTCTAGATTACTGAATTACCCACTCTCTTTCCATCCCGAGTCAAAATCCCTCTCCCCATACTGTATTATAGCGACTCTCTATCTTGTATCATTTACTCTTTCCACAATATGTCATTCACTGTCCTATATATTGTCCTATATTCTACTCTTCCCCATCATGTACCCTCCACTGTTTCTCCATCATGTACCCTTAAAACATTCTGTATCCTCCACACTCCCCATATCATGCATTCTTCACTCTCTTCCCACCCTGTATCCATCCATACTGTGTGATCCACTTCCCATTCAGTATGTATACAACTTTCTTTGCTTTATTCAGAAGCATCCTTTTACTATTTATTTTGTCATTTTTAAACACCTACTCGGCCATCCTGTAACTTTGACTCTGTTTCCATCATTAGTATTGTCTTTAATGGTTTTACAATACTTTTAAAGATGTTTAATAATCTGATTGGGCAATTTCACCGCTACATGTGCACAAAACAAGTTCTCCCGTTCTCAATCCAACAACCATTTGGTCGTTTGTTCCCACAGACTAGCTGTCTGTACCATCGATGTAGGAACCAAAAAAAACATCTGGGGGACACACGTATGGAGCGTTCATTAAACAGGGTACTATATATATATATATAATATTAAAGGGATCCTATAGTGCCAGGAAAACAGCTATAGATTTCTAAGGTCCCCCTCTCCCTTGGGCCCACCTCCCACAGAGCTGAAGGTGTTAATACCTCTTCAGTCACTTACCTAAATCCAGCACCGATGTCCCTCGGCGCTGGGAAAAGCTCCGCCCACATTCCTCCCCCGCCGATGTCAGCCAGCGGGGGAGAACTAATGCGCATGCACGTCAATGGCTGCACTCGCATTAGGATTTCCCTATAGGAAACCATTAATCAATGCTTTACTATGGGGAAAATCTGACGCTGAAGGTTCTCATGCACAGCGTGAGGACGTTCCACTGTCAGATAACGGACCAAAGGTCCGTTTTGATTCCGGAAGCCAGCCGCTGAGGGCAGACTTAGAGCTGCAATATAAACATGCAATATAAACACTGCATCCAGACCACTTCATTTAGCTGAAGTGGTCTGGGTGCCTACGGTGTCCTTTTAAGGAGTCTACTAGCAAAATGGGGTAAACAGCTCTTTTAACATGTTTTTATTTTCTTATGTTTCTTAAATAGTGAAACATATCATCTTAAAAGTTATGTGAGATTTTCAGACATTTGGATATTTCCCTTGGGGAGGTCCTCTCGTCTCCACTGTTTTTACATGAATGAGAGAGATCACCCTTTCAATTTCAAACATCTATATGCATCTTTTTATTGCTGGAGTGTTTTGATCAGGATGCCATATAGCATAAGTTAAATTAGCAATAACATAGCTCTAGATTAGAACGTGGCTATGGGTTGGAGAATTGTAAATTAGCAATGCAATAACAGACAAATCACTGCATATAATTCCTTCACATTACTGCTATGAATTATGGTTGCCATGTAACTCTGTATCAGTATGTGTATATCATTAGCCTATAAATGTGATTTTGAAATTTGAAATAAAATTCACGTTCAGATATTTGAAAATATACTTTCAACATAAAATCCTGCTATAGTGTTATATAACACCCTCGATGAGCCAATTAGCCTCGGTAAAAGTCCTATTTCATCATATATAACCTTTCCAAAGAACAATATATATTTCTCTGTGAAACATCTCTTTTATTAACACTTCTTACTGATTCATAGAACACCTATAACGCTACTCCATGTAATCTCTCTATATAACCTTTCCTATTACTCCATATAACCTCTCCCTATAACTCCTCCTATTACTCCATATAACTCCTCCTATTACGCCATATAACCTCTCCCTATAACTCCTCCTATTACTCCCTATAACTCCTCCTATTTTTCCATATATCCTCTCCCTATAACTCCTCCTATTACTCCATATAACCTCTCCCTATAACTCCTTCTATTACTCCATATAACCTCTCCCTATAACTCCTCCTATTACTCCATATAACCTCTCTCTATAACTCCTCCTATTACTCCATATAACGTCTCTTTATAACGCCTCCTATTACTCCATATAACCTCTCCCTATAACTCCTCCTATTACTCCATATAACCTCTCCCTGTATGCCCCCCTGTTGTCTATATTTTACATGACTGATACATTGTCTGGAGTATAATTGCCTTTGAACCCTCGAATTTCTAATCTTATGAAATGCCTTTGAGAATCTCCAGCTCTGAGCTCAGATAACAGTGCAGACACCACAATGTTTACAGCTTCAATCATAACAAGGCACAGGGCAACATAGAACGTGTTCAAATGAATAATGTGCAACGGGGCCCCCAATTTTAAATTCCATTTTTTTCACTATGTTCACTAACTCATGGAGAGCAGTGCGTAATCTTATATTTGACTGCTATAAAAGGCTTTGGTAACCTGCCACCACGGATTACAACTCCTATATGCTTAGGCAGCCATTATATGAAGAATACTGCTGAAGCGATGTTCAGTAAATTATGCCCAAGAATTTCTTTACATCAATAAAAAGCAGATACCCTATTTTCTAGATTAAACAGCATCCAGCGGCCTAGCAACTGCAAATTACAATCCTATCAATGCCAGCCATCCTTTATTCTTGCTAAGCATGATGGGAGGTACAGTCTGCGGCGGCCCGAGTGTTGCCCAATCTTGTTTATTACCTATCTATAGCTCAGTTGCCTAAGAGGTTTTAGACATGTCTACATACTGCTATATATCCATGCAGTAATAATAAAGTCCATGGTAAGGATGTGGGGGTGGTACAGAACTGTGACTTTAACAGCAGCCCCCATTCTAAATACAGAGGGGTGGGAGGGACTGATTCACACAATGAAGCCTTGTGCTAGCTCACAAGGCAAAGGGGGTAAGGATCTGAGTTTTCTCATGTCTTCACTGCCAAGATAATTGTTCTGCTTTTAAATACAAGCATGCAAAAGTCAGCACTATCTGCAAGACAAGTCTATATTATAGCATGATGTACTATACAAGAGCAATATTCTGCAGAAATTTAAAAATACTATTCGATAGAGAGAGCCCAGAAAACCCAGCCAGGTCACTGGTGATAATAAAAACAAATGATGCTCTGATCAACCCTGTAGTTTAGAGTGAACATTGAGTCTAATTTAAAGGGACTGTTCCCAGCATTAAAGTGTAGACACCTGTAACCTTGATACAATGTATCCCTTTTAATCCACCTACCCTAGAAAACAGATTATTCTGTTATACACTGTTTGAGGGGTTGCATAGAGCTACCAGAATTAAATAATCAGGACAGACATGTTGATATAAATTGCTCACATGTCTGGGCAAAAAGGTAGATCCCAAGGTGTAGAACTACAATAACCATGTTGCTTTGCCAGATTTTGTAATGTCAAACCATCACAGAAGAAGTTGCAATTCTACAACATCTAACGATCTATTGTGTGCTGACCCCTAGTAGGGAATAGATTGGGGCAATCATTTGGTTCTTAAAAAGTTAAAAAGACTATGCCAGAAAAATGTCCAAGCCAAGGATTTTGTCATTTTGAATATTTTTGGCCTGACATTTGCAATCTCTTTGTCAACCCTGCGCTTTTCCCGGTTTAGCAAATAAGCAAATATACCCTAATTTACAAGCACTGCAGTGATTTGATATCACAGCTCAAATAGAATGATCTGTTCACTTAAAGAATAGATCTGTAAGGTTTGGAATAATGCAGGTGAAGATGAGCACTGCAGTGATCTGTACGGATGAAGAAGGACCTGTGCGGGCTAGAATGGCCTGTACAGGTGAATAAGGACTTGTGATGATTAGAATGATATGTACAGGTGAAGTAAAGTCCTCTGAGGGTTAGAACGATCTGTACAGGTGAATAAGGACTTGTGATGATTAGAATGATCTGTATAGGTGAAAAAAAGACCTGTAATGGCTAGCATATTCTGTACAGGTGACTAGAATGAAATGTACAGGTGAAAACCGACCTGTGGGGACTAAAATTATTTATACAGGTGAGGAAAAGACCACTGAGGACTACAATTATCTGTACAGGTGACGTAAAGTTCAGTGAGGACTATAATGGCCTGCACAGGTGAACAAGGACCTTTGAGGGCTAGAATGATCTGTACAGGTGAAGAAAAGTCCTCTGAGGACTAGAACGATCTGTACAGGTGAAGAAAAGTCCTGTGAGGACTAGAACAATCTGTACAGGTGAATAAGGACTTGTGATGATTAGAATGATCTGTACAGGTGAAGAAAAGACATGTGATGGCTAGCATATTCTGTACATGTGAAGACTAATCCTATCTTGACTAGACTGATTTGTACAGGTAAATAATGACCTGTGAGGACAAAGATGATTTATACAGGTGAGGAAAAGACCACTGAGGATTACAATTATCTGTACAGGTGACGTAAAGTTCAGTGAGTACAATAATGGCCTGCACAGATGAACAAGGACATTTGAGTGCTAGAATGATCTCTACAGGTGAAGAAAAGTCCTGTGAAGACTAGAATGATTTGTACAGGTGTAGAAAAGTCCTATAAGGACTAGAACGATCTGTACAGGTGACGTAAAATCCTGTGAAAATCCTGTGAAGCCTAGAACAATCTATACAAGCGAAGAAAATTACTTTGAGGGCTAAAATGATATATACAGGTAAAAAAGAGACATATAAGGACTTCAATGATCTCTACAGCTAAAGAAGACACCTGTGAATATAGGAATGTTAAAACCATAAGTATGACAGACTACCGAGATTTGAAAAGGCTTTGACATTTAATGATTATAATTCTATTTACAACTAGGGTGCAACTGTGTGCAGACAGTGTGGCGTGTTAATCCACTGCATTTTAGCAGCAGATTGCCTGATGCTTTGCAATATGTTGCTCCTGCCACTCAGTGACCTGTCACACCTCTGTGCACTGTGTGTTATTGTTGCTGAGGGACTCTGTTTCTGGTTAATGGATAACTCCAACCTGATCTTATGCCAGGAGACTAGTCCAACTAAGGAAAACAGGAAGAGGGAAGACTGCTACAGCTAAACAATTGCATAAGAGACTCTTCCAGCATGTGTATAAAGCATGGATCCATAAATTGCTATATAACCCCCATTCTAGTCAGGATCATATATGAACACGCCATTCGTGTTTGCAAACGTTGTTAATGACGGAAAAATTACTTGTGATCAGGTTACCAGAACTATAAATTCAGTGCTATAAATACAGACACATTTGCACCATTTTAAAGGGACACTTAGGCACCCTAAACACTTCACCTCACTGAAGTGGTTATGGTGCCCGAGGGTTCTTGCAGCTCCTTTGCTTCAGTCCTGGAAGATCAGCAACACTGCAACCTTATAAATAAAATGTAATTATTTAAAATGTTGTTAGTGTTCCTTTAAACCATTTTCACACACAGCCCACCCTGCTGTAGGTATTTCTAAGGCAAGACATCACACCCCACTTTAGCCATACTAACTAACACCAGAAATGCGCAGATGTAATGGGCGGAGAGCGGTTAGCTGACACTCCCAGCCAATCACTACCACGTATCTCTGTTCAGGCTAAAGCAAGGGAGGAATGCTTAGTGACCCTTCTTCATTGTCAAAAAGTTCATAAATAATTTAACAATTAACTGTGAGCCACTGCCAGAGGACTTTAGTCACCATAACTACTTAAATAACTACTTAAAAGATGAGGTGGTAATGGTGTCTAGAGTGTCCCCTTAAGAATGTCTCTTTCTCAGATTACTAAAATCGACATATTGTGCTTCACTAATCCCAAGAGTGATCAGTTCAGCTTGCAAACAGTGGAATGAAGAATGACCTAGTCCCGTACTAAAATGGGCCCCGATTTAATATTGTTAGGTAAGCTTTTTAAATGATTTAATATTATGAAAATATTTTTTATATATATGATATATTTTTTAATATTGTAATATTTTGAAACAAAAAAAAAAGACTCCATCATTTTATGTCTGTCCAAAATTATTAAATCAAGGCCATAATTTTCGCTATATAATTCAATTGAACTCTGAGTAATTTTATTACATCTGTCTGAGAAGGAAGTAGATAAGTTTTTATGTTTACACTCATCACGGAAAACCAGTATTTGCAAAGTTGTCTCAGTTTACAATCTAGGGGTGTGAGAAATGGACATTTTTTCAACACAATTTTTCCACTACATTTTGCAAATTCTGTTTTGTAACATATGGTAAATTTAGCAAAAATGAAAAAGGACATACATTGGCAATTCTGTTTTCCATACATAATTCTACAGTTTAGCGAATAAGCCCCTATGTTTTAAAAGCAAAGTCTTCCTGTATATGCATCAATTATAAAAAATGCTGTGAGCTTTTATAAATGGATTGATTCTATTATCAATCTATAAATGGGTTTTCCTCTATGGATTAAAACAATACTGCCACACTGCCACTTGAATGTTCTTTGGATTTTTGCCATGATGTTAGCTGACAGATCTGCTCACAAGTATCAAAGGGGAATGAGATGCAGTGTTAATTTGGACGACTAACTATTTTAGTCAAATATTAGTTGACTAAAATTTTAGATTTAGTAAACTAAAACAATTCAGATGACTAAAATACGACTAAAACTAAAATGGCTTTTTAGTCAAAAGACTATGACTAAAACTAAATTAAAATTTGCCGCCAAAATTAACACTGCACAGAGGGGCTGTCTAAGGGGCAAAAAGAGACAGACCAGGGCTTGGGAGAGAGACACCTAGAAGGGCTGAAAGGACAGAAAGACACACAGGGGGATAGGGAATGGGCAAAAGTGACAAATAGAGGCTTTAACTAAACCAATTTTAGTCGTGTTGACTAAACTCTGCTGGAGATTTATTCAACTAAAACAATACAGTTGACTAAAATACGACTAAAACTAAAATGGCCTTTTATTTAAAAGACAATGAATAAAACCAAATTGAAATTTGCCGCCAAAATTAACAATGTTGGGAATTGCCAGGATGTGGCACAAATAAGGTGACTGAGTCGCTTCTATTCGCCATGTCTTTACAAAAAATAAACACATTTATAAGACAAATTGGTCCATATTTAGTCTTGTGATTTGTTTGGAATTGCAATAAAATAATCTGGGATTTTCATGAAGATTCTACCTTTAAAAACTGAGAAGTGATAACAGCACCTTCAGATTTTAGCTTTATCACATGTGCCCAAAATAAAACAAAATACCAACATTTTTAAAAATCTTTCTGTGGCTGTCCAATCACAGACTTCGTAATGCAGCTCGATGAGAAGTAATTGCCATTCAGGCGCTCTAGGTAATTGCCTTAAAGGACCACTATAGGCACCCAGACCACTTCAGCTTAATGAAGTGGTCTGGGTGCCAGGTCCAGCTAGGATTAACCATTTCTTCTATAAACATAGCAGTTTCAGAGAAACTGCTATGTTTATAAATGGGTTAATCCAGCCTCTAGTGGCGGTCTCATTGATTTTCACAGTGAGAAGACGCCAGCGTCGATAGGAAAGCATTGAGAATGTTTTCCTATGGACTGGCTGAATGCGCGCGCGGCTCCTGCGCTATGGAGGAGGAGAGGAGGAGGAGAGTTCCCCACCCGGCGCTGGAGAAAGAGGTAAGTTTAACCCCTTCCTCCCCCTAGAGCCCAGCGGGAGGAGGACCCTGAGGGTGGAGGCACCCTCAGGGCACTATAGTGCCAGGAAAACGAGTATGTTTTCCTGGCATTATAGTGGTCCTTTAAGTTTGGTTCAACTGAGGTAAACAACCAGGAAGTAACAGGATCGGTTGTCTAATTGACAGCCAGGAGGGAGTAACTAGGTTCACATCTAAAAGTGCCGGATTCTTTTGAAATCTGGATTTTCTGTAAAATGAACAGACACACTCTTCGAAGTTAAAGCACTTTAGGTATCTAGAATGTCCCTTCAACCAATACCTGTGTTGGCATTCTGGGAAACAATTTTTATGTATTATTTATTACTGGTATTTATAAAGTGCCAAACATATTCTGCAGCGCTGTACAATTGGGAAAAAGACAATACAAGAAGAACAGACCGATACAACAGGTAGAGGGCCCTGCCCGTGAGCTTACAATGAAAATATGCGCAGCATTGTGGGAAAGTTGAAGATTATATTGTCATAAGCTCCTTTTGCATTGATGAATTTAACACACTTGGGACAGGAAGCAAATCCCTACATGGCAGCCATGACAATTCCTTTAATTTTCTTTTTTTTGTGTGTCGCGGTAACACAGTCATTTTAAAGGGGACCTGTGACTACCGAGGATTTTTAGCATTGTGTTCACTTATCCTCACATTAAACAGTTGCTTTATTTGAGGAATGAAAACCAAAACTAAATGTACAAATTTACTCCTCCGTTTGCCTCATCTAAAAAGGATTATGATGTATTTTGCTAAACCTTTACTATCAATTTAAAATAAAAATAGAGCTTTTAATGAAAACAAAAAAAGGTTAACACAAGTTATAGGTGATTTCAATGTCTTACTCAATGATGTCAAATCCAAAGAAGGGATAGTTCCTCTTTAAAGGAATCCTATAGTGCCAGGAATACAAACCTGTTTTCCTGGCACTATAGGCTCTTGGAGTGCCCTCCTCCCTCAGCGCTGAAGGGGTTAAAACTCCTTCAGCCACTTACCTTAATCCAGCGCCGGGCTCCCTCAGCGCTGGTGACCTCTCCTCCCCCGTCGACGTCAGCTCCCGAGTGGAGCCGAATACACATGCTCGGCCAGAGAAGCGTGCGCATTCAAACCTGCCTATAGGAAAGCACTACTCAATGCTTTCCTGTGGGGATCTTTTTTGGGGGATCTTTCCAGCGTCAAATAAGTGTGATTTACTCAGTGTAAATCGTGGAAGCGGCGTCTAGTGGCTGTCAGGGAGAGTGGTAACAGAGAGTCCGACTCTGTGACTGTCCTATCTTTGTGAGTCTTAGAAATAAGTCTCACTATTTCATGCTGTAAGACAGGGGTGCCCAAAAGGTAGATCCCCAGATGTTGTGGAACTACAACTCCCATGATGCTTTGCATGCTTTTAGAATGTTTCTAGAATGACAAAGCATCAAGTTGCAGTTTTAAAACATATGGGGATCTACCTTTGGGGCTCCGCTGCTGTAAGGGTTTTAATTGCACCTTATTCTCAAACAAATCATCAGTTTCACACTATGCACCTCTGAATATATTTGTTTTAGTTATTTGGCATTTTGGTGCATTGTGGTTATCCGATAGGACCTTTCGAGGAGTCACATTGTTGTATTATTAAGAGTTAAACTTTATACTTATTCTCAGATGAACTACATATTTAGAACTTGTCTATGTATCTATAGTTATGTTTTATTTGGATGTTTTAGTGGAGATTTTATTTATACGGGGGAATAATAATTACTATGCTTTTTACGATGGTTTCCTTTAAGACACTGTTTACCTCTTTTTAGTGCTGCCAGTTTGTGTGTTTTATTTTATGCAGTACAGTTAATGAATGGTTTTGCTGGTTTAGCAGCTTTGTTCTTAATTCTTTGATTCATATTTGGGTTTTGGTTTATCTATTTATTTGATGATATTTTGTTGATATTTTATAGTGCCCTCCTTGATTTTGATGTTAATGTTAATTTTGTGCATATTGGGCATCTGTTGTCAGCACGCATTGCATGACAAACAACCAATAACAGCACAGACTTCCCCTCTGTACCGTCCCAAGTTATCCTGTCTCCCTGGACTTGCCTCTACCTGCAGTAAGGGTGATGTCATAAAAAAATTAGGCTGCAGGGAGAACTTGGCCATGGCATCATTGGATTGCAGATACGTTTTTCCTTTGTTTCTTCATTAAAAAAAATAATATATATATATCTGGAGTCATTGTAACCGCTAAATTGTTGATATCGGTCCTTCATTTGCTGAACAGAAAATGCCATAAGTATTGTTGAAAGACATTGGAAACGTGTAATTTTCTGATCTCTGCAGGTCAATTACTACATAAATAATTATCATGACAGATTGTGATCAAGTCCTTTACAAGGCTAAAATCACAAATGACCCCTTAATCAGATAAGCTAATGTTTCTCCAGCTTGTTCAGAGTACCTTAATTAGCAGCTTTTCCAACAAAATACTAGATTATCAATTATTTAACAAGTACCCTTAGTACTAATACTTGGTATCAATCACCACAAAATATGTGACATTAAAGGGACACTCCAGGCACCAAAACATCTTATCTAAATGAAGTTGTACTGGTGCCCAGAGGCCTCTGGAGGCACTTTTATCTAAAGGGGACAACGGTTTAACCCCAAAGTTGCCTCCAGCGGTGATGTCCACTCCCCCCCGGCTTCTGAATGTTAAGATTCAGGAAGCGTTGCGTGCCACCAATCAGTTGACGCTCTCAGCCAGTGACTCCCCATCCACTAAACTGGCTTGGAAAAAGTGTTGAAGTGCATATTAGCCATTTTATAAGTACCCAATGGGGTACACACTGCAGGTTGAATATATTGGGTATATGATAGGGATCTATGGAGTCTAATCATTAAGAGCACATTCTATACAGTGGAGAATTGAGAACATGCTGATAAAATATAATCTATTCCCCAGCTGCTATCCACTAAGACAACCACACACCATGCAGTCAGGACACACTCCGCAGCTGAGATTGTATGTGGTTTGTACTATATATGAGACACGTTCTATTCTTCAAAATATGGCACCATGCCATGATATGTCCTCGAGTCTGCCTCTACCTCACCTTATCATCACATAGCGCTCAAAGTTTAACACACTAATCAATGGCTCAATGTCTGTTCCGCAGAATTGTAAGCTGGGTACAAATTCCATCCAGCCAGTTTCTATATGGCTAGCATGCTGTAATGCTTAGCACTGATTTATAATGCAGTCCTGCTATGCTGTTTTTATCAAGGCATCCTCATGGTAAGTGTGGTGTCTCATGGATGCAATTTATGAATTGCAGCCCTGCAGGATGTAAATTTTATAAGCATCCCTAAAAAATCATCACAATTGCTGCTGTTGACCCGTAGTCCTTTCAATTCATGCAATTTTGCATTCTGTGACTGGAAAAAAAGAACTCTGAATTTGCAGATAACTGGTGTCTCTTTAATGTCTCTCTCTTTATTCAGGTTTGATACAATTCTCTATAGTTTAAAAAGTTAGGATTTTAAGTATAGCAGTCAGGTAAAATGCTGATGTTTTCCATACTAGGGGTGTTCATATCTGTCACTCAAATAGTCAATAATTGACAGACACACTTTTAGGCATGCTTTCAAAAATACAATAAACTCCATCTCAATGTCACACAACTAGCCAACTCATTTCTCTTTTGCCACTGTACCCCAACAACGGATTCCTAACTATCAACTCAAAACCAAGGAGATATTTTGAAAATGTACTTTATTAACACAGCATGGCTGTAATATGAGACTGAGTCTAGAGATTGAGAGAAAGCATGGAGTGGCACCCTGTGAATATATATATATATATATATATATATATATATATATATTATTATCGTCACTTATATAGTGTCAACAGATTCCGTAGTGCTTGTGCTTATGTTGTGATGCTAAAAGGGTTATTCACTAAAGTGAAAATGAGAAGTATAGGGTCAGGAAAACAAACATGTATAGTGTTAAAACCACCATCTATAGAATCAATGCATCTCTATGAGGAAAGTTCGTTGTCTCTACGCAGAGGGTGGAGACACTGAATGTCAGTCACACTGTGCAGCACTGTCCCAGGAAGCACCTCTAACAGCCGTCTGAGGAGTGGCCACTGGAGGTATCCCTAGGGTGTAATGTAAACACTGCATTTTCTCTGAAAAGACCGTGTTTACTGTAAAAAGGTTGAAGAGACTGTTATACTCACCAAAACAAATACAACAAGCTGTAGTTGTTCTGGTGACCATTTAAGTTCACAATGGCCGAACCAGAAATTTTAACAGTCAGCAATGGTTTCCCTTTTAGCTGCTCTGATGATAATTTTGAAATCCACTTTGAAATCTCACTTTAGTAAATAGCCTGCAAGTTTTATAAGTACATTTCTGGCTTCCCAATTGAATTATTTAAACCCTGCATTCTTTGTGCCTAGTTTTAGGTGTGTGTGATCCCAGGATAGCAAAGTGATTAATAATTAATCCCAGCATGGACTGATAAGACATTATTGTGTTGACAGACGAAAGCGTCTCATTTTTCGGTTATTTAGGGTGAACAGATTTTCCCTTTAATTGGATCCACATAAACAACAAATGCATCATGCAGCATAGCATTACAATTACAATATCTGCTCTCCATTGTCCTGCTGGTTACAGGGGACCTGTGATCACCCTGTTTCAGAAAACAGAACCATTGGTTTTCTCAGACATATGATTACTAACAAACCACACACTTTCTGCCTGCTAAACAGTGGAGGGAAACCCATTGTGCCTACAGGAAATAGCCTGTACGATGATAAATTAATCCTTTAATGTGAATTATTAGGAAATTCAAAAACACTTTTCAAATTCTCAGTCAAAATAACCGAGCAATGTTGGTTTTTCTGATTCGACTACTTTGGGCCTAAGATGTGAAATTTACTTTGGCTTGTTGACTAATCACTCTATAGGCAATACCCTGTAACTCCGATTGATTGTTACAGAATCCCATGTCCGTATCAGTAACACCTTTACAGAGAAAACAGCAGGTGGATCATTGGAAGACCCCAACACTCACACTTAGTAAAGTAGCCGGTATAGTCGAAAATCAATATTGCTGCAAAATGATCATAGATCAGAATATATACATTCGCAAACAGTTGCTTGTTCCACACATGTATCAAAAATATATATTCGGTTATATTTGCAGGAGAAAAGAATTTTCATGACATAGATAGACTGTTAAAGACTGTCATTCCAGCAAGGAGTCTGTGAATTCTGGATAAAAATTGGCCATGAGTTATGATGTCATTATATTATGCTATTATTGCACGCTTTCACGTAATCATGGGTTATTTAATCTCCTTCAATGTGTGTGTGTACCACGGGGACGTACATAGATATTAAACAACTATACAGAGTTCAAATCACAAAGATGGCATGAGAACATCGCCCTACTGCTATGCCCTCTCCCGTTGGCATATCTCACAATGTTGGGAGGTATCATGAGCCTTAACATGCTGTCAGTATACACTGTTCTGTGCTTTTTGCTCAATCTATAATACATGAGGAGGAAAGGAGTAAGGCGCAAGATGTTTTAGATTAATAGGATATTGATCGATATAGTTTACAATCTAATGCTATGCTGGTTGTGAAGGTAAATACGATCGTGAGCTAAACCACAGTTCCTTTTTAGTTCTCATTTTAACAGCTTATTTTCCCCACTCCGGATCTCTTCTTCCCGTCTCTCAGTATTATCACATCTTCCAGTATCACAATTCAAATACTCCTAAAAGTTCTCCTCCGCAAAATCCTGTCCTTACAAATGTGGCGCAATGCCCATTACCACCCGCGCATACTCTGACCTTAGCTGGACCATTTGCACGGGCTTATATTCTGTGCCAAGCAACAATATGCTACACACTTTACAACAACATGCATGTGCATGTACAGCAGGGGTTTAATAAAGTGGAAATGTAATTGTACAATGCAGGATCATTTAAACTGACAGTGTCACAGCAATGTTCTATAACAACATTTTTAAGTTTGATTACGTCTGATCCATTTTAGCATCTGTTTTTAAAAGGACTCCTTAATCCCCTGAAACACTTTAGCTTACTGAACTACATTAAAGGGTAACTACATGTCCTTTCTGGCTTATTTCTAAAGAAATAGAAACTTTTAGAAATCTCCTTAGTAACACCTCCCGCTGTCGAGAAGACAAGAAGACGGCAGGGAGAGTTTCCTTCCTCACTTGCTTTAAACTGTAGCTCATTGAGAAGCATTGGTTTCAATTCAATTGTTGGTGGCCGGAAGCGAATGTTGCGCATGCACCACGTCTCCTAATACTTTTCTATGAGAAGCATCTGATCGAATGCATCATCGGTAAAACTGATTTCACAAGAGATGGATTAGAGCTGCAATGAGTAGGCTTTCACAGCCATGCAAAAAAAAGGTGAGCTTAATGGATTCTTAACCCTTTAAGTGCCAAAATGGGCAGTGCTCTAAACAGTTTAAGAAACACTCCTATTAAAAAAATATATATATATATTATTTTAAAAATATATCGTATAAAATATATATATATATATATATATATATACACACATTTATTATTTTTAAATTGAAGTGTTCCTTTAAAAGAGTTACAAACAGTTCATTCTAAAAAAAAATTCTTACCCATAACGTGAAGTCAAACGATACTCTATTCTGAATGTGTGCCTCTCACATCCTAGAATGAGACAGCCCTGTACAACTATACATTTAGTGCTAGGTGTCTCAGTGCGTCCTTTTGGACGAGATACAAGAGGTGGAGCTATGACGCTATATTAGTTTTTTGCATTTTATGCAAATAACATCTGCTTGACAGTGTACCAAATAAAACCGATGCATTCTTGCGTTTTTGGTACCCAAAGTGGTTTTCATTTGAAGGCATGAGGTTGCCAGTGACAAGTAACTTGTTTAAAAGCTTACAATTTCAGGAATCCATGACTAATTGTTCACATTTCTCTGTTGTAACAATTTTTCTGACAAACATAAAAAATGCAATTTTGCCACTCGAGAATTACAAATGGATACAATTTGCCTTTGCAAAGTAAAACAGAACATTTTCAGTAATTTTCTATCCAGCAAAACAAAGAATCTTTCTTTTTACATAAAAATATAGACACCAAACCATAGTGCAGCTTATTCAATGAGGTTTGAATTGGAAAGAATTGGAAATAGAATTGCAAAATGTGCGCAAAACCATCTACCATGCTATAGTCTCAGCTAGCCAACATTTTGCCATATTTTCACATTTAAACATGTAGATACATAAAATCGGAGTTAAAAAACTTGAAGAGTTAAAAGAACTCTCCGAGCACCATCACCACTACAGCACAATGTAGTATTTATGGTACAAGTAAAGTCCTAGTGGCCTCCCAATATAAGTAGTCAACCATTTGCTAATAGTTTGACTACTTACCTAGAGTTCGCTGGGCGCAGCTTCTTGCCCCTTTCTTTTCGGTCCTTAGACCTGTAATCTCCTGCTCTGAGCTTTCGTTAGCTCTCCTGAGCTAAGCTCTGAATTAAACTCTAAGAACCAAATTAACAACATCTCAACAAATAATAATGAATTTTACTATTAAAGTTTTCCTTTAAGACAAATATGGATACATACCCCATGCATTCTACTAATTCACAGACATAAAATATCTACATTGCCACAAAAATGTATTTTCGTTTTGTTACGTATTGTTGGCATTGAATGGTATTAAATCAAACCAAACAAAACAGTATGTTTTGCCATTTTCCTGCAGAATGATCTAATACTAAATTGAACATATAGTGCATTAAAAGATGGCAAATTGTCCATTTCAAAGTGTTTTCAAACTTAAGGGCAAAATAGCTGAAATTAAATTATAAATATACATTTCTAGTTTGATTAGTTCAGGCTTTAGTAATAAATAAACTTGCCTCTCCCTTTTTACTAAAACCAATAAAACGATTACAAATTCATTGTGAAAAGAATGTGACAGACAAAATTATAATTATTGACAGTAGTACCTATCGCCTGCTTATACATGGGTATCAGAGCACATACCTCTTACCTCCTAACACAGGGCTTGACAAATTTGTTTGGAATCTAGCAGCCAGCTAAAAAAGTTTTTTTAAGGTACACTATAGTCACCAGAACCACTACAGATTAATGTAGTTGTTCTGGTTCCTATAGCCTGTCTCTGTAGCCTTTTCAATGTAAACGCTGCCTTTTCAGAGAAAACGCAGTGCTTACATTGCTGCCTACTAAGACCTCTAATGACAGTCACTCAGACGGCCACTAGAGTCCTGTGTCAGTGCTCTACATGGAGGCGCTGATTGTTACCCATAGAGAACAAGCGTAATATCCTCCCAATGCTTTCCTATGGGAAAGTATTGGCTTAGCTGAGATCATTAAGATCTGAGCTATGGAGGCGGGACAAGCAACAGCGAAACCAGCACGGCGTGGGGGAAAAAGGTAAGTAAAAACACCAATCATGTGATCGGAGGGGGGCAGGTACCTAAACAGACACACTCTCTGACAGACATACACACGCACACTGACTGATAGACATACACACACACTGACAGACATACAGACTTACACATACTCATTGACAGACACACACACACTCATTGACAGACACACACAGACATATACACACACAGACACACACTTTCTCTAACACTCACACATTTATATTTTAATTCTAATCCATCCAACCTCCCTACCTTTGGAAGAGCTGAGTGGACTTTCCATGGGGTCCAGTGGGGCTGATATTCCTGTGCGCAAGGGAGCAGTCTTCCTGCAGCTCTTCTCTGCTGCCTCGCACTGACTGCAGTGATGCCGGGGCCGGAATGACATCATATTCCGTCTCCCGGCGTCATTACACAGCGTGAGGGAGCAGAGGGGAGCTGGACGAAGATGGCTCCCTCGCGCGCTGCCTCAGCCTGCCGCCTCCATACCTTCTGCGGGCGGCCGGCCCGCTACAAAGCTCCCTGCGCTGGCCGCCACCATGATCCCGGGGACGTCCGGCTACACAGCTTCCTGAGCCGGCCGCCTCCATACCTCCCAGGGCGGCCGGCTACAACACTCCCTGAGCGACCGGGCAGCTGGCCGGCTCCATTGTTTGCCCAGCTGGCCACTTTAGGTAAAAGGCTGACAAATCCCAGATTTGTTGAGCCCTGTCCTAACACAAAAGTATCAGGCACATACCATTCACATCCTAATACACAGACAGGACATATCTTTCACATCAGTCCAATATACATAACAGACCACTTATCGTCCATCTACGTCTAATACACGTGTATCAGGGTAAATATGACTCTCGCCTCTTCCTATAACACAGGTGCCATTGAAACATACGTAGAATTTAAAATTGAAGGTCAAAATAGAAAAAATAATATATGCTTTCGTTTGGCTACTCTACCCTTTTAAATTAATTCTGAATTTTCACTCTGGTAAATAACCAGGACACAAGTATTGCACCTACTGTAGGCAAGATAAGTGACCTCGATTTAACCTGCAATACCAGTATTTACACCGTATCCCTAGGGCTCTGATCTTACTACCTTACTGTTTCTCAGAGTGCCTTTCAAACTATTTTCCACGTTAATGTTATTTGATGCTGTGTTTCGCACACAGATAATACCTTTCTGCAATGCTTGTGGCACTGCTCATAATATAGGACTATAGGGCACTTATCTCACCTTGTAGGTCAGAGGTCATAGCATGGTGATATTGGGAGGTCACATCCACACGGACAATAATATTTGCAGGACAAAGAGACCTCTGTCCACCTGTACATTGTACGACATACCACCAATTTGACATCAGCATCCTGGTTAACCTAGAAATATCTTGGGGACATATCTTGATCTATGCACTTTAATAGCTGCCAAGTGCCCCGCATTTTGTAAATCAGTCCCTAGTTTTGATTCTAGTATTCATCACCATTATATATATATATATAAAAATGCATCTCTCCGCTAAGGACCTAAAATTTTATTTCACTTTGAATTCCCAGCAATTCCCACCATAGTGAATAAAAGTTTGTGAGTGAATATGTTTAGAGGCTGTGCAAATTTTTTCTGTGCTATTCATGTTTATGACGATGATGGATGATGCTCTGTATGGAAATAATTTATACAATGTGTCTATACATTAAAAATAATGATGCTCAATTTTTAAAGTTGTCTATACACTGATACAAAATGATACATGTTGCTCTTTATTATGTTGCTGGCTGTCTGCACTGGCAATAATGATGCATGCTGTTCTATACACATAATGATGTATGCTGCACTATATTGTGCTACAGGAAATTATAAACTAATAATAACGCATGTTGCTCTCTATATAGATACTGGGGTCTATACAGTCATAATAATGCACGCTGCTATATATTGATGTTCGGGGTCTTTACACTGATAAAAATGCATGCTGCTCTGCATTGTGATACTGATACCATTCATAATGATGTGTGCAGCTTCGTACTGTGTCTCTGGTGCGTATGGACAGGTCATATGTTTTGTACTTTTTGAAGTTGTGGTCACTTGAGAACACAATTCAAAAACATAATCCAAAAAAAAGTTGGTGGGATAAGATCTAAAATTTATCACAGTTGGAGATTTTTTCCATATCGGCTACTTTGGCCTAAGTTTTGCAAAATTCTCAAATCAATAATGCAGACAGCCCTTTGATGTTCTTCACAATAAGGATAACGTGGGGCCTACACTGACAGTAAAGGAACACTAAAGGCACCCAGACCACTTCATCTCAATAAAGAGGTCTGGGTGCAGTGGGCCTTTAGTTTTAACCATGCAATGTAAACCATTGCCATTTAGTAGATTCCGCAATGCTTACATAGCAAGGCTGAAAACACCTATAGTGGTTGTCTTCCTGAGAGCCATTAGAGGTGGATCAACTGTGAGAATGGAGTCAAACTCTGTTTTCACAGTTAACCTCCATTTCATTGGAGGAGTTCAGTAGTGGCCGCACATGCGCTTTTAGTCCCCCGATGCTTCTCTATGAAAAGTATTGGATTGGACAAGAGAGAAAAATCAATGTGACGTTGTGGGAGACAGATCAAGTGGCTACAGCGACTGGATCTCGGCCCTTTTATTTAGATTTGGTGGGACATTAAACTAAATGCAAACACTATAGCATTAAGAATACAGGGTTTTCTTCCGAACATGGTCTGCAATACTCTGTTCCCTGGTGTAAAGGTAAACAGATATTAACAGTTTCATTTTGTATCAGGATGTTGAGTCTGACATAATGAACTCTTCCATTTTTACCACTATTAATATTATTGCTACATAGGGCACCAACCTATTTTGTAGCGCTGTACAGTGACAAAAAAAAGATGACAGGCAAATGAAGGACCATAAGTATAAACGGTGACAAGGGTGTTGACCCACAGATTTTTAGTATGACAGCATACATCAATACAATGATGGATCTACTCACAAATTCACTGGGGATTGTAGAGAATTAACAAGACAATTGCAAATTTTAGGATTCAAAAAAAATTCTCCAATTTAACTAATTTTGCCGCAAATAAATATAGACGTAATAATAATAATAAAAGTATAGTAGTAAAACTTTGTGACTATGTTGTGCATACACAGATAATACAATCAAAGATGATATATATATATATATATCCACACATATAAGCAGACATGCACTTGTAATGCTGTTGTGTACATTTTTAATAAATCCTAAGGTATGCGCCTGCGAGATTAACCCATTTAGACACTATTTGCAGATAAGGAGCTGTGGGAGCTAGTCTTCCTTGAACTGCTTGTTCAAACTTTTATCCTTACACCTAGCATTGCCACTAAACCTGTATGCTGAGATTTACTCCCAACACTTACCTATCACTTACATTCTAAACAGGGTCATTATTTTACACTTCTACTGTTTGCATGTTGTGCCTTTTTGAATTGGCTGTAGACAAAAACATTATGTATTGTGTTTTCACCCTTTTGATGTTGGTAAGATTTTCCAGATTTCATTTTTATGTTTACCATCTCTGTTAAATGTAAGTGTTCGCAGGTAAACCAAAAGACATACCTCCCCCTAATAAACAGGCATCATACCTTTCACCTCCTCCTAATACACAGATAGCAGGACACATACCTCTCATCTTCTTCTAATACAGAGACATCAGGACACACACCTCTCACCTCCTCATAATACACAGATAGCAGGACACATACCTCTCACCTCCTCCTAATGCACAGATAGCAGGACACATACCTCTCATCTCCTAATACACAGATAGCAGGGCACATACCTCTCAACTTCTGCTAATACACAGATAGCAGGACACATGCCTCTCATCTTCTAATACACAGATAGCAGGACACATACCGCTCACCATCTCCTAATACACAGACATCAGGGCCCATACCTCTCAATTTCTGATAAAACACAGATAGCAGGACACATACCTCTCAACTTCTGCTAATACACAGATAGCAGGACACAAACCTCTCATCTTGTAATATACAGATAGCAGGGCACTTACCTCTCACCATCTCCTTATACACAGACATCAGGGCCCATACCTCTCATCTTCTAATATACAGATAGTAGGACACATACCTCTCAACTTCTGCTAATACATATGCATTAGAAAACCTCCTAATATACAGTCAGAATACACACCTATCACCTACTTATACAAAGACATTATAACACATATATATCACCTCCTCCTATTATAAAACATAAGAACATACAACTCTAACCTCCTCATAATACACAAACAGACCACAAACTTCTAACCTCATGCTTGTTCACAGGCTATCTTATCCCGGGTATAAATAAACACATTCTATTGCTATATTGTCCACACTGTCAGGTTAATGTTTTGACATGAGGGAGGGCAAACCTTAATCCTCTCAATTTTCTAATGTCTGTGCATGCTCTTTCATTATGAAAACAGTGCACTCCCCCCCCGCAAAAAAAAAAAACCCAACAACTCCGGTGTTTACTGTCACAAACCCAAAAATAAAGTCTGCATAAGCCATGCATTTAGTAGCACCCCTCAGTGATCTGATCCACAACTTAGCCAGTGTGCGTCAATTACGCAATGAATTCTATAACCTTCAACAAGACACATTGTATCTTCCTATAGCACACCCACCTACCTTCTGTGCAGAGAGCCCCCTGAATAAACAGGGCACAAAGACCCCAGATCCATGGCTGTAGACCCATCCTGTCAGTGCACCCTGAGTGCCATGTTTGCCAGCCTTCTCTCTGCCAGAATTAAATCACTTTTTTTCTTTTCTTCTTGTAGGCTGATTCTCTCTCCCTAGAAAGTTTTTTTCAAGTCACTCCTAAGCTGTCCTGCTTCATTCCTACACAACACTTCCTGCAGGGAGGGGAGAGTGAGGGAGGGAGAGGCGGGGGCCAGCTGAGAGTTACAAATGCCCCACATAGGAGTGGCACTCACTTGCTTTGCAAGCAAGCTGTGTGTGTGTCTCTCTGCTCTGCCTTTACTGACCTGAAAGGTTACTCTGTGTACCCTAAATTCCTCTGGGTCACTAGATATTCGTTTTTCTAAGCAGTGAGATAGTGCTGTTTTATATTGTTGTGTTCTATAGAATGCTGCTTTACTGTAGATTGTAAACTCCTTCTAGAAAAAAAAGCCTTTTGTTTATGTTTCTTTTCAATTTCTTTTTAAAATTTAGTTTGCAGTTCTTTGAATATGTATTCACTCAAGGATTTTTTCCACACTTTTAAAGGGTTACACCGAATACCATAACCACTTCAGGGATTTGAAGTGGTCATGGAGGTCTTATTGAAACGCTGCACAAGCAAAGATATTTGCACTTGTGTGCCGGGGAATAGTTACACCCCCTGTACAAGTGACTTTGGCAGCCTGGGACTCTGCTCCAGTCTGCCAATAGTCAATTCTGTGCAAAATTTACAGCTGTCGTCAGTACACACTTAACGCTGGTAGCAGACGTAACAATCTTCTACCTTGTAGCATCACACCTGCAAGGTGAAGTTTACTCTCCCCTCTCTCTGTGTGGTACAGGGGTATGCTACCTTCGGCACTCCAGATGTTTTGGACTACATCTCCTATAATGCTCTTACAGCCATAATGCTGGCAAAGCATCAAGGGAGTTGTAGTCCACAACATCTGGGGTGCCAAAGGTTGCCAACCCTGGTGTGGTACCTCCCACCTCCTGGCACTATTTGTAGCACTTTTTTTTTTTTTAAATGATAATCTTTCCCAGCCTCTCCCCCACTACTTTCCTTCGCCAGCTCAGTGCCCGCACCTGCGCTCTGAGTTGGCGCAATATTCCAATCACTGGCTTCTCAATGAGGGGACTGTGACGGGACTGAGCGAAACCCTTGCTGATGTCAGAGGAGGGAGTCAGCGCCAGGAGCTGCGCCCATCTGTGGATTACCGGAAAGTATTAAGACTTTTTTTTTACATTTTAAGGGGACGGGAACCTTTATTAGCAATGCCCACTAGAACATTGTAAGATCAAAAAAGCAAACTGGCAAAAAGGGTTGGAATAACCCATTAATGATGTTAAAACCTGGAATTTAAATGGGTTTTATCATTTCATTTTACGAAACATACCAAAAAAGCTAATCATTTATTTTTCTTTAATGTCACACTTGGTATAAGTATTATTAACTCTAATTACAGTTGTAAATGTTTCGGATAAGACACAAGCAGCTGTGCATATATTTAGATGATTACAGGAGCACTCCAAGCACCACAACCACTACAGCCTTTTACAGTGGTTATGGTGTCAGGAGGGGTCTGGCACCGCTCCACTGTAATTTGTGAGTTGTTGAATGGTTTGCCAACTTACCGGGGTACTGCCATGTGCCCGCTGCTGCATCCACTGCATTCGGATGTATCCTGCAGTAGAATGTCAACAGAGTGCTCTCAGCCAATGATCACGTTTCTACGTCAGATGCAGTATTAATTTTGTCGACGAACAATTTTAGTCGACTAACATTTTTGAGATTTAGTCGACTAAAACTAGACTAAAACTAAAACAATTCAGATGACTAAAATACGACTAAAACTAAAATGGCTTCTTAGTCAAATGATCATGACTAAAACTAAAATGAAACTTGCCGCGAAAATTAAGACTGCAGTAACTGCACAGAGTGGCTGTGGAAGGGGCAAAAGAGACAGGCCTGAGCTTGGGAGAGAGACATCTAGAGGGTCTGGGAGAACACAAAGAGACACAAAATTGCCGGGGAAGCAGCAAACGAGACTGATAGAGGCTTTAACTAAACCCATTAGACTTTAATCTCGTCAACTAAAACTAGACTAAAACTAAAACAATTCAGATGACTAAACTACGACTAAAACTAAATTGACATTTACTACAAAAAAGTAACACTGGTCGGCTGCAGAGAGATATCTGTCTTCTCCTGTGCATCGGGCTGTAGTAGTTATGGTGCATGTGAGTGTTTCTTAAAGACCCGCTAGGTCCCTAAGCAAATTACCCCCTTACAAAAAGGGATGGTGAATGGAAACAACTTCGACCAAGTAACTTCATGGTGCCTGTGTCCATGTCTCATCCCTGGGTTCTACGCAACTGCTTTATGTCACCATATAGTTCATCCTGCTGTGGATTTCGCAATATTTGACAATTCTGCTAAGTTGCTCAAACTCTGAAGCTAGGATGGAGACCAATGATGAATAGCAAAATTCAAGTATGTCCATAGTTTCTCAACTATATCAATAGGATTGTAGTTTGGACCATGTAAGAAATACATTTTCTTGGTTCCATTCCAGAGAGGCTTTGGCGGAGAGCTTAGGGTTATTAGCATGCTAGAAGCAGGACCTCCATCCTAGACTCTGGAGTCATGGAGCCTGGCATTTTTCCTCTAGTATTACATCTATTTGGATCAGTCAAGAATTTACATCTATTTGGATCAGTCCAGACTAGTTGCTCAGTTTCTGCCAATAAAAGGGATCCCGACAATAAGAAGCTACCAGAGCCTTGCTTCACCCATGAAGATGAGAGCTATTTAGGTTACAAGCCACGACACTCCCACACACAGCACACAAACCCTCCCCTCTGCCTGGGAGATAATTGTATCAGTAACTGTACTAATTTTAATCCAATTATCTCCAAGCACAGAAAAAACATTCTGTTTAAAAACACCCCAAAAGTACCCTAAAAATACATAAAACCCCACAAATGTTACCTGATAGCCCTGATCTGAGTGACCAACATATCCAACAATCACCCAGATCAGTTCAGGGGTTCATGAATTTTCTGAAAGTCATTTATTTGACCGACCGCAGGCATGGTCCCATAGCCAAAAATTGTTCCATAGAATTGCGGCTAAGTGCCACTGGAGGACCGACCAGGAACCGCAAAGCTTTCATGCCGAAAATAGTTCCAGGGCATTCGCGGCTATGTCCCCCTGAAGTCTATTCGCGGTTTTGGTCCATGCAAACAAGGTGGCTGCCACATTGTGGTCATCCGTAGAGATTGCGGCCACCCAGAGGAACACTTAGACCACTGCGGTGGAAATTGCAACAATGTGTCAATTAAGCTTAACCTCCAGGGTGGTCTCCGGTTCGTGCGGCTGTTTGGTAAACGAACCACATAATCCAATTTGCACGAACAGAGCCTGTTTAAAGTATATTAACCCACTCTATTGCATCGGCCATAGTCACAGGGTAGAAGGCTGGCAAACAGGCCCCTCCAAAAACCAGTGGCGAAGTTACTTTCGCCACAGTCGGTATTTATTGTGATCTCTAAAGGTAATTATTTGTACCAAAATATATAAAGATTCACAGCAAATTAAATTAATACATGTAAGTTGCTAATGCACATTTTATACGTCACAAAAAAAGTATAAATCATATGGTAAAAATTTTTAAATGAAATCCATTTTAATTCTGGGTTGTAACATTTCAAACCATGAAAATATATAAAGGGGATGAATACTAACTTAAGCTGGGTTCTGAATTTGTGTTATGTCCTCATTGTGAAATTGTAAAGAAATATGTTGGGGCTATGCCATAACTTACAACATTTAAAACGTAGGGACACTTAAATTTTAGGGGCAGGGCTGTTCTGAAAAATTTTAGGTGACTAAACAATAACAGTTGATGCAACTGAAATTTAATTTAGAACAACAACAACGTTTCTTATTTACACAGACTGATTTCTCAACATATTTATTGTAGTTTAAAGACGAATTACTGTGATTATTATTGCTGTGGAGCTTTGGTATAAATTAAGACACACCGAGAGCCCTAATTTCCCTCAAAAGAATGATATTAGGATAGAAAAGAGGGACAAAGATTTAGGGCCAAAATAGGGACTGTCCCTACTAATGAGGGACACTTGGGAGGTATGCTATTTAAATAATAAGAATAAAAGCTACTTTCCATTAGGGCCTAAAATTTTAAGTATTAAACTACTAGCCAGGATTTAATAGTTACCCGCCCCTACAAGCATTAAGAGTCCATGGCACACTTCCCAGAAGTGAATTTCTACATGCCACGGATGTATTTTCACTTGCCAATAGCTAATGAGGAGTGGAAATTTATGCTTGCCATCATAAAGTTTTTAAAATGAAGTGTGGAATTTTATAACCTATGAGAGTTACACAGTAATCTAGGTTGACAAAAAGACTCACGTCAGTTGAGTTCAGCCCTTCGAATTGTAATGAATTGAGATCTGAGGGTCAAAATTTAGGTTAAAATAGTCAGTCTGTGACTACAACTGAGTTGGAGAATTTTTCCACATCAGCTACTTTGGTCTTCGTTTTGGCATTCAGCTTTTAATTCATTATATATTGTAGCTGACTGAATAAGGGGAGATATAGTGTTCCAAATCTAGATTATATTAATGCAAGGATGGCATATCAAACAGCAAGGGTTGGCCTATGAAAATTAGAACACGCCAAATAGGTATGGTGCTGATGCACCCTTATGTTATGGGGGCACAGGGACACTTTGGGCTTGTATAATTTTTTACTGAAATTCCAGCATTTTTTTTTCAAATCTCTGAGGTTTGCAGCTATCTGCAATGAGCTTTGTCTCGACTAGAAAGTAGCTGATAGTTGTAAGCAGTGGGGTGCATACAGTATAGCAAGTGTGGCATGTGCCTTTGGCACTTGAAGGGGGCGCTACTGAGCAGTGACCGGGAAGACAGTTTGTTTTATTGTCTTAGCTCTGTTACTGGCAAGTGGCAGGGCTGCCTTGGTGAGGGTAATTAGAGCTGGCAGAATTCAGCTATGGATCACTGACTTCAGTTACGGCTCCCTTGCAGTCTGGCACTCTCTAGTGAGTCAAAGCATTCCTGGTTTGCCATACGATAGGCCCAGCAAATCAATCTGGCAAATTTTAATGTGTATAGACTAAAAAGTGGAAAACCCTATATTTGACCCTGTAATTTTCCAAAAGCTTATAAAATCTGTGCATGGGAGGTACTGTTGTACTCGTGAGGTATTGCTGAACACAAATATGTGTGTTTTATTGCAGAAAAAGCTAACAGTATTATGTCATTCACAATTAAAATACCATGTAGAACTTGGATTTTATTCATATTTAATTGTGTTCCACAGGGCTTGACAAATCTGCTTGGAATCTAGGATCCAGCTACAAAAGTTATGAGCCAGGTTCTTCAACATAAATTATTATTTATTTATTTTTTAAAGGGACACTCTAGTCACCTGAACCACTGCAGCATAATGTAGTTGTTTTGGTGTCTATAGTATGCCCCTGCAGGCTTTTCAATGTAAACACTGCTGTTTTAGAAAAGAAACAGTACATTTCTGCCTAGTAACACCTCTATTTACAGTCACTCAGATGGCCACTAGAGGTGCTTCATGGGTCACTGCTGCACAATATGCACATATGTTCATGCTCTGCATGGATGCGCTTAATGCTCCCCATAGGGATGTTGATTAGTGCAGCATGGCTTTTAGCCGTGCATGCGCAATAGTCTCCCAATGCTTACCTATAAGGAAAAAGCCATGGAAGTGTGGCCAGACCAGCACAGCGTGGGAAAAGGTGAGTAAAAAAAACAAAAACAAAACACATTTCCCATGTGATTTGAGGGATGCAGGTCACCTGCCACGCACACACTCACTCACTGACAGACACACTCACATTTTCACATACACTCTCAAATTATAATTTTTTTTTTCATTTTAATATTTCCACCCAGCCTCCCTACCTATGGGAAAGCTGGAGTGGATCAACTTTCTCTGGGGTCCATTGGGGCTGTTCTGATCTTCTCTCTGGTCTGCTCCATAGATCGCACTGTTTAGTGATGCGGTGGCCGAAGTGACGTCATAACCAGGCTCCAGGCATCAGTGCAGGGCGCACGAGGGAGCATAGCAGGGAGATTATCAGCTACCTCGCGCTTCAACACTCAGTCAGCAGCCCACCTGCCTGAATCTTCCTTGAGCCTGTCGCCCGCATTTCTGCCTCAGCCCTCTCTAAAATGCCCCCGATCTCAGGAAGCCACTTCGAGGGCTGAATGGGCTTACATATCCCAGATGCCAGGACACATTTTCTGGTCGCCATGACGACCTGGCTTCTGGGATTTGTTGAGCCCTGGATGAATTGAATGAATTCAAGCCTAATGAATTGAAAGCTAAATGCCAAAATGAAGGCCAAAGTAGCTAATGTGGAAAAATTCTCCAACTCAGTTGTAGTCACAGACTGACTTTAACCTAAATTTTGACCCTCTGATTCCAATTTATTCCTTATAGAAATATTTAATTGATTTGTAAAATGAAAGCCCTATTTCTCCTGAACAAAATGATTTATAATAAGTGTGGGTGCACTTAATATGGAAGAGGTAAATTATGGTAACAGACATTTTGCTCAAATTCCAGGTTTTGTTTTGGTTCAGTAAATAATTGCCTTCATCCTTAAAAGGAACACTATAGTCACCAGAACCACTATAGCTTAATGTAGTGGTTTTGGTGTCTATAGCCTGTCCCTGCAGGCTTTTCAATGTAAACACTGCCTTTTCAAAGAAAAGGCAGTGTTTACATTACTGACTAGTAACCTCTAGTGGCAGTCACTCAGGCAGCCACTAGAGGTGCTTCTTGGCACAGTGCTGCACAGTTCAACACTCTGCATAAAGGCGCTGAATGTTTCCCATAGCGATGCATTGATTCAATTCATCTCTATGAGGAGATGCTGATTGGTGCAGCATGGTGTTTTCCTCCGCATGGGTAGCCTCCCAATGCTTTCCCATGGGAAAGCATTGGATTGGCTGAGATCATCAAGATTGATGATCTCAGCCATGGTGCGGGACCAGGAAGGGCCAGCTGCAGCGAGACAAGAGCGGCGTGGGATAAAAGGTAAGTTTTAACCCTTTCATCTCCACGGAGAGAGGGGCCAGAACCTAAACATCGATTCTAAAACACAATAGTGTTCCTTTACTGGGTTATGGAAGTCAATTTGGGAAGTGCTATTTCAGTAGCTGGTGTGCGGTAAAATGTGGCAGGATCTATGAATGTCAGGGGAGTGTTTGAGAGCCTGCAAGTTCCACAGATAAGGAAGACACTGCTATTTATAACATCTGTTGAAGAGTTGTTACAGCAGCAAACTGCGGCACTTAGTCATAGCCACCTGCAACCTGTTCGGGAGGTTACTTTGAAAATACTTTAAAAAAAATTTAATTAAAATTAAGGATAAGGGGAAATTGTAAACACACATTTCCTAACAGACTAAGATTCAGTACTAAATTTGGGATCTCCTGCTGTAATGTTCCAAATTTGAGCTTTGGAATAAATATAAAAAATGCTCTCAAAAATCTCAGAGTAAATGTGTCTTTAAAGGGTTTCTTTAACCGTTTTTAGGGGGGAGACCTTTACTGTGTAAAATGCCCTAATGGACACTGTGGAGGAGGTCGCCCTCCCTTGAGTTGCAATAAAAGATGCAAAATAAAGCTCCCAGTGCTGATCGAAAAAAGAGTTCTGGGCTGCTAATCTCACGTGTGTTCGGGGTGCAACTAGCCCCCAGCACACAATTAACAATAACTCATGACAGGTGCATAGTCGTACTGTTTGGGCATTAAGATTAAAAACCCCTATACATACCCAATAATGCACGGACACCAATATGTTGGGTAAAATTCTGTCCACAGCTTTTAATAATATATATTTTAATACAAAAAGTAATTTTCAACAAACCCTTTGACACAGTATTTAACTAACCCCCCACAACATTGCAATAACAATGACCTAAAAATCAACATACCACCATAACTATATGACAACATAAATAACATCATGAACCATAATATAGTGCAAACAAATTGCCTGAATGATCCAATGTAGTGGTACACCGAGATACCCCTACATCCCGGGTTCTGAGCCACAGGCCAGCTAAAAACCTACCATACTAACTTGCCCGAACGACCCAATGTAGGAGTATACCGAGATACCCCTACATCCCGGGTTCTGAGCCACTGACCAGCTCAAAACCTACCATACTCAGGGCTGTCTTTAACATTGATTGGACCCTGGGCAAGCATTTGCTTGGGCCCCCTGGATCCTGCCCTTCCCCTCCACACATTTCCACCCCCTGGCATGCAGTCATGCCCTCCACCCCAATACAGTGGCATAACTAATGTAGAGAAGGCCCAGGTGCAAGACATTTTTTTTGGGCCTCCCATCTAGCACAATAATGGAGAAAAGATAGATCCTCATCTGTTGTACAATTCCCACGATGCTATGCCAGTTGGGGATCTACCATTTGGTCATTCTTGCAGGGCTGTATTTGTGAGCAGTGTTTGTAAATTTGAATGTGAGCATGTTGTTGTATAGAGTATGTGTGTGCATGTACGGTGTAGTATTGGTGTTAGAGTGAAGGGGTGTGTTTCTATATACTTTTTGAGTTTGAATTCAGGGGCGTGTTTGTATGTAATGTTTGTGTTTGCAGGGGTGTGTTTGCATGTTGTGTTTGATTGCTTGGATGTATGACATACATTCACAGATATCCATACACATTAGCACACTGATACATGCACACATCTGGACACATGCACAGACTGATACAAACAGACTGGCGTATACACACACATACATACATACACACACACAGATACAAAGATAAAAACACTGGCACATCCACACACAGAGATACACACTTACACACACTGACACAGATATAGACACACATTAAGATGCACACAGACACACGGGTACACATGCAGGGGTGTATTTGTGTGCAGTGTTGCCAAAGGAATGCTGGGATGTATGCATTGCCACACAGATGCACACTTACACAAACACTGAGATACACACAGGAACACAGATACACATGCAGTGGTGTATTTGTGTGCAGTGTTAGCGTTGGAATGTAGTAGTGTATATGTGTGCAGTGTTGGTACTGGAATGATGGAATGTATGCATTGCCACACGCATAGATACACACTTACACAACCTGACACTCATATACATACACAGACACGCAGGTACACATACAAACTGACACACAAGTACACGGACACAGGTATACATGCACATAGATACACATAAACACTGACACAAAGGTACACATACACTGACACAAACACAGCCAGATACACACACACTGACACTCACACAGCCAGATACACACATACAGCCAGATACAAACGCACACACATACAGATACACAAGCATAAAATCAGATACACACGCATAGTCAGATACACACACACAGTCAGACACACACAGTCAGATACACACATACAGTCAGATACACACACATAGTCAGATACACACATACATAGTCAGATACACAAACACACATAGTCAGATACACATATACAGTCAGATATACACACATAGTCAGATACACACATACAGTCAGATATACACACATAGTCAGATACACACACACACACAGTCAGATACACACACATAGTCAGATACACACACATAGTCAGATACACACATACAGTCAGATACACACATACAGTCAGATACACACACATACAGTCAGATACACACACATAGTCAGATACACACACACAGTCAGGTACACACACATAGTCAGATATACACACACAGTCAGATACACACACATAGTCAGATACACACACATAGTCAGATATACACACATAGTCAGATATACACACACAGTCAGATACACACACAGTCAGGTACAAACACATAGTCAGGTACACACACATAGTCAGATACACACATACAGTCAGATATACACACATAGTCAGATACACACACATAGTCAGATACACACATACAGTCAGATATACACACATAGTCAGATATACACACATACAGTCAGATATACACACATAGTCAGATACACACATACAGTCAGATATACACACATAGTCAGATACACACACACACATAGTCAGATACACACAGTCAGATATACACACAGTCAGATATACACACAGTCAGATATACACACACAGTCAGATACACACACACAGTCAGATACACACATAGTCAGATACACACATACATAGTCAGATATACACATACATAGTCAGATACACACATACAGTCAGATATACACACATACAGTCAGATATACACATACATAGTCAGATATACACATACATAGTCAGATATACACATACATAGTCAGATACACACATACAGTCAGATACACACATACAGTCAGATATACACACACAGTCAGATATACACACACAGTCAGATATACACACATACAGTCAGATATACACACATTTATATCAATTTAAGTCTAGCCACCCTCTTGTCTCCTTACCTTTAGAGAAGGGTGGCTTCCCTGGGGTCCAGTGGAAGCTGGATGGCTGAGGTTGATGGGAGTCTGATGAACATGTTTACCTCAGTCCCTCTCCTTCACCTCCTCCTCCTGTGTGTGCATCCTCCCTCTCCTCCACTTCCATGTGTGTCTCCTCCTCCCCAGCGGCACTCTGTTACTTGGGAGGAAGTGATCTCACCTCACTTCCTCCCAGCAGGCATACAGACAGGGGCCCGGTCGGGTGCTCAATTAAAGGGCGGGGGGCCCTGATTACTTCACTTGCCGAAGCCCACTGGGATATTTCTCAGTATCCCGGTGGGCTGTTCAGTCCTGGCTGCGGGCAGGGGGCCCACGGGACAGCTGCTTTGGGCCCCCCAGGAGCAACTGGGCCCGGGGCAGCTGCCCCGTTTGCCCCTTGTTAAAGACGGCCCTGACCATACTAACTTGCCTGAATGACCCAATGTCGAGATACCTCTACACCCCGGGTTCTGTGCCACAGGCCAGCTCGAAACCTACCATACCAACCTGCCTGAATGACCCAATGTAGGAGTATACCTAGATACCCCTACACCCCAGGTTCTGAGCCACAGGCCAGCTCTAAACCTACAATACTAACTTGCCCGAATGACCCAATGTAGGAGTATACCAAAATACCCCTACACCCTGGGTTCTGAGCCACAAGCCAGCTCGAAATCTACCATACTAACTTGCCCAAATGTAGAAGTATACCGAGATACCCCTACACCCCGGGTTCTGAGCCACAGGCCAGCTCGAAACCTACCATACTAACTTGCCTGTATGACCCGATGTAGGAGTATACCGATATACCCCTACACCCTGGTTCTAAACCACAGGCCAGCTTGAAACCTACCATACCAACTTTTAAAAAACATAATTAATTAAATACCTAAAAACAACCCATTCGACACCCTAATTTACCTATCCAGCCCACAAAACAGAGGATAACTCCAAACCTAACACAAAATCAGGGAGGGACAACAACAAGGTCTGCGAGAAAACATTAGAATGGGAAAATTTTAAGATGGCTGGCCTATATGTATCCGCCTGCCCATCCCATATAACTAGCCAATTCAAACACACTAACTGTGAATGCCCGCTTCCTAGTTCTGTCAATGCCCTATTTCACTAAGCTGTGCTTCTCCATGGGCTACAGTATGTGCAGGGTCTCAAGCTGAAATACTGCACATACAGACTCCTACCACTATGCCCACTTCAAGTCACTGAGTGGTCATGGTGGTTGGAGTAACCCTTTAAAGTAACTTCTTAAAGCTTTATATAGGTATGACACTGAAATGTATGCAAAAAAAAAAGATAAGAGGATAAACAATAATAAAACACAAGTTACAACAAAACAATGATACCAAGCATACCCTCAAGTTCCACCAAGGCTTGGTTGCAAAAAAAATAAAAAAATAATTCGACTGTGGCCATCAGTCACCTGACTTGAATCTCATAGAAAATCTCTGGTGGGATTTGAAGAAGGAGATTGCAGAATGCACCCCCAAAAATATATTACTGAACTGGAGCAATGGGCTAAGACTTCTCAGGAACGCTGCCAGAAGCTTATGTCTGGCTATGCATCTCATTTGCAACAGGTCATCACAGCAAAAGGGCTCTACTAAGTACTAGAGATGCTTGCAACGAAGGGGTTGAATATTTTTGAGACTGGAGTAGTCATCATAAGTTGTATTTATAGTTGAATTTATGGAAACCACTTGAAGCATTTACGTTGAGCTATTCTAATTGTTTTTGTTTAATTTGTTCATGGCAAACAGTTGAAAGTAAGTACATTTTGACAATAAACCTGACTTTCAATAGGGGTTGAATAATTTTGATTACGACTTTAAATACCTACCTGCATGAAAACATGTCACAAACTTGTCATTCATAGTATTTGTGGAGGGCAGACTTACTTAGACTACAAAAAATATATTTAGGAATATTTTGGAAATTTTCTATTTATCAGTAGGTTATCTAAACTGTTTCAGAATAATCCTGAGGTAAAAGTGTAGTTTAGCACATTTTACTTGCTTCTAGTGAGTTTATATAAAATGGTCAGTCCTATGTGCCCCTCCCTGCCTGGGCCCGGTATGTAAAACCTGTACATTGGGGGTACTGGTTTACCCGTGAGACATCACTGAATACTAATATGTGTATTTTATTGCAGTAACAGCTAACAGTATTGTGACATTCACAGTTAAAATGCAATGCAGAACTAAAAAAATAACAGAATTTCTTATTTTCTCAAATTTTTCTATATTTTATTCATATTAAATTATGCTTAATATACAAATATTGGATGTGACATGAAAGCCCTGTTTCTCCTGAACAAAATGATACATGATAGGTGTGGGTAAACATAATATGAAAGAGGTGAATTACGGTTGGACAGACATGTAGCGCAAATGCCAAGTTTTGTTTACGTTTTAATTTGATCACAACTTGTACAATTGCTCAGTCCTTAACCCCTTAAAACAAAATGTAAACAAAACCTGGCATTTGCGCTACATGTCTGTCCAACCGTAATTCACCTCTTTCATAGTAAATGCACCCACCCTTATTATATATCATTTTATTCAGGGGAAACAGAGCTTTCATTTAATAGCAAATATTTACCTATGAAACATAATTTAATATGAAAATAAAGGGGAGAAAATAAGATTTATTTTTTATTTATTTTTTTGTTCTACATGACATTTTAACTGTCAATTTCATAATACTGTTTGCTTTTACTGCAATAAAAACACACATATCTGTATTCAGCAAAGTCTCACGTGTGAAACAGTACCCCCTATGTACAGGTTTTATGGTGTTTTGGGAAGTTACAGGGTCAAATATAGCACGTTACATTTGAAATTGAAATTCGCCAGATTGGTTACGTTGCCTTTGAGACTGTATAGTAGCCCAGGAATGAAATGTACACCCATAATGGCATACCATTTGCAATAGTAAACAACCCAAGGTATTGCACATGTCCAGTCTTTTTTAGTAGCCATTTGGTCAGAAACACTGGCCACAGTTAGCGTCAATATTTGTGTGTGAAAAATGCAGAAAAAACGCCAATTTTGGCCAGTGTTTGTGACTACGTGGCTACTAAAAAAGACTGGATATACCCCATTTGCAATACCTTGGGTTGTCTACTATTGCAAATGGTATGCCATCATAAGGGTAATTTTCATTCTTGGGCTACCATAGGGTCTCAAAGGCAATGTAACCAATCTGGCGAATTTTAATGTGAAAAAAATGAAACACAAGCCTTAAATTTGACGCTGTAACTTTTGAAAACACCATAATACCTGTACATGAGGGGTACTGTTGTACTCAGGAGACTTCGCAGAACACAAATATTTGTGTTTCAAAACAGTAAAAAGTATCGCAGCAATAATATCGTCCGTGTAAGTGCTGTTTGTGCGTGAAAAATGCAAAAAACGTCACTTTTACTGGCGATATCATCGTTGTAATACATTTTACTGTTTTGAAACACTAATATTTGTGTTCAGCTAAGTCTCCCGAGTAAAACAGTACCCCTCATGTACAGGTTTTATGGTGTCTTGGAAAGTAATATGGTTAAATATAGTGCTAGCAAATTAAATTCCTTATACTTTCGGCATGGGTTGTCAGGCAGGTCTCGCTAATTGTAATTAATTAAAATACCTAATTATGTAAAAATATTACATAAATATATATGTAGAATTAATATATGTGTATATATATATATATCTATATATATATATAGATATATATATATATATAAATAATTTTTAAAAATATTTTTATTTATATATATATATATATATATATATATATATATATAGTGATATATACGTATATATTTATGTTTATATATATATATATATATATATATATATTATTTTGTTCTACATGTATTTTGATATAAATATATATATTAATATCACAATACAGTTAGAACGAAATAACACACATCAATATATTTTTTAATTATTTATTTTTAATTATTTTTTAAATTTAATTTTTTACATTTTTTTATATTATATATAAATATATATATAACAATAATTATACATATATTTAATCAGTATCAGTCTACGTGTAATTTGATATTAATATATCTATATATAATTATATATATTAACAGTAAAATACACCTAGACAGCGTATGAGTTTGTATGTATATGTGTATATATATACTTAGATCATATATATATTATATAATTTTTACACTGATTTTAATTTAATTTGATTTCCAGCCAGCAGGGGGACTAACTGTCATTACAGGCAGTCCCCCTTCTGGCAATGCATCAGCCAGCAAACCTGGACATGTGACTGTGAGGTCCTCGCAAGGACCTCATTCTCACATGGCCATGGGGGCCAGAGGAGACAGGATCCGCTGCGGGGGACCCCCTGGGCGACCGTGTAAGTAAGAAAAACCGGAGGGCATACTATTACGCCCTGCGGCGTTTAGAGACGCTTAGAATAGGGCGTAATAGTACGCCCTTCGATTTTAAGGGGTTCAAGGAACACTATAGTGTTAGGAATGCTCACCTATCCGCCTCCAGTAACGACACGAAGAAGGAAGGGCCTTCTCCACAACAGTCCAATTCAATGCTCCTCATAAAGGAGCATTGGAGGCCTAATGCGAATGCATGCTAGCGCATTCAAAATCCCCTATCGAAAAGCATTGAATCAATGCTTTGCTATGGGGGTTATTCTGTCAGTGCAGCAGAAACGCCTCTAAAGGTGGACTTAAAGAACACTACACTGCTCAAATACAAAATAAATACAAATGCCTTGTTAGTAGATATACCAGGCATAGGCAACCTTCAGCACTCTAGATGTTTTGGACTATACCTCCCATGATGCTTTGCCAGCATTATGGGTGTAAGAGCATTATGGGGGATGTAGTCCACAACATCTGGAGTGCCGAAGGTTGCCTATCCCTGAGATATACACCAAATGAAAACTTGCATGCATTTAATTATGTATTTTTTAATCGGGCTTGCAAAACCTGCAGTTCTCTTGTCTGCTGTCTTTGAAAGCTCTCCCCTTCTAACCCCGCCAGACTTTCTGTGACTGTCCAATCACAGACCTCCTAATACAGCTCAATAAAAAGTCTTTGTAGTCAGGTGCCCTGAGCAAATCCTGCCTCTTGAGGTCATCTGCATTGAGCCAGCGAAACCAGGAAGTAATTTATTTGTTGTCTGATTGAAAGCCAAGGGGGGTGTAACCAGGTTTTTTTAATAAAAGCATAAATTTTTAATGAAATCTGCACTTTTTGCAAAATGAAAGAAAGAGAACACATTTTTCACACGTAAAGCTTTTCAGCAAACTAAAGTTGTTTAGGGATCAGGAGTGACATTTTAACTCTGCAATGTAAACATTGCAGTATCTCAAAAACATTGCAGGGCTAAAAGGATAGGGACACTGCACCAAGACCACTTCATTTAGATGAAGTGATCTGGGTGACTACAGTGTCCCTTTAAGGCCAGAGTAGCTTAACTGCAAGCATAGTTGAATTTTTCCAGTTCAGCTACTTTGGCCTCAAATTTGAAATTCACTTTGAATTCACCTTGAATTCTCACTTTGGTGAATAACCCTACTAGTGTGAAATACTTGAGAGCTCTCTTTTGTGGGAAATGTAGTGATAACATCAGCTTTAAAGTGAAGTTTAAACTTTGAAAAGAAGTATCAGTTACAACACTGTTTATACAACACTTTACAAGCAATATAGAGTTTAGAAAAAAAATGCTTATTTAAATTGTAACATGCAATACTAACAAAGCAGGCATCTATCTATCTGAAATGTTAAAGAAAAACAAGATACAACAAACTTGTTTTTTCTGATTTCATTTGTAGAACTCTTGAAGCGCCAGCAAAACACTTTGAAAAGACTGGCGGCAAGAAATAGGTCAGTGTAGCCTCTTTTCATGTGTATATCAGGCCCTTAATATCCCCTTATGCAGGGCGACCGTCAGAAAATTTGGGGACCCTTACTCAGCTCAATGTCTGGGCCCTTGGGGCCTTCCCCTGGGTCCGTCCACAGGACGCACCACCGAGTCTGCCCACAAGGATGCAGTACATGTATGTGTAAGAGATGCAGTGTCTATGTGCAGTGTATGTGTAAATATAATGGATGTAGTGCTTGTGTGCGTGTAGCGGATACAGTGTGTGTATATAGTGGTAACCCGTGGTAACGCTCTGACAGCCAGGGCACCTTACAGCTGTATTGGCTCTACCCCCTTGATGGCGGCCCTGCACTTATGGAACAACAACGATACATTTTTATCAGAGCAGTCTGCATTTTAAATGTAATTTCCCCATTCATTTACCATATCCAGGGCTGAACTGTCAATAGTAAAAAAATAAAAAGCCAGGACAATCCATGCTTTTATTTACAGGCTCTTCAAAGATTGGATTATGATCATAACTTGAAATATTGTCATCCTTAGGGAAATATATTTCAGAGAGGCCTACGTTATTTTATTATTTGTGAACAGGCCGATCCCCTATTTGCATTATAAATAGCCAATATGTGAAGCATTGCAAAGACATTTTTATTCCATAATGCATAAGAATGCACTGTAGATATATATTTTAATTATTTAATTTATTTATTTTGGGAATATATATATTTTTAAATAAAGTACAAACTTTGTTAACTCCATCGTTTTATTTGCTCGACATCAATGATGTAACTTTTTCATTTGTGGGTCCTTTAAGAATAATATGTAGACATTACTAAAGTTTGAATATGGTTGCCATGATTTAGAAGGATGGCATGGTAAACCATGCAGAAACAAATATACGAGAAGGGGGAGGCAATGGTAAAAATAAACATTCCTAACACAGTTCCCTGACAGGTTAGGTCGGTTAGTACGCAGCAGCTCTCTCCTGTGTCCCCTCCCTGTGACTAAACCGTAAACAAGTCTGAGGAAACACAATTAGCCAAGCTACCTTTCACGTGTTTTAGAGCAGCAAACCTACAAATCTAGTTTTTTGGTTTTTTTTTTTACAACCACCAAAATAGGAGAGCCAAATAGAGAGAGAGACACGCAGGTATTTTTGAGGCCTGCAAATATTTTGCGAGTTGTGATAGCAAGAACGTTTTTTTCAGAAACAAAGGACGTGCAATAGACATATTGTTATGAAAAGGCCCCTCCTAACAACAGATGGCACCTCACCCATTGTTTACTGGCTGCTTAAAAAATTGGGGATTTCCCAGCAGCAAAGGTAATTAAAGGAACAGTCCAAGGACCAGAAGCGCTAGAGGACAATGTAGTGGTTATGGTGCTTTGTGTTCCTTTAATTACTAGATACTTCTATGCCTCCATATTATGCGCATTGTGCAGCAATTTTCATGTACCCTGTTAAACAGTTTTGTGAAATATGTGGGTGCTTTATAAATAATAATAATAATAATAATGTAGCTCCAGAATTTCTAGGATTTTGGTAAATCTGGATGATTTGGTAAGCGTGCGCAATCATACTTTTTTTTTTTCTTTTTTAAACCAGCATCAAGCATCATTATCACCATAGCTTATTGTAAAGGTTATGGTAGTAAGAAGCTATGGGTGAGGTCCTACACTTTGTGTTGAAGAGATTTCAAGTGGTTTGACAAAATCTGTGACACTAAAGCCCCCTCAATACGCTGAAGATGTCATAATCAGAAAGTTCATGTCTTTATTGTAAACCAAATTAATTGTCCTGTGTTTTGCCACACTGGGTCACCATTTTGCATTGCCAAATTGATACAGACACCCTGTAAATATATATCAGTTTGCTTGGGATTAAAACTGGGATCAATGATGTCAGTTTTATAACTGCTATTCTCAGACCTCCCAACAGTCCCAGATTTGTCAGGACAGTCACAAATGTTGGCTTTTGTCCAGCTGTCCTGGATTTGTTCTCTGATGTACCAATTCTGTGAAAAGTGTTCACGCTGTGCAAGCTGCTCTCAGAACATTGAACCCAGACAACAGCGTGTTAAAAGCACGTTGCCCATGTGCAGCCCTTGGAAGATCTAGTGAGAATATCCAGTAGGCACGCAGGTATGCATGAACCCCTTTTCTGGATGGGCCTGCCTTTCATCACATTGTTGCCCTCTTTTCTCATATCCAGAGTTCCTACAAATATTTTGGAGGAATAATAGGAAGAGATCTTATCATGTCCCAAGCTAAGGGGACACAAACACAGAGGAGAGGACCTGCATCCTGAATCCACTTGTACCATAATCACTATAATATGCTGCAATTGTTATGTTGGTTGCAGTGTCCTTTAAGCCCATGACATTGTATTTTGAGAAGGGCTGGATTTTCCATAAGGTCACTGGACCTTGACCTTGTGGTAGCACGTATGAGAGAAGTGGCATGACCGATGGAAAAATCTAAGATCTTCCTCACTAGCCATTCCATTCCCATGCCGATGGAGCCGGCCACTGTAGCAGTGAGTGCAGCGGCCAGCCCATCAGAGAAGGTGACTACAAACCTGTTTCTTCTCCATTCCAGCTTGGGGCCACTACTACCCACCAAGCTGCCCAACAAAGGACCTGCTAGGCCAGCAGTAGTCTGCCTTGCTTAGCCCAGAGGCCAGTCACCTGTGCCCACCAATGTTAGTGTCTGCATCGGTCGTTATGTGTGTGTTGCATGGGTCGTTATTTGTGTGTTTGCATGTGTCAGTGTGAGTGTATCTACATGGTTCAGTGGGTGTGTGTGTGTGTGTGTGTGTCTGCATTGGTCATCATAAAGGCCAAAGTTTTAATAATAAAAAAAACCCAATACTTTTAAATTGTGGGAGAGTATCATGTAGGCATGTATATTATTATATGTGTATTAGATTAATATTTACATGTAATAATGACATATATATATATATATATATATATATATATATATATATATTAAGCAAAATATAAAATTACTACAACACACATACATTTATATACATGTATATATGAAGGGACTGTGGGTATCGTATTGAGGAAACTGACCTTGTGGCAGCAAGGAGGGTAAATCCGGCCCTGATTTTATGAAATGTATAACCTAACTGCAAAGTGCCCATTATAACTCTATGGAAAATTCCAATCTCCATAAATAAATACTTTGCTTTTACGCAACACACATTTGCAAGCATCATTTCCCATGAAGCTTAGCCAGCCTTATTTACTTCACAAAACTCTACAACACCTTTGTGTTATTGTGTACTTCCAGCAAACGCGAATATGCAGAATTCGAAGAAGTACAGACTATTTATTGGCAGTAGCTCTTGAATAAAGAGCACATAAACCTTTTTACTCACATCATAAAAGGCTAATTTAGAACTAGTGGTGAAACTACAGAGCTTACAGTGCCTAACTACCCAGCTCCGGCTCTTAAAGAGATCCTGCTTTCTTTGTATGTATAGAATGAGATTCCAGATAAGGAGTTAAAGCGTAACTGTCCCGTAAACTCCCCTCACACTCCCCCATGGCCTGTTTTTCTTTTTTTGTTAATATGACACAAAAAAGAAGGTTTGAGGGAAACTCTGATACTTTCACCTTTTTGATAGCTATCTTAAAACAGAACATTCACCATAAATAGAAACATTCGCCATAAATAGACCTGTGCAATATTATTTAAGGCAGACATCACACTGCCAATTTATAACAAGCTATCTTAAGGTTTTTTGTGTTCCTTTGCTTTTCCTACTTTTAATAAAGGATCAATAAAGTTATACATGTATATAGTTTTTGTTAAAGGGCACATGTAAATATCATTTAAACAAACAATTGGTTCCACTTTTCCCTCGCTCCATTACCTACCATAACCAATTTAGAGATATTTTTTTTTATTATTCCAATCACGTTGTTCATTCATTAAATTAACAGCACCTTAGATCTCCCTAGTTGGAGATTACAATATTTATTTTTCTCTCAGTAAACATAAGGAGAGTAGGGTCTACTTTTCCGGATGTATAACCTGAACGTTGACAAAGTGTGGAGCTTTAATCAAGCTCCATGGTGTTTGTCAACTTTGTCATTGGCTTCTTCCTTCTATATTCACCTCCCTCGCATGGTGCATCACTACCTCTGCGCTACAGAGAAGAACGGGGCATGCACCATTGTATCCGGGCAGTGACAGCTGTAACCATTGTATCCGGGCAGTGACAGCTCTATCAGGCTATGGGTGACAGATCAGGATAACCATTGTACCCAACATCCTCGGCCAGCAGATCCAACTGGACCTTAGGGAAGCCACCCTCCTCCACCTGAAAGGTAGGAATGGGGAGGGTGGCTAAAAATATGTACCCTTTGATCAGCGTGTCTGTCTGTATGTGTGACATTATGTCTGTGTGTGTCAGTATGTGTGTGTCATGGTGTGTATGTGTGTCACTGTGTGTGTGCGTGCGTGCGTCAGTATGTGTATCTGTATGCGTGTCTATGTATCTGCATGTATGTTAGTGTGAGTATATGTGTATCTATAGCCAAGTCACAGTGGGTATCAGTGTGCCTTTCTATTTGCAGGTGTGTGTCTGTGTATTTGCACGTGTGTCAGTGTGGATAAAAAGGTCATTTGCTCAGACAGATGAAATTAATTTGTCTTATTTTCATGCAGTCATTTCCTTTAGGCATTGCTGAGTCACAGGCTTAACAACTGATTACCTTTCACTAAGACCTGGTTGTAATTGCAGGTAAAGCCCAGCCACCCACATTGACACCCATACAGTGAGCTGAGAGGTAACATGATATTTCTCCCGGAACCTTTGTGCGGTGTTCTGTGTTCCCCGGAAGGCACGCTTTATCGCCGTACCCAGTGCGGAAGTGCCTGTTTCCGGTGATGGCCCCGTTGCTGCTGTTGCTGTTGGTCGGGGCCGCGGCTGCTTCTCGGGGGGACCGGGAGCCCGTGTACCGGGAATGTGTGGCGGGATGTCAGCAGATGAACTGTACCGGGGCTCGGCTCCGGGAATTCCGGGCGGAACAGCCGCTCTACATGAGACTGACAGGTGGGAGCAACATTGTGTACGGACAGTGACAGCTCTATCAGGCTATGAGTGACAGATCATGATAACAATTGTATCCATGCAGTGACAGCTCTATCAGGCTATGAGTGACAGATCAGAGTAACCATTGTATCCGGGCAGTGACAGCTCTAAGAGGCTATGGGTGACAGATCTGGGTAACCATTGTATCCATGTAGTGACAGCTGTAAGTGGTTATGGGGAGACCTACTAAAAGGAATGAGAGAATGGAATGTCCATAGACAATTACAGAATGAGTAGGTCACTCTATAGAGCTATGAGTGACAGATCAGGGTAACTATTGTATCTGGGTAGTGACAGCTCTATCAGGCTATGAGTGACAGATCATGATAACAATTGTATCCATGTAGTGACAGTTCTATCAGGCTATGAGTGACAGATCAGGGTAACCATTGTATCCATGCAGTGCCAGCTCTATCAGGCTATGAGTGACAGATCAGGGTAACCATTGTATCCGGGCAGTGACAGCTCTATCAGGCTATGAGTGACAGATCAGGGTAACCATTGTGTCCGGGTAGTGACAGCTCTAAGAGGCTATGGGTGACAGATCTGGGTAACCATTGTATCCATGCAGTGACAGCTGTAAGTGGTTATGGGGAGACCTACTAAAAGGAATGAGAGAATGGAATGTCCATAGACAATTACAGAATGAGTAGGTCACTCTATAGAGCTATGAGTGACAGATCAGGGTAACTATTGTATCTGGGTAGTGACAGCTCTATCAGGCTATGAGTGACAGATCAGGATAACCATTGTGTCCGGGTAGTGACAGCTCTATCAGGCTATGAGTGACAGATCAGGGTAACCATTGTATCCGGGTAGTGACAGCTCTATCAGGCTATGAGTGACAGATCAGGATAACCATTGTGTCTGGGTAGTGACAGCGCTGTGAAGCTATGGAGATCAGGGTTCTCATTGTTTCTGGGCAGTGACAGCTCAATGAAGTTATGGGTGGCCGGTAGGTTTGTCAAATCAACCATTTTTGTTACTCACATTTAATTGATATATGCTGATTGGCAGTGCATGAAAAGTGCTATCTTGTGGTATGCAGCATTATTATTTTATTTGTAAAGCGCCAACAAATTCCACAGTGCTGCAAAATAGGAGGACTTTTAGACAAGTATTTGCAACAAGACGAGTTGGACCCACAGAAATAGAGGGTGTTGAGGACCCTGTTCAAACAAGCTTACATTCTACCATAAACTCATATGCTCCAGGATGGAAATCATTTGGCTATAATCAAGCGAGTTCATTTGAGATTATTTCTTGTACATTGAACTGTTTTCATTCCCCATGACAATTGTACGTCGTTGAGCAGGATTCTCCAGCGCAACCTATTGTTCTTGTAATATTTTAATTGTCTCATTTATTGTTAAATGTCCCCCTTTTATAATATTGTAAATGACTGTAGAATAAGCTATATAAATACCAGTAATAGTAATAATGCACTGCTCATAAACATCATTCTTGATTAGAGATCTTGAAAACTCTGCTAATCACAGATGCCCATTGCTGCTTATGCTATGGGCCAAGCTGGACAGAGGGGATGGGGCTGCTTAAGACTCTCATTTAGCATTAAAACATCAATTGCGTTAATGCCAAATGGAAGAACATTGCCAGGGAATTCCAGACACTATAACCAATTCATTGAAAGGAACACTCCAAAAAAATATGACTGTTTCATAAAGATAACATTCTTATGCAATGGCCATAAAGACTCTGCTGAAATTTCATTGAAATTCCAGTGCAGTTAAAAAATAAAATTGGGACTACTTTGTCTTATGGTGAATTCTCAAGTTGACAATAGGCAGAGGTACCACTGTCAAGTTTTGTCACTTCCCACAGCCGTCTCTAGCATTGTAAATGTGACAACCTTATGGGATCACTCAAAGCACCATCACAACTTTGCATGAATGCATATTTGATGGTGTAGAGATATCCTGGGCCAACGTTCAATACGCAGGGTGGCTTAAAACTGTAACTGTAAGCCTGTCAATCAAGTAGCCCAAAACAGGAGTTCCTGGTTGCTTGTGTTAATTTTGTCCAAGTTTTGTTTGTGAACTGCTACCTATGCTCTCATCAATATTTCAGGCTGGGCTTGTCTGGATGACTGTCAGTACCAATGCATGTGGCACACTGTATCCCTGTACATCAAGGAGGGGTATCCAGTCCCACAGTTCCATGGGAAGGTGAGTGCAGTTGGACTGTTAACAATGACTAGATTAACAAGACATATCATACTTTTACATGCTATCCAATTCACATTATTTTCTAGACATTTTATTTTATTTAAAAAAAAAACTGCCTTCATTTTGCTTCGTTTTCAAATATTTTTTTATTGAAAAGTGTTATATTTTATAACAATATATATATATGTATTACACTATCATTATTACATAGGATATTTAGACTTATAGAACTTTACACATAGATAAAATATTCAAAATAGGTACAATAATAATATAATTACATCATTATAATATATATATTTTTTTGGGGGGATAAAGAAAATTGTCTTTATGAAACATAGGTAGATGGGAAAAGAAGATCAGGAAAGGAGGGGGTAGGGCAGGACTTGACAAATCCCAGGTGCCCGGTCGCCATGGCGACTTGAAATTTTGCCCAGGTGCCTGGGATTAGAAGCCCTTTAGCTAAAGGCAGGATGGGGGGAACAATGGGGCTGGCCGGTCGGCTCAGTGTCGCCCTGGTCTGCATGGAGGCGGCCGCCCTGGGGATCGTGCAGTCTGCAGGCTGTGGCAGAGCGGGAGGGAGCAGTAATCTTCCTGTAGCTCCTATCTGCTCCCTCGCACTGTATAGTGATGCCGAGAGCCAGAATATGTCGTCATTCCGGCCCCGGCATCACTACAGGGAGGAGACAGGAGGTACAGGAAGATTACTGCTCCCTCGCACACAAGATGAGCGAGCAGCCCCACTGGACCCCAGGGAAAGTCCACTCAGCTCTCCCAGGTAGGATGGTGGACTAGGTGGATTAAAATGGAACATGCCAATTTGTGTGTGTGTGTGTGTGTCTGTCTGTCTCTCTCTGTCAGTGTGTGTGTCTCTGTCAGTGTGTGTCTGTCTCTCTCTCTCTCTCTCTGTCTCTCTCTCTCTGTCTCTCTCTCTTTCTCTGTCAGTGTGTCTGTGTGTGTGTTTAAGTACCTGCACCCCTACGATCACAAGAGAGGTGTTTTTTACTCCCCTTCTTTCCCACGCCGTGCCAGTTTTTTGTGGCTTGTCCTGCCTTCATGACTGAAATAATCAATCTTTAAGATCTCAGCTAAACAGATATTAGAACATATTGCGCATACTTCGCTAGTTTAAAAAACGGGCTCCTAACCTTTTCTATCTGGATCCTAGATTCCAAACAAATTTGTCAAGCCCTGGGGTAGGAAGATAGAGGGAGAGTTGGAGCCCTTATTGTTTACATTGTGGTGTGTGAATATTTTTAATTAGTTGTGGTAATATTCCTACTATAATACCTTTTGGTATATCATAGGTAGGTATGATATATTCCGTAAACAACTTCAACGGGTTTATATCCTTTTAATTTGATCAGAATATTAGCAATGAAAGATATTATCATATTTTTCGCTCTATAAGACATACCTGGCATTAAGACGCACCTAGTTTTTAGAGTAGGAAAACAATAAGAAAAAAGTGTTCCTTACCACCCACTCCCCCCCCCGTCCCATAGTGTTCTCCGCCCACCACCCCTTGTCCCATAGTGTTCCTTATCACCCACTCCCCTGCCCTGTCCCACAGTGTTCCTTATCACCCCCCCACCTTTCCCACAGTGTTCCTTATCACCCCCCCACCTTTCCCACAGTGTTCCTCATCACCCCCCACCTTTCCCACAGTGTTCCTTATCACCAACTCCCCGTCCCATAGTATTTTTTATGTTCCTCTGTGTCCCTTGTTATTGTTATTCATTTATACATTGTAACCATATCTCTCCTTTGGGTAAATTCCAACTAAAAAGCTAATCCGTTAAGCCAATACTGCTAAAATGCAACTCAACACTAATGTCATTGACTGCTGAAATGAAACTTGTTCTCAACGTAATTCCCAAATAGATGGATGACCACATTAAAGTATTGTTTGTAATTATCATTATGGTCCATTAGTATGAAATGTTTCATAGGGAATATTTATATGTATCTAAGTATTATTTTCTCTCTCTTTTCTGGAACAGTTTAGAAAGATGAAGGCTACACATTTTTAATAATCTGCCCTTTCCTTCTCTCCCCGCCAGTGGCCATTCTCTCGATTCCTGTTCTTCCAAGAGCCAGCCTCTGCCTTGGCCTCTTTCCTCAACTGCATAGCCAATATCTGGATGCTGCGGCGCTATCGCTCCACCGTCCCTTCCTCTTGCCCCATGTATCACACATGCCTGGCTTTCTCCATGGTAGGTTCTACCCTTATGTTAGTGACAGAAGGACCTTGTTTAAAAAGCTCATGTCCATAACTGTCTTCTTCTCCTGTGCTGCAGATCTCCATCAATGCATGGTTTTGGTCCACAATATTCCACACAAAAGACACAGCAATTACTGAAGTAAGAGCTAGGATTAATGGTTTCTTCTAAATGACAATTGATTTCACGTAATTACTGAAGTATGTTCCCATATCCATATACTGTTGTCATTGTCTGATCCCACAGAAAATGGACTATTTTTGTGCCTCTTCAGTTATTCTTCACTCTATCTACCTGTGCTGCATGAGGTAAGCTCCTGGGGTAAAGTTCCTACTCACATATATCTTCATCTTTTCTTCTCCATTTTTTTACTTTCTTCTCATTTTTGCTTTTTTTGCTCTCCGTTGTTCCCATCCTCTCTCATATTGCTGGTTATAATTTTGGATCTCTTCTTCTCTTTAACCAGCTTGCATGAACTCATTATGCATTTTCCGGCAGTGCCCGGTTCCTGTGTTCCCTGGCAGTGTCTGCTTTCCACATGCTGATATCCTGTGTTCCCCCAGGACTCTGGGTCTGCGGTACCCTTCCCTTGCCAATGTGTTTGGTGCTGTCCTGGTGCTCCTGTTTGCATGCCATGTCTCCTACTTGACCCTTGGGAGCTTTGACTACAGCTACAATATGATGGCAAATGTCAGCCTTGGTGAGTTTGCTGAAGTTTTTGACTCGAACTGTGTTACCGGACTTGATGTCTCTTAATTATGCATATTATTGACCCTTCCTGTATCCCTTACTGCAGGAATTGATTTAGAATCTTTCGTAGATAAAATAAATGTATCACCAGTACAATGACATACACACAACACTGTAAAACTCACCTAGAACACACATGAGCAATACAGCACCTAGAACGCACACATCGTGCTGTATTGCTCATGAACCATATGTTATGACTCCAGATCGGCAGATATGTGGGACGAGGCCGTGTAATTTAATATATCCTTTAGGAGTCAATTTTTAGGATAATTGGTGTCCAGTGATGATCTAGTCCTCCATGATTTATGTATGTAAGACAAAGGCATACCAGTGTCATTTATAATGTAATCTTAAATACTTTGCTGGAGACTCAAAGTAATAGGAATGATGTCGAGAAGTGGATATTAAGAGGAAATACAAGCATTACAGTGTACATTAATCCAACTCAGAGTCATTTTGTTTCCATCAGCTGTCATGTGATATCACCGCCATTTTGTAAGAATGTAACAAGGCATATTTCCGATTCATAGCACAAGCCTACTACTGGTGCTTTATCCCCATTTCCTTTCATCTGCCCTGTCTCTCGTTAGGCTGTGAGTGGTCATCAGCTAATTACCTTCTATTTTGTGTAAGATATCCAGAATGTCAGTTTTACTGTAATGTGATATTGTCTCTTTCTGAATAATAAAACAGATGAGGCCACAAACAACATATAACACTGATACTATGGGAAGACATTTGGAAAATTAGATATTAATGTATGGTTTTCTTTTTTCTTGACTGTTATTGTAGTTCTACTTAAACAAAGAGCAAGATTAGATGTTCTGGATATTGCTAGTAATATTCAGTAAACTATACCATATCACGTCTTCTTTATTTTCTTAGAGTTTAGAATATAGTAAATTGTGAGATATTTCTTGTTATTAGCAGGCATTAGTGAGTCAAGCCAATTGTAATATGTATGTATGTTCCTCTGTCTATTTTTATTTTTAACCTTTGGGAGGGTGGGGGGGTTTGATCCATTACTAGACTGTATAATATACATCGGGTTATGATTATAATGATCGTGCCTGAGCCCTTTATGTTACCAAACCTTTCCTGGTGTCCACCCATACATCTGAGTGCAGGACAGGAAGGCATTAGATAACCAAAGGGCAGAGCAAGTTTATTATAGAAAGAGCTAGGATCAGCCAGAAAAGGGGATGCAATTGAGCCTCACTATGTGTAACTGTATTACTCTGAGATTGCTTTATAGGATGACCTGTAACCTTGCATGTCCCAGACAGATCCAGAGCTTTCTCTGTGCTAAAATGATTCTCTATATCTGCAGGTTAAATTAACGTTTATGTGCAGGGGCAGATTATTTGTGAAATGTATGTCATGCATATTCCTTGAGTTAATTACTATCCCGTATATCTCGTGAATGTAATCCTTTACTTCAAGCAGATGACAACCAGTGGAGTTACAATACATTGAGTGTAGTGACTAGTATTATAGAAAGGTTTATTAAATTACCACTAGTAGCTTTTTTTTTTCTGACTGTCCATGACGTGTACATATCACTCTGATACCAGGTAATGTTGACACACTGTACGTTTCTGTAATGCACTTTACATTCATACACCTCTTAAATACTTATGGAGCTTTGTAGTAGAATGAGACTTACTCTACATCACTGCGGGACTCTGTTATACACTAACACATACTTTACATTACTATGTAGTTGTGTGCTACACTCACACATGCTGTGCACTACAGTGGAACTCTGTAATAAACCCCTACATTAAACTGAAGCTCTTTATTATGCTTACAAATACTTGGCATTATTGTAGAACTCTAATACACTCAACGACTGCATTACTTCTGAGCTGTGTAACACAGTCAACTATACGTTTAAGGTATTAAAGGAACACTTTTTTTAGGTTTTCGAAATACAAGAGGGTCAGGTAAAGTGAGGAAACTACAGAGGAAACCCAGACCACTTCATGAGATGACATGTTCTGGGTGTCTATAGTGTCTGTTTAATTATTGTAAAGCTCTGTAATACTCTCATGCACTCTTATTGGGGAACTCTGTAACACATGCACAGGTAAACAAACTCGTTTTCCTGGCACTATAGCGCCCTGAGGGTACCCCCACCCTCAGGGTCCCACTCCCGTGGCGTTGAAGGGGGAGGAAGGGGTTTATCCTTTACCTTTTTTACAGCGCCGGGCTGCGGCGCTGGAACTTTCCTCTGTAGTTTGTTTTAAAACAGTGTTGTAGTTATGCTGTTTAGTTGTCAGTGTTTACTGCTTTGTTAAGCTTATTTACTTAGTGTTTTGTTTTCTGCAGATGTACATCTTTTGTCTGTGTCCATTTCCATTCACTCTCACATACCATTAAATGCCGTGACACTGGCAGCTGCTGAGAATGATTGCGGGCAGTTTGTAATGTGAAGTAGTTCTATGAAGACAAGGTGCTTCTCTTTTTTGTTCATGTTTTCTGTTCTTTGGTTGCTCTTCCTAGATGTGCCTTATTGCACTTATTAATGTATATAGCAATATTTAACTTCTCTCACATATGTGTGTTTTCCCACAGTTAAGTGCTGGAAATACCCAAGTTAATATTTTTTTTTTTCTCCAAAAATGCAGCTTTATTGGCTCATTATATCATTTTAATTTTGGTACATACGATGTGACGTTCATTGATTTCTAATATATTGACACATTCTGTTTCTTTCTTCTGATGTATCTATTCAGGCATGGTGAACCTGGTGTGGTGGCTGGCATGGTGCATGAGGAGACGCTCTCACCAGCCTTACCTCTGGAAGTGCGTGCTGGTTGTGGTCCTATTACAGAGCCTGGCACTGCTGGAGTTGCTGGATTTCCCCCCTTTCCTATGGGTGCTGGATGCCCATGCACTCTGGCATTTCAGCACCATTCCACTGCCATTCCTCTTCTTCAGGTATGAAGTCCTAGGGAATCTTTGCAGATCTATCTCATAAGGCATTAACCTGCATGTGCTCCATTTAGGCAGAAATGGATGGCCATCAGGAAGCCATCTTTCACTGCTACCACAGAGAGATTATTCTTTTTATATGAGGTCAGTAAAGAGGACCAAAATAGTGTCCTTTCTATTGATTGCATACAGATACCAATAAATCATTGTTGGCAGTTTGAGTGATGTGTTGAGTAAAGTAAAATGTATTATTAAAAGTACTTGCATTTCCTTCCTCCGATGTACTAAATTCTTTATAAATTCTTATAAGATTGCAAAGGTTACAACCCACCCTCCCATTTTAAACAACGTAAGTCCTTGATTGGTAGTGAAATTGAGTCTCCCAAAACCTGAATGAGGGCAAAGAAAGGTTTGTATATGGTGTGCAGTAATCACCACTTTTTAGAGGGAAGTTCCCTAGATAATGCACAATTAAAGAGTATGTAGAGTCTTAAAGGGACCCTATAGTCACCCGAACAACTATAGCTTAATGCAGTTGTTCTCATGAGTATAATCATTGCCTTCAGGCATTTTTATACAAACACTGTCTTTCTAGAGAAAAAGGCAGTGCTTACATTGCCCTCTAGTGGCCATTGGAGGTGCTTCCTAGTGCAATGCTGCACAGTAGGCAGCACTGCCGTTCAGCGTCTCCATGTTCTGCATGGAGACGCTGAAATTTTCTCATAGATTCAATGCATATCTATGAAGAGGTGCTGAGGCTCTACCATTTACCCATGTTTGCAGTTCTATATTTAGCACTAAGCAGTTTCAGTGTGTTTGTATGGAATATGTTTGTATGTGGTGTTGGTGTGATTGCAAGCATGTATTTGTGTAGTGTTGGTTTTTGAATGCAGGGGTGTATTTACATATAATTTTGGTGTGTAACACAGACATGTGTTTGTACGTAGTGCTAAAATTTGAATGCAGGGGTGTATTTGTGTGTAGTGTTAGTGTGTGAATGCTGAGATGTATGCACATATACACACACAGATATATACATATACACACACACACACACACACACACACAGACATGCTGACATACAAACATACTGACACACACACAGACATACTGACACACACAAAGACATACTGACACACAGACATGTTGACACAAACACACACACACACATATATATATATATATATATATATATACTGACACGCAAACATACTGATAGACATACTGACACAGACATACACTTTAAAACCCACCCTCCAGTTTCCTACCTATCCTGCTGGTGGCTGAAGGTGTTTGGGAGTTGGGGTCTAGCGCTCGCGGCCAGCCCCCCTCCATTCTGCCTACTCTCCTTTCCCATGCACTCCTCTCTTTGTGGGAGGAAGTTTGGCTCTAGCAGCCTTGAGTGCCATGCAAAGACACCTCGAGTGCCGTGCATGGCACTAGTGCTGTAGGTTGCCTACCCCTGCCCTTTAGTGTTCCTTTAAGCTATAATGTTAGTAGAGCAAAAACAATGCTGCAGAATGCAGTGACACACGAACACGTATGTGAATGGTAAGTAAAGGCAGATCTGAGGAGGGAGGATAAAACCAGTAGGAAATATTGTGAGATTGTTTGTTTCATTCTGTGAGTAAGAAGTAAAGTAGGAGGCAGGGGAAAGTACCACACACAGTTGTTTGCTAATTCTGTTACAGGAAACTGGGAATGTAATACTACTGCAGATATTATGTGTAAGGTTGTTGTGAGCCATCGAGCGAAGAGGGATATCCGTGGCCAGATTAAGTGTGAGGAGGCAAGAGCATTAGTTAACATCAGATGCAGTGTGAAGAGATTTCAAAGCAGGATGATATTCTAAGGATCTACACTACGGAAGGATGCGTGACTTATCAGGGTTTCTAAAATACTTCTCAGCGCTAATTTGGAATGACCTTGAACATAATGGAAAATTGTGTGAGAAAGAGACTGCAGTACCACATAGGAGCCATGTTTCTGTGATAGCAGAGACAGTCTCATTTTAAAGTGAGATCTATTTAACTGTTTAGTTACTTAAGTGTCATGAATGGAGTTTTGTCCATGCAAGGTTACTCCAAGAACTATGACCACTTCAGTGATTTGAAGTGGTCATGGTGGTTGGAGTCTGTGTGTGCAGTGTTTCTCTATTAAAGAGTTTAACCTCTCTGCTGCCGGAGCTGTAACTCCATCTCCGGCAGTGTCATTGGTGTGTCACCAGCCAACCCAGAACTAGAGTTCCGAGCTGGCTTGTGCCAATTCTGTGCAAGTTTCCTTGCACAGAATGCCAGTCATTGGTTCAGAGCAGACCGCTGACTTTGTCAGCTAGTGAATGCAGCTTGTCTCCAGACTGATAGGGTTTTCCCAGATAGGTTTGAAATCTTTTCTGCTGTGTCAAAAGTGTCAACTCACCCCCTTCAGTGATCATTGAAGTCAGTAGTGTGATCAGTGCTGATTTTGTTTTTGTTTTTTTTTATATTAGTTTTTATGGTTATTGGTTTTAGTTTTCTCCCCCCCTTAACTTAATATTTAAGCCTGGGTTGGTTGGGGGGGATGGATTAGGGTTACAGTTTAATTCAGGCTAGGGTTTAGATAGTTATATTTAGTAGTGACCATTAATTAGATGATTAATAGCATTACAGGTTGAATTAAAGTTATGATTATAATTCTGATAGGTAGAGAGAGAAACCACGATAAAAATAATGTATAGTAATATACATTTTCCAGTAAAAATTACACATTTTTCTAATGCTTTGCAAGTTTACAAAATGCTACCAGGGTCAGATAATGAAATTGCTACTGCATCTGATGAGATGCGTACCACCCTTTACAATGATGTGGTTAAATTACAGGGCTGTTTCCTAAAGTGAGAGCTGCTATGTTTGGACTCTTCGACTTATGGCATGAGGTGGAAAAAAACTGAGGTTTTCCCTAAGAACTAGTGTACCCCAAACAAAAATATTGAAAACCTGTCTGATTTGTGGCAGGGTGCAATTTTAGCACTCGGACAATAGTGATGTTAATTTCCTATCCATGATGTACACCGAAGCTGCTCAGCCAGTAATGGAAAGAGGAGGACATTATGCCAATCAACCAACCCAAGTGTATACTAGACCAGGGATTCGTCATTCCAAATGTTGTGGACTACATTTCCCCCAATGCTTTGCCAACATTATGGGTAATGTAGTCCACAACATCTGGAGTGCTGAAGTTTGCCTACCTCTGTTCTAGACTATAATGAATGTGTGGGGGAATCTTCCTAGTTGACCAGTTTTTGAAGCCAAGTCTAGTGCATCACAAAACCACCTCATGATACAAATAGGTTGCCATATACCTGACACGAATGACATTGTTCAGCTCATATTTACTGTACAGACAGTAAGGCAAAGACTTCAAAGTATTTTACCTTGAATAACTGATAAATAAAGTCACAACTATTTTGTTTGAGCAGCAAACAATGAACGTTTTGTTGCCAAGAACATTGGCAGGCGTCCTTGAAAGCATTTTCCAACTAGGATTCTTACTGTTGCACACAAACAACCCACAAGCACTGTAGAGTTTTCAACCAAAAGGTGTCTCAAATGATTCTACTACTGGCCATCCTGCACTTATTTGCTTCTTCTTTGTATTAATAACTGTTTCGGAAAATGTGAGACACTTGTGGACCATTTGGAGCACTCGTCAGATGTCTATGGGTTTGATTTTTATTGGACAGCACGAACGGTCCTTAAGAAACCAATATAGTACGTATGGGAGCATTAAATATGAAAGCAGGGAATCATGGTTGAACATGAAAATGCCAAAATAGCAAAAAAGCCTTGATAGTTACATAGCTAAAAAGAGACATGCGCCCATCAAGTTGTCTTTCTCACATCCGTTTTTGCGGTTGATCCAAAAGAAAGTTGAGCAATATTAATTGTAAACATGTTGTTCCTTGTCTTGTCTTTTGATATAAGATTGTCAGATCCCCCAAGACCTACTGTCTCAGTATGTTTTTTGTTTGCAAAAACAAAGTTTGATTAACTCAAAGTATGAGCACTGCAGAACGTGTACCAGTGATGTTAATGATTTTATTAAATGGCTGTTTACACTTCAAAAAAAATTCTCTGTATTTCACTTCTGCTTACAGTTTTCTGGAGGATGACAGTCTATACTTACTGAAGATGAACTCTGTTGTACTAAAACTGGACTAGAATGAAGTGAGGGTGGAGTTCATCTGCTCCATTCCCAGGATGGTCCCCACGGTGTGCCCCCTATACGGAGAATCTGTCCACCATATAGGAGACCTCTGGTTGGGTGCCACCGACTGACTCCGCAAGGAAGAAAGGGAGTCCCAGAAGTGCCTTATGGTCATATTGGAAGTGATTTTCCCAAAGGAGGGAAAACAAACACATTATGTACCTATATTAGTTAGGACATTGCTCTTGTGTAAAGACTTTTAACTTCTACAGCCATTCCTAAATGTGGACTTGTGGTGATAGTGAGTGGGCATTATTTCCTGATTGAGCCATTGATATGATTCTTTGTGAAAAAGTGTTTTCACTAAATGTATAATGTGAAGCTTTGATCTACCAGATATTACCACTAGTGTTGTGTTCTAGTTGCTGGGGTCCTGGTAGAGAAATTTGGAAAATGCTTGTGAATCTTGGGTACTGTGGTGGGTTCTGTTGCCATACCATTCGTGCTTTTCATGCTTTGCTGCTCTCTTTAATTTCATTCCTATCCCCGGGGGGAGGGGTGCATGCGGTGCCTTAATGTCTGTGGCAAAAGTACTTGTTTCTGTGCAATATATGTCAGCCTTTTCTGTTTGACACATCTTTTTCTTATAACAAGAAACTGAAAATATATATAAAAAATGGTTGAAAATGTATTCAAAGTCTGTACTTTTTTTTGTGTATGGAGGGATAAGCAGGGGCTAGATTTAAGTAAAGGAATCTAAAGAAGAATGGGTATGGTGAAGAGATTAGATTAATCTTCTGGATGGTCATTAATGACATACTTACTCTGTTCAATATCACTTTATTTATTTTTTTTCCTGGCTTTATAGGGTCCTTGGGTCCCCCTCACCCTCAGGGCCCCCCTCCCGCCGGGCTCTAGGGTGAGGAAGGGGTTAATCCCTTACCTTTTTTCCAGCGCCGTGCTCCCTCGGCGCTGGTGACTCTCCTCCTCCTTTCCCTGTCATTGGCTGAATGCACATGCGCGGCACGCGCATTCGGCCACCCCATAGGAAAGCATTCTCAATGCTTTCCTATGGACGCTGGCGTCTTCTCACTGTGAAAATCACAGTGAGAAGCGCCTCTAGCGGCTGTCAATGAGACAGCCACTAGAGGCTGGATTAACCCTAATGTAAACCTAGCAGATTCTCTGAAACTGGTATGTTTACAGCAGAAAGGGTTAATCCTAGATGGACCTGGCACCCAGACCACTTCATTAAGCTGAAGTGGTATGGGTGCCTATAGTGGTCCTTTAATGCTTGTTTCTTCAGAGCACACAATATATGTAGTTTGCAAATCTTTCATGAAGACTTAATCACGTGTCTTAAGCAAAATGTATAGGGATATGGTTACACTAGAGGTGCACAAGATTGAGGGGGGGGCAATGACGGACCTACTGGGGCCACTGCCATGTGATGTCAATGAGATTGGGTTCTGGAATGCCATACCCAGTCTCACTTCTTCAATCATTGCATAACTGTGTCTCTATATTGGTGCCTGTGGACGGAAGGCATTGTAGCCCTATCTACCCCTGATGAATTGTGTGGACTGGCTTTCCTGCTTCTTCTAGAAAGAATCTCTCACTGATACCTTCTGATTTTCCTGGGCAGCAGCAGTTAGGCCGACGCATGGATATTACTATATGCCCGTTCTCCCCAATTGTGTGGCTTGCACTACATGTCCACATGAGAAGAGCCTTTTCTGTGTACACCTAAGTTACACCATGTGGCTATATCATTCACTGTGTAGAAGTCGGCTTCAATTGTAACATGACACGTAAACATGCGAACGGCAAAACTTTGTTTTAAAAAAGACCTCACATTATTATTTATATAGCGTCAACAAGTTCTGTGGTGCTGTACAATGGGTGGACTAACAGACACGTATTTGTAACCAGACGATTTGGACACACAGGAACAGAGGGGTTGAGGGCACTGCTCAATGAGTTTACATGCTAGAGGGAGTGGGGTATAGTGACACAAGGTAAGTGTAGGATACAAAAGTAGGTTGCTAGAATAGTATTCATTGAGGGCTTAGTGTTTTGATGTCAGTTTCAGGATAGGAATCAGGGTGTTGGGAGGGAAAACTGTTCAGTTTAATTGATATGCTTTCCTAAAGAAGTAAGTTTTCAAAGATTTTTTTGAAGGAGTGGAGACTGGGTGAAAGTCTAACAGAGAGGAGAAGGGCATTTCATAGGAACGTTGCATCCCTAGAGAAGTATTTAAGGTGAGCATCAGAGGTAGGAGTTAGAACAGAGGTTAGACGTATGTGTCCAGCAGAGCATAGGGGCCTAGATGGGACATGTGTATTGGTGAGGATAAGTAGGTAGGAGCAGCATTGTGTAGAGATTTGTAAGCAAGTATCAGGATCTTAAATTGAGTCATATCTTACAGGAAGCCAAAGGGGGGAGACGTGGGAGGTGCGGGCAGACAGGAAGATGAGCCTCGCCGCCGCATTCATTATAGACTCCAATGGGGCAAGTTAGGAGCACCTAAGATCACTGAGAAGCTGATTACAGTAGCTAACGCAAGAGAGGACAGCGGCATGGACAAGCACCTCTGCAATATCCGGCATTAAAAAGGGTCGGATGTGCGCAATATTTTTGAGATTGAAGCGGCAGGATTTGGCCAATTGATTGGACATGAGGGGTGAAGGAGGTCAGAGCCGCTGCTCCTGTATGGAGCCAAGCCTGCATTTTTGTGCAGGGCTGCACTCATTGGCTGAGAACACCCAGTTGACGGGTGCTTGTGGATCCCAGGTAAGTTGTCAACTCTCTCAAATGGTTTGACTACTTACTCTGGGATGGTGAGATGGCACTCCTCGTACCAAAACTACTACAGCAGTCTATAGTGCTTCAGTGTTCCTTTAAAATGCATTCTGTCTACATTTATGTCTTCACAACAGCAATAAATATAAATATTGCAGTAGTCAGTAAACATTTAGATGCAATAAAAACAAAAGTTGAACTGTAGGCTCATCTGTTACTCTGGACTTACACCCCTATATCTAAGTAAACTGGAATTAGACATTAAGATCCACTTAAAGGAAAACTCCAGTGCCAAGAAAAACCAATCCGTTTTCCTGGCACTGCAGGTACCCTCTCTCTCCCACCTCCCAATCCCAGGTAGCTGAAGGGGTGAAAACCCCTTCAGGTCACTTACTTGAGACCCTGCCGATGTCCCTCGGCGGTGGTTTCAGGTCGGCGTCGCTCCTCCAAGTCATCACGTCAGCCGGTGGGTGAGACTGATCCTGTCGGCTGAGGAAACAATGCGCATGCGCGGCAGTGCCGCACATTAGGTCTCCCCATTGGAAAAGCATTGAAAAAGATTTTCAATGCTTTCCTATGGGGAATTGAGCGGCGCTGGAGGTCCTCACACAGCGGGAGGACGTTCAGCGACGCTCTAGCAAAGAAAATCTTTGTTATGAATCAGGAAGTGCCCTCTAGTGGCTGTCTACTAGACAGCCACTAGAGGTGGAGTTAACCCTGCAAGGTAATTATTGCAGTTAATAAACTGCAATAATAACACTTGCATGGTTAAGAGTAGTGGGAGTTGGCACCCAGACCACTCCAATGGGCAGAAGTGGTCTGGGTGCCTGGAGTGTCCCTTTAAAAAGCGGCCTTTACGGATCTTTCTTTAACATATAAAATCATAATGTAGCTTTATCTTGGTTTTCTGTATTTTACATAAATTCTACCTGTTTAATCAGAACGTGACCTATTTTTTTCTGTCAATGGCGATTTATTTATTTTTGGCTGTTTGATATGCATGTTTAAAATAAGATGACTACTGCAGCAGTGAATTCGCTTTATTATATTAATATTTAAAGATTACACATCAGAGATATACTTTGCACTGGAAATGGTGTGCGACAGCAGAATATGTCTTGCAGGGTTATTCAATAAAGCAATACATTGAATTTTAAATTTAAGGCCAAATTAGCCAAACTGAAAACAGAATTTACTTTTTCTAATTCACGTATTTTTTCCTTAAATTTTATAATTCGCTTTGAAATTCCCAGCACTTTTCCCTTTCATGAATAACCCTTTTGGTTAGAAAGTGATTTTACTTCATGCCGGATAGATATGTCCTCATTTTGTCTCCTTCTTCTGGGCCCAAGCAAAGAAAATTCCTTTGGTATCATCCACATCGGTTCTCATGCTTTGAGGCATAACATAGGCACGGAAATCCCTGATTTTATAGCCCGCATCACAAAGTGCTTTTTTTGTCATTTCTTCTGTGAGACTCACTACACCGAGTTTTGCCTCTCCTGCCATGTAGAATGACTCTTCTAAAGCCCCAATCATCAGAAAGTGACCCCCAGGCTTAAGTAGTCCTGTAATATTCCCAAGGGCCTTTTTAAATGCCTCATAGTCTGGACTGCAGGCCTCCAAGCAGAATGAAGAAACCAAGGTATCAATTGAGCCAGGACCCAACTCTTTACCCAACGGACAGAGTTGGTGGACGTCCACTGGGATAACTTTGGATACCCGAGCTCTGAGACGGTTCTGTTTCTCTTCCCATGGTTCTCTGAGAAGGTAGAATAGATAGAAAGTAGAAGCCTTTAGATACAGCAAATTAAGAAGGGTACATCTTACTGCTATTAAAGTGTTTTTTAAAAACAAAGTATTTTACATAAAAACAGTGATGAACTATTAAACAAAACAAAAAAAAAAAACCCAAACACCTCATTTGTATTTCCTGTACGGGTTGCAAATCTGCAGTCTGTGCAGATTTAACATCACATTCCGTTTTTGCAACCAGGAATGAACTCAGCCAATTTGAATGTTTATTTAACTGCCTACACAGTGCTGCTGAATTATCCCATACCAGCTGAAATATAGGCACAGCTAGGGGGTTACAGTTTGTACTACTCCAATAAACCCATGCTGGGATTTAAACTACAGTATTGGAGCAAAAATGTACATGTGGGTTGGGAGGGGAGGGCAAAAAGAATAGCAACAAAGACATTTTGTTGCACCCCTCTCACCTCAGTAAGGATGCATATACTAATTTACCATGACCTCCTTGGCATTAAAACATAGTAATACATGGTGTATGAGTGTATCACCTGCGAGGAAAGGGTTATTATGGTCTTCACCACCTGCTGCCCTCCACCAAGTTCATTTTGATATATTTTCAATGCATTGCCCTTTTAATTGGGGGCAGTTAGTGGCACCAGCCCTATCCCCACCATTCCTGTACGGATCTCACCTGCATACCTCCCAACTTGTGTCTCCCTTCTACAAGTACCTCTCTCACCACTTCCCCTACGTGGGTCTTTAAGTCTGTAAAGGAAATGATCCATTTGAGTCTCTCTCCACGTCCTGATCCGCTTTTGTGTCTTTCCAACCCCTTTTCACCTATGTGGACTCTTGTAATGTGGTTGAATGGCATCAGAGGCCACGTATGCACCTTAGCAGGGTTACTCATTAAACATCCAGGTGTGCTGCATGCTATGTGAGCGAATAGAGAGGCTGAATATGACATTAATTCATTATCCTTCCCCTGTCTGCTCAGACAACATTTACCAGGCTCTGACCTGCATTCTGTTCCTACTTACAACTGGTAACTGTACAGAGGGGTGCACTAGTTTGTGGAGGCCCTCAGAGTCACAGGGGCCCTTCCACTGATGTCTTCTAGACTGCCTCCCTAAGTATGCCACTGGGCATCTTTTTACATATAGAGATGTGTCCAGGAAGAGGTGGAGAGTCTGGGGCATTTACATGCTGCAGCTTTTATTAATTAGTTGCTTTGATATTTCTCTTTGATTACTTAATTTTTCTCCTTCCCTTTAACATGATAGGAAAACACTTTTTGGCTGCTTCCCATCACCACATACAACAGTTCAAGGTCAAGAATCTGGCAACCCAATACATTGTAGATCGGAGATGCATGTACCACTATCTTGCCTTAAAACTAAGAAATTTGCTTGTTATTTTGTAAAAGTAAGAAGCAACAGTTTTACTTTCCCGGTGCCAGTTTTGTACTAAAATAATTTTTCCATTTACTCCCAGGCAATTGAAGCTGATTTGACACTCAGACCTAATCTACCACCAATGGATCAACTTACCCCTTTCCTTCTATATTGCAGACATGCTTGATGTAAGGGCCCCAATCAAACGTTCCTGTCTCACCGCGTAGCCACTTCCTAATCTCGTCCCGATTCACTTCCAAATAATCAGTCAGAACCACTTCTTTAAACAGCTCAAACGCGCTAAGTAGCTGGTACACCGTGGGCCCTGTGCCAATGTCTACCATAAGCTGCCCTCCAATCTCACCTGCAGACAAAGACGCACAGAGATGGGTTGATATCAAATTTTAAAGTAGATTAGACCTTAGCTGTTTTCAACAGATATGTGCAGAGCTATTTACCAAAATAAGAATTCAAAGTGGATTTTACATTTTAGACCAAGATAGCATTGGTGACCAGTTACATCTCTTAGAGCTTATTTGATATTTCAGGATAACAGAACATCACATAACTGTATCAAAGTGGAGCAAAAATTATTATTGGCCTCTAATAATGGCCCCAGGGGCAGCCATCTTGGATTTCTCAGCTCTATGAGATTGAGGATTAAGTTAGAATTCAGACTGTCAAAAAAGTCATGTCAGTTACTGCCCTGAGTAGGAAGCTCTCAAAGGGTTATTCGCTAAACTCCAAATTCTCTGGAATAAAAAAATTAAAAAAAACAAAAAAAAACACACAAACACAAACAGGTCTGGGTGCCTATAGTGGTCCTTTAACAGCCAAATTTGCGGTTCTTGGCTGTAAATCTGTAGTATAAGTTTGATCACAATCACCTGGGGTGGGGACCTGCAGTGCCAGAAAACAGTTTGCCCCAAAAGATATAGAAGGTAAAACTGATGCAAAATAGCCAAGTTGTGACTATGGTAGAGTTTGAGAATTTTCTCAGATCAGCATTTTTGTTGCCTCAGTTTTTCCATTCAGATTTAACTTGCAAAAATTATGAATTTAATTGTGTATGGTTTTATTTTTCATTATATGACAGTACACATCCTTAAAAAAAAAGGGACAATCTAAGCACCATAAAAACTACAGTGTGCGGTAGTGGTTATGGTGCCTGGAGTCCCTTTGCGTCTTCCTCCGTTGAAGAGTCAAACCAGTTTGGAACAGTTTGACAACAGCGTCCATCAGATACCCATGATCCTACACTGCATCCCCCCCCCCCCTTGCCGCATTCCACTTTTGTTAAACTCTGATTTTCCCACTTCAAACCAACTAGTGGCCATACCAGCCAATTAAATGTGGTACATCTGGCAAATATCTGCTTGAGCTACCCAGCTCTATCCTGCCCAAAATTCATTTTTATCTTCGACCTAACTGCAATGTATGAATTTTATACAGTTCCCACATAATCGCTCTTTTGTGAAAGCAGTTAAGAGCTCCCATTCTCATATAAAAACCTTGATTTAAAAATCTACTTTTTTTTCCCTAATGTGCTCTATCCACTTAACAATGATTTAGCTAGCAAGTAAAAACAGACACGCAAAAAAACCTAAACTGATAAAAAGCATATAGTTAATAACCCCTATTTGCATATTGATTTCTGTACTAAAAACCGTAAAAAACACCCACACAAACCACAAAACAATTGGAATGTAAAAATAATTACACACAGAATAGATTTAAAATTACAGATCTATAGCTTCGTATACTACACCCTGTATTACAACAGGTCTTCCAGCACAGGGACGCACACACGATTAAAATGTTTACTTTGAGTAAATCTAATTAAAGGCACACCCCTGCGTATTTTTGCTATGTAAAATTTTATAGGACAACCGTAGTTTAGGAGAGAGGGTATCCACTATACACCAAATTGCAATGCAGCAGTAGGCAAGCTTTGGCACTCCGGATATTGTGGACTACATCACCCATAAGGCTAGCAAAGCATCAGGGGAGATGTAGTCCACAACAAGTGGGGTGCCGAGCGTTGCCTACCCCCGCTTTAGTAAAAAAAAAACACACACACACACAACCCGTTGAATTGCAGAATTTTTCCAACTCGTCTCTTTTGGTCTAAAATTGTGCAATTTGGTTTTCAATTCAGTGTTTAGCGCATTGACCATTTTTATCTTGAATTTGATCCGGTGCATCCCGGAGAGGCTGTCAAGAATTAGGTGACCGGAGTAGATTAAAAATTGACGTACCTGAGGCACACGCGTCGGCCAGGCATCTCAGCTTCCACGGCACCACGCTGCCTGGGTTGTCGAAGTCTGCCCTTGGTGGTATGTAATTATTCTGCAGGTATGCTCTGGGATTGAAGGATTGGTAGTTCTCAGCGATAGACTGAATAGTGCTCATGTTTGCATTGATGCTTCCAATTCATGCACACCCACACTTTATAAGCCAATGGCGTTAGTCCTGCCCTGCTATCATTCACCATTAGTGTTATACTGACCATTACTCAACATTACAGTTCTTCCTCCGGTACTGTGATAGCATCTCCCATTTAGTCTGTCTGCCCTCAGGAGGTAGAGAACAACACAAGGGTATTTAAAAATGTCATTACTTTATCTGACAGACACCACCCTGCCTAGAGGTGAGCTTCATTACTATATATTTTTAATGCATATGAATGCACAGCACTAAATCACCCATATAGGGTTTAATCATTAGACAGAGAATTGTTGTCAGCTGAAAACTGAATTGCAAAATCTAGGCTAAATTAGCTGAATTGCTACTTACTTCAATTCGATGTTTTGTGAATACACTCCATTGTGGGTCTCAGATATACCTGGTTATTCCTTTTTATTTCCACTAGAACTCAAAATCAAAAGGTTTTAAAGATGAAAGAAAAAGTGATAATTGAAAGAGTTAAAATAAGTAAACTACATTAACTTTTTGGTATGTTTCTTTATTTGTTTTTTTTTAATTTTATTTGTGAGAGATTGTTTTACAAGAAGAACCATAGCCACTACACCATAACCACTACACAGCTATGTAGTGGTTATGGTGTAAGGTGTGCCCCGGCTGCTTTTCAATGTAAGTAGTCACACTGGTTTAGAACGATTTAATGTCTTACCTGAAGTCCACACCTCCACTACTTCCATAGAGAGCTTGAAGCTCTCCTGAGCAAAGCCCTGCACTCTCAACCAATGCGTTAAGCCCTGCACCGGTGGGCTTAGCTTAAACAGAGAGCTTCTGGCTCTCTGTCTGAAGTAGTGATGGTGGTTAGCCGTGTGTGACAGACCCCAGGTAAGAAGTCATACCGTTCTTCTAAAATGGGTGGTGCCAGGGCACTCCTAGAACCAACACCACTACAGTGGTTATGGTGCGTTGAGTGTTCCTTTAAAGGGATACTGGAGGCACCATAACTGACTGCTTCATTTCATTGTCTACAGGCGCTGTCCTTCCATTCATTTGTAGAGGAACACTCCACTGCTCAAATAAGTTAGAAATCACTGTTTTGTAGACATTTTCATTGGGGGTATATCTTAAAACAGGTTGCAAAAGCTGCAGTTCTTATGCACTGCACCCTCTGCAAGCTATCCACTTTTTTTTCCAGGAGAGAATTTCTGATAGCCAATCAGAGGCTTCTCTTTGGGAAGCCTTTGAACATCTACAGTAGGAGTTCCCAATCCAGTCCTCAAGTACCCCCTACCAGTCCAGGATTTAGACATTATCCTGTTGTGTCTAAAGTGTTTTTTTTTTCTTTCTAAAAACACAACTTGGTAAACCCTACATCCTGGACTGTCAGTGGGTACTTGAGGACTGGGTTGGGAACAACAGGTCTATAGGAATGGATAAGTAGCACTGGGCATGATTTGTAGTGTTGAAGAGAGTGTTTGTTTATTTTGTATTTATTTTTGTTAAATTGTTATGGAATGTTGTCCTTTGATTAACGGGTTACAAAGTAAGTAAAAATGATGGGCGAGAGAAAGACATTTGGAAGATGTATACAGATTCCAATTTAAGAAATAATAACCTATTAGTAATCATTTCAATCAGGGGCATTCTAGGTAGTAAACAGAACGTGGGCTTCAGCCTCAAATATATTTGATACATAATACAGATTAAGGAACAGATATACATAAAAATACAGTTGTAATTTTATAGGGTTACTTAAAATCACCTATCTCCGCAAACAAATATGGGGATTCAGTTCCATCATATGGCGATGTTGTGTTATTGGCCACCACTACTTTACAGTACCCCAATGTCGCTGGGTCCTACACTAATTCCAGTGTGAGTGCTAGTGCTAAATAAACTAAAGTAAATTATAATAATCTGTTACAGCATTGTGAATATATATAATGCAAACTTAAAGTGATAAACACAATTTTAAATGTAGTGTCAAAACTTAACAATTAAAGTAGTAGTGCTTTGATGTATATACTCATAAAGCATATACACCTCAGCATATACACCTCAGCCCTTTTAGCACTAGCACTATTTATTTGTCTCCTACATTAAGAATTAGTGTAGGATCCCGCGATATTGGGGTACTGTGAAGTAGCGTTGGGCTTAACACGATATGGCGATACGGTGGAACTGAATCCCCATACATGTTGTCTGAGATAGGTCATTTTAAGTAGCCTGATAACATTTAAAGTTTTATTTTTATGTGTACGCTATTATATGTGATGTATTTCTATGTGTACGCTATTGCTTAATCTGTATTATGTATGACTTTTGATCACTACGGCAGCACCACCATTCCTGCAAAATGGCGTGTCTGCAATTCATTTTTGTCTTTATATAAATATATTTAATGGCACGTCCAACATTTTTTTTTTTTAAATCTTTATTCATCTCATTCCACATTTGAGTAATGCAAAATATTACAAAATAAGCCACATTTCAATACTACATGAAGTATAGATAATATAAACTGCTGACCATGTATTAAAAACATCTCTAAAAATACTGTTATCCGAATAACATGTTACCCCATATATATTAAAACTCAAATAGGAAAGGTGGGTGTTTCCTTGGTGAGTAAATAAGAGCCCTCTTGGTATCCCCCTTCTGTAGAAAATGTCCCTGATGTGGTAATAAAGTTCCTCATGAGATCTGTGAACATCAGCAGCAGTGTAGAGCCTTCAAAGTGACTCTGGGGTTTCCCCCTCATTGCAGTGTGGAGTAGGGTCTTGTCCTAAATCGATTGGAATTAAATAAATGAGGTTGCGGATGGTGGTGCCTTCCCCAGTTTTGATAAGCAAAACATGCCATCCAATAGTATAAGTTGTTTGGGTGGTAGTAATGCCGTTAAAGTTGCTAAGTGCGGTAGGTCAGTAAGATCCAGATTCTACGGTATGCCCTTTAAATTGTAATGTCTCCTCTATTCCTCAAGAGCGTCCACTCTCACAGTGGTACGAAGTTGTTGCTGCTGGAGTTCCTCAGGTTTCCGCTCCGCTGAGTCATGAGTACGAGTAGAGGCCTCCTGCAGGATTATCTTCATGGTGGAATCCTCTATGGTGTCCTTAAAGTGGACTTGATGCCAGGGACTTAATCCATTGCAGCAGAGGACCAGGAACCGGTCACACTACTACACATACGCACACACTGTTACACATAGTCAGATGCAGTAAATCTCAGCTATGAATTTGAAAGCCAACTTTCAAAATGGCTATTCCAGCTAAAATTTTAAATTAAAAAAATTTTGAATTGCCAACACTTCAGTGAATAAAATTTTATGAGTTTACTTAAAATCACCTATCTCAGCAAACAAATATGGGGATTCAGTTTGAATAAAAAGGAACATTGACCCACCTTTCATCAGAAATAGCTTGATTTTTTTCCCAAAATGTTTATTTTTTTAAAAAAAATTTTTTAATGTAACATCCATGTTTGCTACACATATATTTCCAATTGCATTGAATACTCATCTTGGTCAATCCCTCACAGATACCTAAACATAAACACTATCAACAGCTATGGACCAAATGCGATGCTTAAAAACCATACTAATAAAATATAAATCTAAATTATATTACCCTGTTTATTGTCGGGGGATACTCGTAATATAAGCCCTGCCCCGAAAATAAGCCCTAGTCGCTAGTACGCAAATCTATGTTCGAGAAATTTTCCCTGAACATAGATTCACCGGATTCCATTCACAAGTAAACTAATCTATGTTCAGGTAAGTTTCCCTGAACATAGATTCACGGGATTCCATTCGTAAGTAAGCTAATCTATGTTCGGGAAAGTTTCCCGAACATAGATTCGCTGGATTCCATGCCCTAGTGGAATTCCCCCGAACGTAGAACTTCTTTCTAGCACATGTTTGCAACAGTTTTTCCCTGAAACAAGACATCTCCCGAAAATACAACCTAGCGCATTTTTCTGGGGGAAAGTTAATATAACACCCAGTCTTATTTTCGGGGAAAGACGGTACATTCTGTTACTAACATATTCAGCGATCCCTGTGTGTTGTTACTATGATGCTCCATAATCTAAACATTAAGCACAATAAATAATAGTTTTTTTTTAGTTTAAATAGTACACATATAGAAACACTTGATGAAAAACATATAAAATAATCTAGTAAATAGACCCCTAGATAAAACATGCATGTCATTAATTTTGCATGTTTTTTGGGAGGTATATGAAAAATCCTGGCTTGCAATAGCTACAGATTTCGGTTCATGTCCGGGTAGCACATTGTAAATGACATTTTGCAGCTCTGCTAACGGTACGCAAACAGTGATAAGTTGTCTGACAGAGGCAGACATAGTGCAGGCTAGGCCTGAGGCCTACTGACACCACCTTCTTACAAAGACGTTATGTCATATAACCCTATTATACAAGAAATATGGTTGCTGCCGGCTCCTCTATCATTTATCTGTCTTCCTCTCCTGCCTTTCCGTTCACTCTATCCTACTTAATCTCTTGATATATTGTTAATCTTACTGTTGTCCTCTTAAAAAGCATTATTATTGATTACATAATACGCACCAATATATTGAACAGCAACGGACAGAGTAGAGATAGGATATCACATTTGAGAGACCTGGTTCCATACAGAAAGTGATAAGCCGTCTGTTCAGAAATTAAATCCAGTTTAAATGACATACAACAATTAGAATAATCAGCCGTTGACTGTAGAGATATAGATAGAGGGGTTGACCACAATCCAGTGTGAGTAATTATTCAACATTTGTATTGTTTTGTAAATTTTTATTGATCAGTATTGAGAGAGAATTATCAAGAAAATCACAATAATAAAAAAAAAAAAAAAACACAGACCCCTTTTCTGTTGGCCTAAGCCACAAATAATGATTGATTTGAAATAATACCTCTAAAAGAAACAAAAATTAAAAAAAATAAGTTACCAATGTTACAAAGACTTCTAAACACATTTATTGTAATTTAAAGACACATTACTGGGAGTATTATTGCTGTGGAGCTCTGTTACACACTCAGATATACTAACCATACAGAGCTCC